AGAGGTCGGAGCTGCTGTCTCGCAGATCCAATGTTTCCCACGGTCGCTCGGTCCCCTCCCCAAAATCTCGGTCCCCTCCTCAAAATAGAGGTCGGAGCTGCTGTCTCGCAGATCCAATGTTTCCCACGGTCGCTCGGTCCCCTCCCCAAAATCTCGGTCCCCTCCTCAAAATAGAGGTCGGAGCTGCTGTCTCGCAGATCCAATGTTTCCCACGGTCGCTCGGTCCCCTCCCCAAAATCTCGGTCCCCTCCTCAAAATAGAGGTCGGAGCTGCTGTCTCGCAGATCCAATGTTTCCCACGGTCACTCGGTCCCCTCCTCAAAATCTCGGTCCCCTCCTCAAAATAGGCGTCGGAGCTGCCCTCTTGCAGATCCAATGTTTCCCACGGTCGCTCGGTCCCCTCAGTCCCCTGTTAAAAATCTCGATCCCCTCCCAATCGCTTGCCTGCACGTAGAATTTGTCTTGGTACCGTATGGTGGTTCAGTCTCTGACTAATGGTGTTCATTCTCTGACTATTTGGTGAATCGTACCCAGAGCCACGTGGCCCATCTCCAGTCACATCCCTGTCACGTGGTCTCTCATCAACTTATTCATCCGATCTCTCTGTCAGGTGTGACATGGGCGGGTTCCTGCGGGTCTCTCACGGTTAGTCCTCTCGTCCTCTCGTCCTCCGTGCCCATCTACAAATGCAGCGGTCTCAGGCACTGCCCAGAGCCGTGATCTCCCCACTGTCTGTGGATCCGGATCAGTCCCAACGACGCGTGGAATGGTTCGTGTGGTCTCCCGAACATCGACACAATCGTACAGTGTCCTTACTCGTGTGCGCTGATGCTCAATCAATCCCAACTATCTACTGGATATTAGAGGGCGGACGCGCGACCGTGAAGTGGAATTGTCGCCCCTCTTCATGAGGCGACGTCGGTTCTGTGACACTCTGGCATTCAACAAATAGACCGGCAGCGTTGCTGGGAACGAAGTCTGTGGACTGATGGCCATGTCAGCAGAGTAATTGCCCGTTGAAGAATCTCTGCCATACACCGTCGTCAATTCAGCCGGTGGATCAGTGGATCTTAAGGGCCATGGATCAGAGCTCCTCGGGCACCAGCATCATCAAGACTGTGAAAGATAACATTTCACATTGACTCACCTGACCAGCGAAGGAAGCTTCTCGGAAAACCACTCCCCGACAGGATCCAGGCGGAGAGATCGCAGACGATAGACCTGTTATCAGTCAACGGTGTTCTAATGGCTGGCACCTCCGGCGGACAGGAGAGCATTAAGAACTGTTCGAAACGATGTCTTCTCCCGTGGCCTGAACACACAGGATCCGCGGATTGCTGTCCAGGCCGCGGAACTGTCCTGGTCAGGCACGACCGGATACCTGAAGATCTTGGCATGCTGGGGAATTGGTCAACGATGTGGGCTGAGGCACACCGGAATGATGATGAATGGGCCCGACGTGGGCTCGGCCCGTTTGTCTTCAAACAAGGTCTTGTGACTTCGGTGGCTTTGTGCGAGCCTGGGCTGCTGAACGGCAGGCACATTTCGAGACTGGACGAGGGCAACAGTGTCACGGTGACTGCTCTTCGTAATGAGGGCAGCTTGTGGCAATGTATCGGATATGGCCGGATGCAAGGGGAAGCACGGGCAGGTATGTCCTCCAGCGCGGGGCTAAAGGCGATCTCCGAACCTTCCATCTGCAGAAGACTCCAGTGTACCGGCAGCGAATTGATTTCACTCTCAATTCAAGGTAGCCTGCGCGAGTCCACTCTTGCGGCGCAAGGCGTAGTCGCGCCAGACTGGTCCAGGGAGATAAGCATGGCGTTGAAGACCCTGTGGACCTGTGGGGCCCATGAGGGCCGAGGATCACAACGAGCCCACAATACCCTGCCCACTCACCCGGGGTACAGGGTGATTGCTTGAATGAAGAACATTGAAAGGGATTGCAAGAGTCGTCTTCCCGGGTATATTGGGTTCAGACACCCTGGTCCCCACGGCCAGAGACGCTAACGATGGATGGTGGCGTATAATGCAGCTCACCTGATGCGGACCCCTGCTTCTCTCCTGGTCATATAAGTGACTCCACACATACGCTCTTGGGAAGATCCCTCCATCGTCAACACTGCAGTGCTCACTGTCAAGGTCGACGACGAGCTCGGCTCTCACCAGCACATCACAATGGCGTCACGCGGCTCAAACACCCCCCCACTGTCGGAGAAGCCTACAGACGAGATGATCGAGGTCGCCGATACGTCCTCCGACAAGGAGCGTGTCCTGGTGGACCATCCCGACATCACCCCGGAAGAGAACAAGGCAGTCCTCAAGAAGATTGATCGCAACCTCATGCCTGTGAGTTTGTTCGTCGATCACAAGGAAGCTGACAATGAGGTTTTTTGCGCTGTTGTGGCGCTCCAGTTTGTGGGTTAATGAGGTCTCCTTCCGACATGCTGACGTGTAGCTCGACAAGACGACCTTAACTTACACGTCCGTCATGGTAAGTCTGAGACTGGCCGTCAAGATATCAAACGCGAACTCACAAATAGGGCATCTTGGGCGACACCAAAATGAAAGGTGACGACTATGCGTGGTTGGGCACAATCTTCTGTACGTGCAGCGACGTTGTGCGGTGACTGACCACAGCGCTCGGATACCTTATCGGACAATACCCTATGTGCTGGCTTCAGCAGCGCCTGCCTTTGGCGAAGATGACCGGCGTCAACATCGTCGTCTGGGGAGCGATCGTTGCTGTCACAGCTGCTTGCAACAATTGGAGCGGCTTGATGGCTTGTCGTTTGTGCGTAGACTTCTGCAGGCGGCGACTGAGGAGCACGACTGACGGACGCAGCTTCTTGGGTGTCTTTGAGTCATCCCTCTCGCCAGCTCTGATTCTGTTCACTGCCCAGTGGTATCGCAAGAAGGAACAGGGGGTTCGCACGGGCATTTGGGCCTCGTTCGTTACCTGGGGCGGCATCCTGGGAGCCCTCATCGCCTACGGCTTGTTCATGAGTTTCATGAACCATACGTTGCTCATCGCTCCATGGCGAGCTCTGTTCATCATTCTCGGCGCCATCACCATTCTGCTGGGAGTCATATTTTTCTTCATTGTCCCCGACTCCCCGCAGGTAGCGCGGTTCCTGACCCCTCAAGAGCGAGAAGTCGCTCGCATGCGCACTGCCGAAACCATGCAAGCCCTTCACATCAAGGACCACAAATGGTACCAGGTTCGCGAGGCGTTCAGGGACCCGGCCGTCTGGATCATCACACTCATCGCGGCGTTGAACGGAATTCCGAACGGAGGCATTACAAACTTCTACGCGATCATGGTGCTTAGCATTGGCGTGCAAGTCCAGGATGGCATCCTGCTGTCCATGCTGAACTGCTGGGTGGCTGTGGCGACGATTATCACTCTCTTCGTCGGCTCCAAGTTGAACTGCAGAACTCTTGCTGCAATCCCGGCTCATATCGTCTCAATGGTGGGAGGCATTCTCGTCTGGCAGCTTCCAAGGAGCTTGGTGCGGGCTCGCCTTGCCGGCTTTTATCTCACTCTGGTCTACGCTATGGGGCAGACTGTCTGCATGTCCCTTATCTCGACAAATGTCACAGGCCGCACCAAGAAGACGACTGTTGCGGCCATGTTTTTCGTCATGAGTGAGTAACACCGTTCTCTCATCCGTTCTCCGGGCTCACCTGACGCTCAGATTGTGTTGGCAACCTCGTGGGTCCGCAGACATTCAGAGACAAGGACGCCCCAGGCTATGCGCCGGCTCTGATCACCCTCATTGTCTGCAATATCCTGACCATCATCCTGTTGGTAGCTCTGTATCTCTACTACGTTCGCCAAAACAAGATCCGTAGCCAGATCGATGCCGCGCCGCCGCCCGGGGGACATGATCTCACAGACAAGGAGAACCTGGCCTTCCGATACTCTCCTTAATCTCGATAATGAAGAAGGTTACTGCGCGAGTGTAACAGGCTTGGGGTTGTAACGCAGTTGGAAGAGAATGTGGGCAAGTTGAATGTAAAGAAGTAACACGAATGTTTGGATGACACAAAACAATGGTCGGCTGTAGATAATATGCACTCCTCTACTTCCCGATCAAAAGAAGCGGTTCCAAACAGCTAGTGTACAGGGGTGCTGAAGCTGCGGCGCGGGTTCAGCATCTCTGAGGCATGCATCGTTATCCGCTGACCCATCGCCGTGTACCCGTCCGAGCCAGGACCGAGGAGGTTGGCCGTTAGCGATACGACGGAGGGGCACCGAGCCTATACGTATCACGGATATACTTGAAGACGCCAACCTGACCGTACTGCGGAAGCTTTCCATCAGCGACTCTTGCGCACACTCAATGGTGGCTCACCCTGCGCTCCAAGTCATCCAACTGCGCTGCAACTTCTACGCCATCGACACCGGTCTCCAAACTCGCCCGCACGAAGTTGCTGAGAACTGCCGCAGCGTAATCAGGGTTGAACTCTTGATTGGGACCCAGGTAACGCTGCACATCAGTGGGGGAGGTGGCCGTGGGTGCCGTCGGCGGGGCGGGTTTCGCCTGGTACTGCCCTCCGTAAGCTTCTCCTCTGAAGCACGCGCCGGCATGGCCCCTTGGCAATGGTTATTTGCTCACGTAAAGTCTGCCTGATTCGACTTGAGCTCCGCTCTCGTCACGAATATGTTGGCCCATCTGTCCAGAGCCTCGATCGGCAGAATTATACACACGGTGGCCCATACCTGAGGCGGTGGACCCGGAAACAAGGGCTTTGAAGAAACTCTTCACGTCGGCACCGGACTCCCGATCTTCTTTGTAGCGGTCGTGTATCGAGTCCTTGCCCATGGTGGGGAGAGTGACGTTGTTCTGAAGTGAGATGGAGAGCAAAATCAACAAGAGGCTCGGGTGAGCGATGCCAAGAGATGCGTCTCGTGTTGTCAGGTACCAGCCGCCGGATGTGTCCGATTAGAACCCGGTGATCAGTGACATCAGGGCGATCACAATAAATCGCAGGGTGGCCACGTCGCACTCGCTTGGTTTCGCTTGCTTGGTACATCATGCTGGCTCACTAAATTGAAGAGGCTCTTCTAAGCGATTCATCCATGGTCTAAGCCCGCCTGGTATGAGCAGCGCGTTGTTGAATATCGTCCGTAGCCGATCATGACAGACCGCTCCCTTCGGAACAAGCGAGTCGCGCCCGTTGGTCCACCAACTTCAACATAGTCGGGAGCCGGTGACTGCCATCCATGTCTTTAACAATCCGAATGGCGTCCGACACGGCTATCCCGGCCGCTGTAACGAACAAAGGGCGAGTGCTGCATCCTCGATGGACAATGCCGACATGCGGACTGTCGGGGAGCGCCTTCTTGTCACCGTCGAACCTTCTGAACGGGTTCTTCGCTACACCTATGACGATGGTCTTGCCGTCCAGGCAATCGTACAGATGCCTGCCCAATCCAGGTCGGTCAGGACTATCAAGGTCTACGAAACCATCCACAATAATGATGGCCGGGTAAGCTTTCACCTTGTCCAGGAGGGCCAGGATGGGAGGCAGCTCGCGCTTGAAGAAAGCGCCTGCTTCGTATGGCGAGACATTAGGATGGATGTGAACGATCGACTGAGCGGGATTGGATGAATCAATGGATTCAAAGAGGACGCCAGCAGCGTATCCAGTATCATCGTCGGAGTACTGGACGTCGATGGCGAGAATCGGGCCTTGTGCATGCATGGCGGTCGGCAGATAAGGAGGTGTCTGAGGCCATTGCAAGTCATTGTTGGGCTTGTAACTGGTTGGCGATCTTATTACGTAAAAGCAACCTTAATGACTTGGCTTTAGCGCGCAGCGTTATCAACCTTGCGGACCGCCGGACCTCGTCCTCGACAGTGCTTATGATGATCAGGCGCAAGTCCTCCGACTACTAAAGCCTTAAAGAGTTATAGACAATGGTGAGTTGGCCGTACAGAACGTCGTCTCCGAAGGACGGAGCTGATGTTCACAGTCTGGATACGGTTACTCGGGAGGTGAGCACGGAAGGAGGGCAGATGACGGGCATTGCCGCGGGGTCTAATCATGTTCACAGGTCGTACTCGCTGCTTCATGTTCTGGCAGGAGTTCAGCAAGGTGGGTGATACAGTTAGTACAGCGCTGACTTCGCAGTGCTATGCTGGTGCCGATGAGCCTTCCCAGTGCATTGCTCAGAAGGAGGACTACATGGAGTGCCTGCACAAAACGAAGGAGGTGAGTTGCTGCAGATGGGCCATTCGTTCGCCGTCATGAAGGCGCTGACCTTCAAAGATCGAGCGGGCACAGGAGATCAAGAAGACCTTTGTGTAGAACGCTGCCCGTGAGGGAACGGATGCGCGCAAGGCTGCGGAGAAAGGTGCGACCGGCGTCATCGTCAACCTTGGCCTGGTGCACGACAATTGAGATAAACTCAGTAGAGTCATGACAAGACAAATATGCTAGACGGCGAGGGTTGGGCGGCTAACCGATCAATGCTGACTACTATCACTGATGAATGACTACATCGGACTTGCATCTAGAGAATTGCGCGCGACTTTCAGCGGCCGCGCGTAACGTCATTAGCGTTGAAGCAGAACCGGACTTTCTGCTCCTGCAGTTGCGACCGCGCTGCTTCACTATAAACATAGGCTACACCATGTTCAATGATCGATCAGGCATACACGCCGATGCGTCCCTCCAGCGCGCTGGGAGCCCACTGCTGTGCTTTAGCAGATGAGTGGTTATTCCAGCCCCATCGAAGCTCAATTTCGTTCCATACCTCCACCAGTTTGACCTGTCCGAAGCCCAGGCTGTCGAACAGGCGGAGAGATGCAGCGTTTTCTGCCCCAATCCGGGCAATGAATTGGGAGGGTCCAATTCCCAGAGGGCTATTGACGACGTAGGTAAGACTGCTGGATGAGCGCGGACACCACTGATGAAACTGACAAGAGGGAGAGAGCCTCCCTAGCGTAACCTTTGCCTCGGAAAGATGGCTCTTTGTCCGTCAGCCGCGCATGCCCGGGATCGGAGCACTTACCAGCTAGCATGATCTCGCATTCGACATCTCCGGCTGTGCCGTCCGGCAAAAAGAGGTTGACATCTCCTATCATGGGACAGGATGCAATCGCGTCGGGGACTATGACACGATCAGTATCTGGTCCCAGTAACGGAGTCCGTGCCAGGAGGATGAAGGTCAATTCTAGCAAACATCAGTACTTCTACAGTCGTTTCACTGACTGTCGTCATCTTCCTGCCACTTCACTGTCACGTCAGCCAAATCGGACAAGTCCAAGGGGCAGGAGGCATTGTTATTCCCAGCTAACGCACTCTGCATCTCTCGCTCTTCTTCGATGGTCAAGGGCTCCGACGCTGTTGACTCTAGGAGCTCGGGTGACTTCATCCACGCGTGGTACCGCTACGCGTCAGCACGACAGCAATATCGCCGCCCGGAAACCATACATCTACGTGTTCGGGCCTGGTCAGATTAGAAAGGTGACCTCATCGCTTAACCGACCTATACGGCACCAAAATGACCTTGTCGCCGCAAATGATTGTGTTTTCATTCATGCGCATAATGTGTTGGGTTCGTCACTTGTGTCGTAAGTAGTACATGGATGGGATACACTGTCATCGATCGAACTAGGCAAGCTGTCAACAGCTGATTCCGGACTGAAGCGGTGATTTCTCTGTACCTCTTGTGGCAACCACGTGGCGTGGTGGCCGCGCGTTCCTCCACATGTGTCATCGATGACCATCAGTCACCCGTTGCACTGTTGCTTCTACGTCGCGTCGTCCAACTCTTCTTCATCACTGGTCACCATGTCTTCCATCGGAACAGGATATGACCTTTCGGTAGCGACCTACTCCCCCGACGGCCGCTTGTTCCAGGTTGAATACGCTAACAAGGCTGTCGAAGCCTCCGGGTAAGTTCCTCATCCTCCGACAAGACCTCAAGCGAGTCTAACGCGCAGGGTGGCCGTAGGGATCCGTTGTGCCGATGGCATCGTTCTGGGAGTCGAGCGCCTTCTTCACTCCAAGCTCCTTGTGAAGGGCGCGAATAGACGGATACAGTCTGTAGACGAGCATGTCGGTGCTGCTACCGCTGGTCTCCTCGCCGACGGCAAGCATCTTTGCAGCCGCCTTCGCGACGAAGCCTACAACTTCCGCGACACCTACAATGCACCTGCGACCGTTCAAGTAAGTTTATTTCCTAGAGGTGTATGCTTACAGTAGATCCTCTCCGATCGCCTTGCGGGTTACTGTCAGGCTTACACCTGCTACGGTTCCGTCAGGCCCTTTGGTGTTTCGACGCTGGTTGCTGGAGTAGACAAGACTGGTTCCAAGCTTTTCTGCATCGAGCCTTCGGGTGTCTACTATGGATACCGCGCATGTGCTATCGGAAAGGGAAGGGCACTTGCCAAGACTGAATTGGAGAAGATTGTTCAGCGCGAGGCTGATGGTGGCGAACCCATCACTTGTCGTGATGCTGTCCGCGAGGTGGCCCGAATGTGAGTAGACACAACAGGCGTGCAGACGCTGACCACAGCATTTATCTGGTTCATGATGATAACAAGGACAAGGATTTCGAGCTCGAGATGACTTGGATCTGCCCAGAGACTGGTGGCAAGCATCTCGCGGTTCCCGCGGATCTTTTGGCCGAAGCCGAGAAGGCCGCGGAAGAGGCTCTCGTCGAGGATATGGAGGACGATTGATTAGTGAAGTGACGATTGTACAGACAGAAGACGATGCATGTGGATACAACATTGGTACAAACATTTTACACCAAAGCAACACGTCCGCGGGTCAGCCCTCCGCGCCAGTTCCTCATCCCTCCAACACGGTTTGAGGTCTGCTTGCGTTGGATCTGAGCAAATGCTTCGAGTACATGGCTGGGAAGAAGGGGTTGCCGTGCACTTGGTGGTGCAGCGAATAAAGAGCGAGGAGCCACGCATCGGCGTGAAGTGTCGGCACCTGGTGCAGGGGAGCCAGTCTCGGTCGGGGACGGCGCGAGGTCAACCTTCGCTCGCTTCGCAGGTGACGCTTGACTGGCGCCTCCCTTGCGCTTCAATGCAGAAGTGCGAGAAGAGGCGGTAGTGCTCTTTTCCATCTGTTCGCGCACTTCAAGAGCTGTGACACAAAGGGACCTCACCATCTCGAACGCCAAGAATCCCAGGATGTCGACGATATCATCGTTTGGCCGAACGTCGAGGTAGGCGCTGAAATTGATGAATTCGCGGAAACGACGCGCTAGTGGTCAGCGCTGTTGCTACGTCGATGCTCACCTTTGCGATAAGTAAATGACGCCTGACGGCAGTCAGAGTAATGGACATATTCGTCCTTGGTCATTTTCTTCGTGATCTCGTCGGCATCCTGGAATTCCATCAGACCCGTCATCCGACTAGAGCACTCACCCGGAGTCGCTGCATGATGTCTTCGTGAGCCTGAAGTTCGTCCTCATCTTCGTCTTCGTCTTCCTCGGCCCGATTCTGTTGAGTTGGCAGAGCGCGCAGGAATTCGGAGAAAGGTGTCAACAGCTCCCACGACAGCTTCACGATGGGCTTCCGGCCCTTGATAGCGTTCTTCTCTACCTCGTCAGCAGAATGATCAGGACTTTCGCGCTCACCTGCCTCGTCGACATCCACGTCGCCACCTTCGTCATCTTCCTTGGCTTTCTTGCGGACATCCTTCCACGACAGGTATGTTCGCAATCGGTTAACCTTTCCTCGATCATCGCGGATGAGGAAGATGAGGTCCTCGGCGGAAAGGTATCGCGAAGAGCGCAAATGGGTGAGCAGCCTTGCCCGAGTTACGATCTCAATGATCTGTCCTCGCACAATGTCTTCCACCAAGCGCACAGTCTCAGGCAAGGGATCCTGCACTTCTCCAAAGACGAACATCTACTCGTCAATAATCACCCACCTCCCTTTCCACTTACCATCTGCGAAATCTCGTTCGTATACCGATACTCCTGCCTGCCTGCCCCATCTACGCCCAGTGCGGCCGAAGCAGTCGACTTCTTCTTCTTGGAGCTTTTTGGCTTCTTGTGTTCCTCATCATCATCATCACCCTCTCCGTCGGCGTCGTCCTCAGGCTCCGGAGACGGCGAAGCAGACCCCCTCGAATGATCCGCCGCCAATCGGCTGGTGTTACCCGCACTGGCAATTGGTCGCTGTTGGGTGGCTGGCATGGCGGACTGCGTTGCAGGCTGTGGTGTTGATCCGGGCAACGCCAGGCTCGCGGGTTTCTTCGCCGCTGTCGGAAGGGCCAGCGATGACATGATGGTGAAAGATGTCCAGAATGGTGGAAGGATGCAGAGATGGGGGGTTGGCACGATAAAGAGACAACGAAAGAAGTGGACTAAGTGGAATGCGGGAGGCTCAAGCGAACATGGGATCTGGTGCTGTTTGTGAGATGTCTCGATGGTGGATGGAGAGACGTAAACGAAGAGGCCTGGACCTGTAGACCCAGATCCGAGGAACGGCCCTGGAGGATAGGATATGAGACTGGTGCCAGTCTGAGATCAGGGACCAACGAGTGGTAAGCGATCACCAATTTAGTGCCTCCCAGCAGTCGGCCTTCAGGCGTTGCCTTACCGCGTTCCAGCTGCCTACACATCCATGTCATGCACACAAAACCTTTCATACATACAATAACGAAACGCGACAGTAACATCTACGTAGCGCTTGAACTCCTGGATTTGCCTAATCCTCGACGGTCTGGCCCGAACCGTCAACCCCGCTCCACTCTTCCCTGACCTGGCCCTTGAGCATGAGCTGGCTGGAAACAACTGGATTAGACTGCCAAATTCGAGTGGCGCAGTCGTCAGACGAAGCTGCAATCATGTCCTTTCCCCAATCTAAGGCAATCACCTCAGGCGCCTCCGGGGTGGTGTGAGGGATCTCTAAACGGGTGGCTTCAGTCTGCTCGCCGTTCTGCGGGTAACGGTCAACATCCCACATCATGACGCCTCCCGTTGATGAGCCACAGGCTAGGCGTCGTCCGTCCGGTGACAGCGCCATTCTTATATAGAAAGAACGAGTCACTAACATCGGATGCACAAACTTCTGGGGCAAGATGGCTTCAGAGCGATCGCTCGAGGTTGCCTTGGCCCAAGATGGCCGCAAGACGTGCACTTTTGAGTCTCCGCATAACACGAAAAGGTCGCCGGTAGATGGCTGCTCGCAAAGAGCGTTCACTGATCGAGGGCGACGGGAGGGGTTGCCCCCCGCGACGGTGGGATCCGGGAGAGAGCCGTACGGCGCGGACTTGAAGCGTAGAGCAGTGGTGGGTTCGGGGCACCTGATATCCCACAGCTTGACGATGCTGAGACTCCATTAGAACAAGCCAGCAATGTGCAGTGGTACCCACCCATCGTAGGACCCTCCGGAAGCAAGTATTCCGGGCTGGGCACGGAGTGCAACGAGACTCGTGATAGTCCGAGCGACCGATCGCTGTGCATTAGCTACAGGTGGGGTTTGCCAACTAACCGAGTCAGCTGTCGTCCGTTTGCCAACTGTCGCGTTATGCGGTTGACGCAGTGTCAAAACTGGATCGATTGATGACTGGCCCGTCGAACTTATCTGCGTGGTGGATCTTGTGCGGGACGAGCGGCGGAGAGATGGGCCATTCTCTTCGCGGGTTGACGTGTAGCCCCGACAGCGCAGATCATACACATTGATGTTGCCATCCCGACCACCAGAAACGATAACATTTGAAGAAGACTCGTGCAGAAGAGCCGTAGACTTGATGGTTGAGGTGTGCCCGTGAAGGGAGGCCAAAAGCCTCGGACCTGCTCCAGAAACATCATGCAAGCGCAATGACTGATCAGCAGATGCTGAAAGCTATCGTCAGAAGCTGTCCCAGTGGTTTCACTCACAAGGTGCCGATCATCATCACACCACGAGATATCGAATATTCCGTTCTGGTGAGCGGACCACCATTTCGAGTCGTGCGGCTCCAGGGCGTCCACATCAATGATCTTGATGGCTCCCTCTTCCCCCCCAATAGCCAGAAGACGCTTGTTTCCAGAGCGCGAGGCGTCGCTTGCTGTCAGAAGCTTAGCACTCCTGTTGAAGGCGACGACCAGTGCAGGATCAAAATCTCTGTCTTGACCAGTTGGGCTACTTAACGAGGGAAGATGCAAAGTCGATGGGGGTAAGCGGGGGTCGGGGTAAAGGCGGGTCACCAAGGTCTCCAGGAACGGGTCTGTCGTCAGGCTTGCCCAGCTCAAGACATACCTCTCGCAGTGTAACCCCGTAGGCCGGTCCCTAGCCGTTTTCGCGGGCGTCTCCAGGTTGGCGGCAACGAGACGTTCAAGGCGGCTTCAGCCTTTGTTGGTTTCCCACAGCTGCCAGCTCCCACCCTTAGTGGCGTTGACGGCGCAAAGTACGTCGACAGGCGATTGTTGGAGTGCCGATCCGCATCTCGAGGCCAGACTTCATCACATGCTTTTGTGGAGACTCTGCCACTGTTGTCACACCCTGTCGACTTGATCCTGCGCTGTTTTACTGGCCGCTTATGATCCCCTGCCGCCGTCGTCTGGTTGAGGAATATTGGGAAGAGTTTGGGCGGCGAACAACACTCGGCATCGGAGGATCCGCATACTGAAGGGTTGTCATGGGTCAGACCAAGCGGCCGTCTCGTATCAGTCATGACGGTGTGCCGGTATCGTTGAGCAGCTGCAGTGAAAGATTGCGAGGATGGCGGAGAGAGCAACTCGAGCTTTGAGGCTTGTTGATTTCTCTCTCAGCCGTGACGCGCCCTGACGCGTTGTTACGCGTCAGTTCCTGAAATTTGCTCCCGAAAATGCATTTAACTAATGTAGCAGTACCAATCACCTGGGATGCTCGCTCTTGCCTCCGTCTCCTGCATGGGCCTGGTCCTCGTTATTCATCGTCAGACCGATCTGATGCCAGATGGCAGTTTCTTCGCGCGTGAGCTCACGCAAGGCCATGGTAGCGTAAGATGCTGTGCCCAAAGACCAGGTAATCTTCAGGGCGCGGAATTTGCCATTCGGGTCATCTGCCGCTGGGGGGTTCAGATTAAGGATTCTGTCCTCGTCGGCTTGCGCCAGCGGCAGGGTGGGGTCTGTATAACGAATGTGTTCCCAAGAGACATCGGTGGGCTTGCGAATCAGGCGTCGGTACGACCCAGGCAATGAGTACTCCCTTTGGTCGCGCCGCAGCCGCAGAGGATCCAAACCGTCGGCGAGGAGAGCGTCTTTGTAGAGCTGACCAATGCGACCGCCTGGATACTCGATGTTCCAACCTGGCAGTGGGAGGATGACGTCCGCGAGTGTATACTGACCCAAGTCTGCCGAGGTCAAACGCTTGACATCACGCGATGAAGTCTCCTTGTTGTCGGCGTCGTCGTCGCCCGCGTCGTGTTCGTACACAAGATCGCCCTCGAGAGGTTGATCGTTCGAGAGCTTCATCCGCTCCGCGGCCATGAGGTTCCAGATGTAACTCTGGTAGGCGTGCACATACATCGTCCGTAGGTTCCTCGGAATCTGGCCGTCAGAGGGCGGGACGGCGCCGTACTCACGTTTCCCAGTGCCCCCACTTTGTCCTCGAGACGGTTTCCCTTGCGCCAATGCTCCCAAATTGACCGCTCAGCGACCGATCGACGGGGCATGAGTTCCAGAGCCCTGCTGAAGTCGCCATCCTCCAGCCAAGCCAGGCGCCCTCTGGTACAATCAGGGTGCTCTCCTTCTCGCAACGAGAGGATGGAGTCGATCGCTTCTCCCCACTTGCCCTGCAGTAGCAAAAGCCCGGTGACATGGGTTGGGACAGTCGAGGTGCCGAAGCGTTGCATTCCGTAAAAGTTGATGAAACCTTTATCGCGGATAGACTTCATGGCTTTGTCGATGTCTTCGACCGCAGCTTGCACGTTACTGCAGTCAGAAACAGAAAACGCAGAGACCTCACCGCAGAGTGATCACAAACTGGTTGCCCTTGAGAGAACCGAGTTCCAGAGGATGAGTAGAATATTCCATATCCCCGATTCGAGTACCACGCTCGCCGCGTTCTGCGACGGCCCCATCCTCAGTTCTCCGGCCAGATCTTACTCCGTTGACCGCTCGCCATACTTGCTGCGTGGTCAAGGATCCGCGTTTCAGAGAGACGCGCTGGACAGTAATGGCACGTTTATCCTTGGTGCCGCATACTGCAAGATCACGCGAATGTACCTTCAACATCCGACTGATGTGACCCAAGCAGTCCTGCGTCTCACGGTTTGTCTTGTGGAGCGTGAAGTGGATATATTGCGGCAGGCGGGTTTTGCGGGCTAACGTCAACGCGCGCGACCTTGGCATTGAACGTACGCTTGCGGTCACGGCCTCCCGAGCGGCTCGCAGCCCATTTCAGGACAAGACACTGGCCCTTGCCGCCAATGTCCCGAGCTGTGCTTTCAAAGTTTCCTTTCAACAACTCGCGGACCGCTTGGTGGGCTGCTCCTCGTGCCGACTTGTCTGCTATAGGCTTAGGTTAGTTTGATTCAGAGTATCCCTCACCTGCGTAACGACCTCCCTCGCGTCCTTGGCTTTATATGGGTTGCTGTTAGGTGCTCCACCCCGCCCGTTTCCACGCCCTCTACCCTGGGAAGGTTGAGGACCAGACCCGACATTCATAGCCTGCTCCTCTTCGTTCATCTGTTCGGTGCGCTGCTTCTCCCGGGATCCCCAGCCCGAGTCTTGGCGAGGTTGGGGGTTGCGACCCTCGTCAAACAGACGGCGGAGAGCAACGATGGTCTCGTCCGAGAAATGCGGACGAAGGCCAATAGTTGTCGACGTCGTCCAATCCGCATGTTCTTCGAAGTTCAGATCGGCGGGAAGGGAAGCTACGACAGCGTCTTCACCCGCCGCGCCTCTGTCCTCCTCCTTCTTCGGGACTTCAGTGTCCGCCCCAGACGTTGATAAAGACTTGCTGTCGTTGGAGGATGAGGCCATGACGTCTGGATCCGGTTGTTCAACGTCCGGGGGAATACCGATGTCGTGGAGATGAAGGACCTGTCCAGATAGAGAGATCTCGTTGACAAGAAAATCTGTGAAGCTGCATGTCAGCCCGTTCTAGAGCGCCAACTAACCGTTGCTTGATCACTCCATTGACGCCAGTGAAGTCAGAGTCCCCAGCGTAACCGATGATCCCGACCTCGCGCTCTCCAATGAACCCTCTCCTGTGTGACAGGTCAGTCTTGCCATCGGTAATGATATCGAGTGAAGGAGGCATCACGGGAAGCGTCGGCTTCAAGCCCAAGCGGGAGACGGCCGGAACAGCATCACTTGGGAAGCTCGTCAGAAACTGAGGAGGGTCTGGAGAATCCCCGTCCTTGACGCGTTTCGGCGAGCGCTCGTCCATCTCCTCTTCAAGCCGCCTCTTGCAGGCTTCGACTTGAGGTTCGGATGGGGCCGACATCTTTAGGCACTGTCGGGACCGCGGGGTGGAGTTTACGGTCGTCAACCCTGTCTGCACACAGACGCTCAACTACCAGTCCAACATTTGCTCATTTGTTTACGAGTCACGTGATCTGCCCGGGTCAGTTGTGACCCTCTGTTGTAGGAACATAAGGACCACGTGGGGTGGCGTCGAGTCGCAGTGCATGACGTGGGCGATCTCGTTTGGACAAGGGAATTCGATCGGTGTATCGGTTACGCCGGCGTGAGCCGATGCATCGGTCCCACGCGGGTCGTTGCTTGCGGGTTGCGGCCTCTCCGGAAATGTCATCGGATGCACGAATACGGTGTCCAGCACAGTGGTCCACAGGGCTCCCATTGTGGGCGACATGCCGCCCTCGCCCCTTGGTATGTATCCGGGGCGGCATGGATAAATACCGGATACTCAGAGTCAGGAAGACTCCGCGGGCGGCGGAAGAAGTGCGCCAGGAGGACACGCTTACAATGAAATGCCGGCGGCGGTGGATGACACATGACCACCTGCGTACACGGGCACACGGGGCCAATGCCGCTTGCGATCTCTTGAGACTTCGGTTAGCAATGGTCTCCCAGCTCATGTGACTCCTGGCTCGTTACAAGGCAAAGGTATGGCGGCTGGACAGCTGCAGCGCTGCATCACAGTCGCATATGGCTGCATGTCTATGAGTCGCAGTCTGCCAGGGTAGGAACAGCAAAAAAAGCCGAAGTGCGAGCGACATCTCATTCGGCTTGGGACAAGCGAGCAATGCGGCCATTGCCGAGATACGCAGGGATCAAGCGACCCGGCGGCGCAGGCAGGCTCCAGTCGAAAAAACTATCTGAGCACAAATCACTAGGTGAACCGGACCTCCTCAGTACAGTGCCCTTCCATGATATGCAGATAAGAAGCATCGCATGGTGCATTGCTGACATGAGAGAGGGGCGAGGTGGAGCATGGGATTTTTGCATTGGCTGCATGGCTGCAGTGGGAGGAACGGCAGCGGCATGCGTCGTGGGGCACTGTGGGGCCATAAACGGGGCGCCTGAAAGGGCCAGGCGCCAGGTCTCAACTCGATGGAGCTGCAATCGGTCAGCAGCTAACGGCCGCATGCGCACTCCCGGAACATGGCCTGCGTCGGGCCAGGGCTGGTAGAGCGGACCTGTGGCATTGGTGGCGGGAATTCACAATGACGCGTGCTGGCTGCAAGCAGCGGGGCCGACTCGAGCTGCTGACAACACCGTAGCGGACGAAAGAGTGCAGTTCCCCCTGCAGTCCGGAGGGGCGGTACGCCCAGATCATACGACACACACGCAGCGGTGGGTACCCAAGGGGAAACCCCGGGCTAAACCTTGCGTCACATTGCGACCAAGTTGGACCGAGTACCGAGGGGAGCAACGAACGGCAAACGGCAGGCGCGGGAGGCACGGCATAAAGATCGGTCGGGCGGCACGTCTGGCAAGTGCGGCAGCGGCAGGCAGAAGTAGTGAATACAGGCACAGTAAGCAGTTCGCTTCGGTCGAGCAACGCCGACATGATACGGGCTTGCAAGTGCATCCCTGTGTATATGCATCCAGCGGCGAGCACCGGGTCGCCGGGCGGTACTGGATGGCTTGCATGCGTCTACGGTGGACAGCGAGTGCCGGCCTGAGGACGGGCGAGTTCATGGCATACATTGCGACTTGCAATTTGCCCGACAGTCGGGTGCTTATCCGAGTAAATCCGGCCGACTGGCACTTAAGCGGAGGCTAATCAAGGGGTGCGTTGCCGGCTAACGCCCACGGTGCCACGGTGCCACTGGGCGGCAGGCCTGCTTATGCGGCTGCAGCCAGCGCTCGGATGAAAACGAGTCATTGTAGCCGGACCTACTTTGACTCCATCTGCCATTACGCCTAAAGAGATACGCGCGTCCCTGGACGACTCCGTGTGACTGGGAGATTTCGGTGGATCATCGATCCACAAGTCTCCAGCATTTAAAAGCCCCCCGTATTCTTGATGCAGAGCCCCCTCTTCTCCTCAGCTTGAAATCCGTTCTCTCGTTGTCGCACATTAGCAACTCTGAGAATCTCGCGTTTGCAACCCGTATTGCTAGCACAGTAGGAAACCACCACCACAACCCCTCTCCCCACTCTCACGACCACCCCCATCACACCGTCCATCATGTCGTCTGCCGAGGTCAAGGCTCTCCAGGAGCAGGTTCGCGCCTTTGACGAGTTCAAGAACGTGAGTGGCCTTGTGGCCATGCTTCCGTTAGACATGGTTCTGACAGTATCTTAGCAACCCCGCTTCAAGCGCACTGCCCGCCCCTACTCGGCCGCCGACGTCATCACCAAGCGTGGCTCGCTCCCCATTCAGTACCCTTCGGACGCCATGGCCAAGAAGCTCTGGAAGATCCTCGAGGCCAAGGAGCGTGGCGAGGGCGGCGGCTGCACCTTCACCTACGGCGCGTAAGTCACTAAACCGCCACAAATCCTCTTTTTGCTAACGCTCGCAGTCTCGACCCCGTCCAGATTACCCAGATGGCCAAGTACCTTGAGACCGTCTACGTTTCCGGATGGCAGTGCTCGTCTACTGCTTCCAGCTCGCTTGAGCCTGGACCCGATCTTGCCGACTACCCCTCCAACACTGTCCCCAACAAGGTCGCCCAGCTCTTCACTGCTCAGCTCTTCCACGACCGCAAGCAGAACTACACCCGCGCCACTGCCATCGCCAAGGGCGAGAACCCCGGCCCCAAGATCGACTACCTCCGCCCCATTGTTGCCGACGGTGACACCGGCCACGGCGGTCTTACCGCCGTCATGAAGCTCACCAAGATGATGGTCGAGGCCGGTGCCGCCGGTATCCACATCGAGGACCAGGCTCCTGGTACCAAGAAGTGTGGTCACATGGCCGGCAAGGTCCTTGTCCCCATCTCCGAGCACATCAACCGTCTCGTCGCCATCCGTTACCAGTGCGACATCATGGGCACCACCAACCTCGTCGTCGCCCGTACTGACTCGGAGGCCGCCACCCTCATCACCACCAACATTGACCCTCGCGACCACGCCTTCATCCTTGGCTCCACCAACCCCGACCTCCGCCCCCTCGTCGACCTCATGATGGAGGCCGAGGCTGCCGGCAAGAACGGTGCCGAGCTCCAGAAGATTGAGGACGACTGGGTCAAGGCCGCCAACCTCCAGCTCTACCCCGCTGTCCTTGCCGCCGCCATCACCAAGCAGGGTGGCAACGGTGACAAGTTCGCCAAGGAGGCTGCCTCCAACCCCCTCTCCAACGCCGACACTCTTGCCCTCGCCAAGAAGCACGGCCTCAAGTCCGCCCCCTTCTGGGACTGGTCCGCCCCCCGCACCCGTGAGGTAAGTCAATTTAGGCGCTAGGGGTGGAGCCGATGCCACGTGGCTGTCCCTGACGCCACCTCCACCACCACCACCACAGTGTGGCACTTTGGCAATTTTTGCGAATATATCTGACAAGCAGGGCTACTTCCGCTACCAGGGCGGCACCCAGTGCGCCATCAACCGTGCCATCGCCTTCGCCCCCCACGCCGACCTCATCTGGATGGAGACCAAGTCCCCCATCTACGCTCAGGCCAAGGAGTTCGCCGACGGCGTCCACGCCAAGGTCCCCGGCCAGTGGCTCGCCTACAACCTTTCGCCCTCTTTCAACTGGTCCGCCGCCGGTCTCGGCCCCAAGGAGATGAAAGAGTTTGTTTGGGAGCTTGGCAAGCTTGGTTTGTAAGTTTTTGATCGCGAATTGGTCGCGAAATACCGTGGAAATAGTCGAGAATGGCCGCTGACAGTCAGCCTCTTCCAGTTCATCACCCTCGCTGGTCTCCACTCGAACGCCTACATCTCTGACAAGTTTGCGAAAGCCTTCGCGAAGGATGGCATGAAAGCATACGTTGAACTTATCCAGGGCCCCGAGGCCGACGAGGGATGCGACGTTCTGACTCATCAGAAGTGGTCCGGAGCCGAACTTATTGATGGTGGGTGTTTTTCTGCGTCGAATGGTGTTTGAATCATCAAGTTTGGTGCAGAAATGGGCGAGAACGGTCGAAAAAGGTGTGAGAATCCCGTGGGGAGTGGTTGGGGTGTAACTGCCACTTTTGCCCAAGTGCCACCTCCACCGCGGAATCAAACCTCCACCTTGGACCCTGACCTCCACCGTTCTGCCCTGAAGTCTCCAAGCTTGAGTCTCAGCATCTTGACGTGTCTGCCTTGCTTCGTATTGCTAACTCTCTCCAGCTCAGCTCTCTACTGTCACCGGAGGTATCTCTTCCACTGCCGGTAAGTTTTCTGTCATGCGGCTAGCCCCTGCCGTCGTCTCCCATCCCACGTTAGATCCGGGGCACAGGCCACGTGCTTAGCCCTGCTAGTGTCGGCCTTCTCCGATATGACGTTCCAGTGAGGAATCTTCTTCACGACGAGTCCTCTTACTCTTCTTCATCTCTTCTCTTCCTTTTCTTGCAACAAACAACAGAACAGACCGCTAACGGAGTAGCTATGGGCAAGGGAGTCACCGAGGACCAATTCGCGAAGAAGTCGAAGCTCTAAAACAAGTAAAAACCCGGTTGTGATCGGATTAGAAGTGTATTATGGATGTGTGTTTAGCTGCACGGTTTATTGTGGCGAAAACCTTCGCAATTTGACTGACATCGACACTGACACTTTCCGGCTGAGACAACTGCCAGCTGGGGAGGCGGCCGTGAGGTGTATACCCATCCGTCGCGTTGTCGGAGCGGATAGCCAGGGTCTACGGGCTCGTTCAGGACGAAAGTGATCGCCAATCGGAACAATCCTTCATTCTGTCACCGTCGCGCCATACACACACATGTTCCGATGGCAGGGGAGTCATCGTTGTAGACTAGAAGAATCGGGCGAGACGCGATGACCTTATGAGCGAGAGCACTTTCGACACACCAGACTCGCCGAAAGCTAACTGCCCATTCGCCCGGGGCACCACCGGCGCTTGGACGCCAGATCCCGCCGTGGAAACCAGAATCTAGAGTCAAACGAATTCCAATTGATGATATACCCACATCTGCTGATGGCAACCTGCTGAAAATCGCAGCGTAGACGGCGTGCGTGGTTCTCAGGTGAAAGGGAAACTTTCAGATGCCCATAACAAAGTAAAGTAAAGAGCGATTGCCTGTTGTGAGCTACAATGGCATTCTTGTGGCATCCCGTATCGTCTCGTACGCTGGCTCCCATTTCGCACAACAGTGCGAATGCCACACGTCCGATGGGCACGCACATCGATCGTTCGTTATCCGTACATGCCCTTACCTCGGTTGCATTTGTCACTGGGCGTCAAACAACGTGGCTCTGTCTGGCTCTCTTGCCCTGTGATTCTGGCATTCCCTGCGGTGGTCTTCGCACGACGACGTCGGCGAGGCAGGGAGTGCGCCCACAATGGTCACTGCAGCTGTTCCCAGGTAGGGCGGCGCTGACTCACAAGCATCTTCCAACGCCAGTCTCTGTACCAGTTCATGCACTCCGTCTAGGTTCGAGCTATTGTCCCCCTGCATTTGTGTTGCATACGAGACAAGAGGGGGGACGGCGCAGGGGGGTGACTAGCATCGTGACTTGGAAAGCGAGGGGCACTTAACCCCGTCGCTAGGAGACAAGTGATAGGGCGCAGAGCGCAGAGCTCACGAGCTGGAACTATGAGCGTCATGGTGCAGGACGGCATCAACTCCTTCGAGCGCTTGGTGGTGTCCGCTGCACCCATATACACAGGGCAACCCCGCAGCATGCATCAACTCCTTTTCGCATCATCTTCAACTTCATTCTCCGCCGTAAGAGTACATCCAGCATGAACGCTCCCGGCTCTTCGGCAACTGCGTCGGCTGCATCGCTAGGTCAGTCCGCGACAGGTGCGGAGGAGGAGAGCTTGCGTCTCCTGCTCGGTCTGACTTCGCTTTCCGTCGACACCTTCACCAGCATTGTGCACTCGCAGGCGGACACGTCGCTCAACTTTTTCGCTAGGCATATCCTCGGCGACGCGACTCGAGTCGCTCGTATTCTGAAGGGTAACCCCAGCCCAGTTAACGATCAGCTCGTGCAGACGATTTCAGATGAACTCGAAACCCCTCGCGCCAACGGCCTCGATGACATCCCCGACACCCTCCCTCTGCTGTGGCCAGTGGTTGCCGAAAAGGTGGGAAGTGTCAAATCGTTCCTCTGCTCGACTCTCGGCCGAGAGACCACAGACGACGCAATTCTAGCTCTGATCTACGGCGAGCCGCTCACCACCCGCACAGCCCAGCTTGATGCCATCCGTGCGCAGCAAGGTTGGGCAAACGCTCCTGACGAAGAAATCAGCGCTGCCTCGAGGCTCGCGCGCCTCGCCCTGTTAACAACTCTTGGTCTTTGTGACCAGACGCACGTTCAATCAGAGGCTGGGCCGCTCGCAACTCTGGCCAACCTCATCGACCAACCGATCTGCGAGCGAAAGCACGTACTTGACAACGAGGCGCCAGGACCCCTGCGCATGGTCCATGTCTTCTTCTCCGCCCGTTTCCGCTGCACGGATTGGGAACAGGGCAAGGGGCAGCCCCCCTTCAACTGCACAGCTCCTTGCGCCCACAACAGAGCATTGCACGCTTGGTACAAACACGATGTCGATCTTGCTCAGAAGCTGTTCGCAGCCGAATGCAAGAAGAGGGATCTGACAGAGGAGGAAGGGTGGCGCGTAGTTCGTCTGTCATACCTCCCCTGGCTTCGCATCAACGAGCGCGTCGTCGACCCACGCCCCGTTGGCAAGTCTCCAGAAGTCATCACAATGGACTTCATGCTTTCTCTGGGTAAGCTGGCCATCCTGGGAATCGAACCCGCGAGAAACCCTCAGAAACTGACCAGCAGTGGCTGCGCTCGGGCGCGCTGGAAGGGGGTTGGGTGAAGCTGAAGCCATCTGGGAGGAGCTCGTCCAGGTTCTCGACGGAAGCTCGACATTGACTGTGTTTCAAATCGACGGAGAGGGCGAGACGGAAAAAACTTTAGAAGACATCGGTACCAACAGCTGGGCCGATGAGTTCTCGGACGAGCTTCAAAAGTGAGTTCAGCAGAGGTTGAGGATGGGTTAGAAGCCGCGCTAACTGGACCCAGGCTCATCAAAGGCAAAGAAGCGAGCGGCGGTCTATTAAACCCCGTTGAGGTTGATGCCTTCTTTCCCCATCATTGCCTTAAGACTATCATTGACAGAGTCAATGCTCATAGCGAGCTGTAAGTCGGAAGTACCCTGAATTAGCTGTAGGAGTGGTGTCACACCCGATCAGCGAGTGTAGTGAATGTGTACAGTACACTGAGGTGGTTCACCCTACCACTCACTCGGGTTCCTCGAACTACCACTATTTCATTTCGTTCATGACCCCCCCTTCCGCATCCCGCAGCTCGCCCAGCTCCCATTCCTAAGCTTGTGAACCGCTTGTAGAAATCAATGCACTGGGCTGGAAATCAGTGCACTCCGAGAAGAAATGCCCTCTAGACCGCACTCTGGCAGCAACAGGAATTTCTGGCGAGTGGCCGCACATCAACTTGACCATCCTGATCGAATTGCTCCCGCGCTTTCTGGGCACCGAAATGATCATCAGAACTCCACAACCTCCACCTCACCAACCCGACAACTCCGAGCCCGCGCCGTCCGCCGCGAATCTCTGTACCCATGGCCCTACCGCCCGCCGCATCGAGACCATGGGGAACCCCGGCGACCGTGTTCGATCGACTGGCCGGTACCTGGCAGCTGTACCGCACGATCGAGGGACAGGCAGAGATGCGAGGGACCGCGAGTTTCACTGCGCTCGAGTCGGGGATGTTAAAGTACCGGGAGGAGGGCCGCCTTCGTCTAGCCGACGGCAACGAATTCAGTGCACACAAGGAATACGTCTTTGAGCGTGCGGCTTCGGGCTTCAACGTCTACTTTGCGGAAACACCCCTGCGACTGTTCCACGGCATCACGCTCGCAAGCGACGGCAGATCGTTGCGAGGGTCGGCAAACCACTGGTGCCAACCCGACACATACGAGAGTCAATACGTGTTTCGCGAGGATGGGACATTCACAGTCGAGCACAAAGTTCGCGGTCCCCACAAAGACTATGTCTCCGTGACATCATTTAGTCATTCATAGATACATATTATGCGGCGGCCGGGACCGACTGAATGTACTCCTTCCGAGCCTCGCGATCGTCAGTCCCCGGCTCGGAACGCGAGTAGGGGGTCCACTTGGGCTCATCCTGGAACAGACGCATGGCTGTGATCGTATTGTTCTCATCGACAGTAAAGCGGTGGTAGATGCTGAGTGTCAGCGAGGCACCAATGGCTTGCGCTTACCCCGGGGGGAGGACGATGAGGTCTCCCGGGACGAGGCCGATACGAATCCACCGCTTGTCAAGGGCGTCGACTCCGCCTGCGACTGTTAGCTTGGTCGTCCCAGGCGACTCACCGCGAACGTCGAAAAACCCAGAGCCACCGAGAATGTAGCGGATCTCCTCGTCCTCATGCAGGTGCCTTCCGGTCAGTTGCATTCCACGGCACTAACACACTCGTCAAAGAAAGAGCGGATCTTGTCCTCGTAGGAGGGACCCAGGCCCTCGGGAGTCACAGTGATTTGATCGCGCTTTCAGTCAGCACCGGTTGTCTCGGACACTCACGTTCTTGTAGCCGCGCTCCTTTGCAAACGTGTCAATCTCACCCTTCCACTTGCCGTCCTCGTCGATGGGAATGCGCTTGTAAACAACGCCGAGAGACGCAAGCGTGTCGGCCGTGACAGCCTCCCCAGAGTCGTGGGCGAGGCGCTGATCGCCACTGAAAACGCATCAGCCGACTCATCTCTGTTCAAACTCACGGGATATCGTTGTAAAAGTAGGCCTTCATGCTGATGGTTAGAGCGCAAAGTCGTGCATAAGCCGCTCATGATGGTTGGCCATGATGGCGCAACTGTTACGGAAAGCACGTTCTCAGGGTCGATCGGTGATTTGATTCCGGGTGGCGACGGTGACACGCAAGGCGTGTAGACAACAGCGGTGTAAACAACGACTGTCAGGAACCAAACAACTCCATCTACACGATGAGCTCGCTCTCGTCATCGACAAGCTCCTCCGGGTCCGATCAGTCGGCAGCGTATACACTACTAGAGAAGCTCGGTACTGGCAGCTTTGGTACAGTATGGAAGGCGTACGTGGATGATCTCGGAGGGTGTCCTGACGACACAGAGTTCACAACGAAACAAAGCAAGTCGTCGCCATCAAGATGATCGGTGAGCATTGCTTCTTGCGCTGTAACTGATGGCAGATCTCGAATCAAGTGAAGACGAAATTACCGAGATCCAGGCTGAGATCGCGCATCTATCGACCTGCTCATCTGACCGAGTGACTCGTTACTTTGGCAGCTTCGTGAAAGGGTACCGTCTGTGGATTGTGATGGAGTATCTTGCCGGAGGTAGCTGTCTGGATCTGGTGCGTTGCTTGCTTGCAATTCATTGGCTGACATTGAAGTTGAAGCCGGGGGTGTTCACCGAGAGCGAGATTGCGATTGTTTGCCGAGAGCTGCTGGTGGGCTTGACATACCTGCACTCCGAGGGCAAAATCCATCGCGACATCAAAGCCGCCAATGTTCTGCTTGCAGACGATGGATCCGTCAAACTGGGTAAGCCTCTCTGCGCTGTTGATTCTGACGCCTGCAGCCGACTTCGGTGTAGCAGCACAACTGTCGTCCCACAAGTCCCAGCGGCATACATTCGTGGGCACACCGTTCTGGATGGCCCCAGAGGTTATCAGACAGACGGGCTATGACGCGAGAGCAGACATCTGGTCTCTTGGCATCACAGCCATTGAGATGGCAAAGGGCGAACCACCGCTATCTGAAAACCACCCAATGAAGGTGCTGTTCCTCATCCCCAAAGCCGACGCTCCGCGGCTGCAGACCCCGCCCTGGAGCACGGATTTTTCCAGCTTCATCGCATGCTGCTTGCAAAAAGACGCCCAGAAGGTACGGTTGCTCCCCGAGTCTCCCGCTAACGTGCAAGCGCGCTACTGCCAAGGCTTTGCTTCAACACCCGTTCATCACGTCCGCGGGCTCCACGTCGGAACTGGGAGGGCTGATACGGCGCTACGCAGCTTACCGCAAGGCCAACCTGAAGACATCTGGCCCTGCCCCGGATCATGCCGGTACAATCGCGGGGACAACAGGCGGCATGGAGTGGGATTTCGACGAGACTATTCGCGGGACAGTCAAAGGCATGCCAATCCATTTGGACTTGGAAGCGCTGGATGCCAGTATCGATCAGGCATCTGGGCCACAGCGAATTCCGTCGTTCGGCGGCGGGGTGGCCGCAGGAACCGTCAGAATGCCAACCCCGACAGAGGATGCGGAGGCAAGTGGGACTGTCCGACCGCCCAGGCATAAAGAGGCCAGCGCTCGACCATCGGCCACTGGCAGCACGTCCTTCTGGGATTTGGGCGAGCTGGAAGCTAGTGACGCACGCTGTGTCAGCTCTATTCGCGAAGGGTTCAGCCAGTTGGCCAAACAGAATCCGGCGCTCACCGCTCGCATTGTTTCCCATCTCATGGGGGAGGTGAACAAGCCTGATCTCCTCGCCACGGAAACCTCCTCGGACGACGACGACCTGATCACGGAGCGAGGTCCCATTGCCGACCTCCTCTATCAACGATGTGAGTGGCGCTTGCGAGGCAAAGCGGCTGACCTTTTAGGGTTTGACGGGCTCAAAGTGAAGGTCGCTGCGTGAAGTTTCCGTTGTATGCATGTGTCTATCGTCAAACCTTAAGCACCACTCTGGGCTGTGCCTGTCCGTTACGGCACTGTCTATGCCGGCCGTGTTGCGGATGCGCTCGGCGTACTCCTGTCAGCCCTCTCCTCTCATGCATTCATAAGGGCCTCATCTGACTGCGTACCCCGTTAACCCTCCGTGATGTTGCGGCGTTCTCCCATCACTTATCCACTAAGATATCTCTCAGGTCCAGCGGCTGTATACCGTTCAACGGCCCACTCAACTCGATTCGCACTCCGAAGATTCGATGCAGGGTCCTTCAGCAGCTCTGTCTCACGAGCAGCCACCACTGAAGAGCGCCGCCAACGGAATCGCACGGTGAACCTACAAAGGTGGTTACAGCGGCCACGGCGGCCAGGCGATCACTATGAAGTTTCAAATATATATTTTCTCGGGATTCTACCGTTTTCGCTGATCGCGTTCTTGGTAGGTTGTAGATTCAAACCAGGGCTGACAGACAGGCTTACGCGGGCATGCAGCATCGAAGGGAAGCAAGCAAGAGCAGAGAGCAGCCTCAAGCGCAGGGCGAAGAGGATGGAAGATCGTAGCCGAACACATTGTGGAGTCGCATCTAAGCGAAGACCGGATATAAAGGCCCCTTGTCACACTAGCACATGATCTTCGACGTACGTTGCTGATACGGAGCGATATGCTAGATTCCAAGTGTAATGGACGTGAAAAGGATGAGGGGCGTTTGGGTCTGGTGATGCATGCAGTGACCTGGACGACTTGGGAGGCTTTTCAGGCACAAATCGAAATTATCGGTCGAAAAATATTGTCGGATTTAACCAATTCAATGACGTGTGAAATGTCGTCTTCGCTGTGATAGGGGCCAATCAGGCCCTGCTAGAGCTATGTGCCAACTTCTCGGTCATCCGTAACCCAACCTCAACCTATTCAAAGTGGGTGACTGACGCGGACGGCGGGGAGACCGACGAGGACGTCGTGCTGACAGTGCAGATGGAGAACGACCGTGGTACGTATATCTCGGCGCGACTTTCGACGGGAGACGGATTTTGCGAACGGAACGGCGGATTCAGGCTCTTGGGCACCTCGTTTTGATGGAATGGGCGTGCGGCGTATCGACGACACCGAAAGGCAGGGAGAAGAAGCGGTCTTGTTTTTTGAGGTGGAGCGTCTGGAATGAGCTAAGAACGGGAAAGACTCGACCAGTTGCGACTTCCAACGAAAGTCATGGCGATTCAACTAGAACGGGAACAACCAAATCCATCGGAGTCGCGCGAGTTCACGATTTGTGTCGAGCTGTTGACGCCTGCGAAAACATACGAATGAGGCTTCTTCTGCGCGCCAGCTTGCCCGACCTTGCCAGCTTCGCTTCATGTTGTTCATCACGAAATCGCTTGTGGAGGGAGCTGCCGTCCGAACTGCCTCGCCGCCTGTCGAATTCACTCCATTTGCCCATCTACTCTCCCGTCGGATCGCTTGGTCTCGCTTGCGCATTGCTAATTGCAGGTGTCCTCGTTGACCTTTACATTCCCCGCCACTGCGCTGCCACTGGTCGCCTGATCACCTCCAAGGACCACGCCTCGGTCCAGATCATGGTCGCCGACGTTGACGCCGATGGCAAGGCCATCAAGGGCAAGAACCACACCTACGCCCTCTGCGGTGAGGTCCGCGCCATGGGCGAGGCCGACGACGTAAGTGTTTAGCCATTTGAGTAGGGAATCGTTCCGCTGACGTTATAGTCGCTCAACCGCCTCGCTACCCAGGACGGCCTCCTCCAGCACGTCTGGTCGTACTCGAGGTAATTACCTCGTGTTCTGTATGCATAGGACTCCTTTCTTCTGAGCATGTATGGGCAGGATGAGGTTTGACCGTGCTTGCATAATGGTCACTGTACTGATTGGCTTATCGACCCCACTCAGACGGGTCCCATTCGTCCGCTGAATCAACTTCGCTTCCCCACACAGCCTCATCGACCTCGTCAATGTCGACCGGAAGAACCTCGCGCCCAGCTGAGCGCGCAATCCTACGCGCAAACCGTTCGAAGGCGTAGAACTCTGGGCGTATCTCCGAAGTGTACCAGCTGGGCTCGTCAGCTTCCTCTTTGACAGGGGGCTGTCCTACTAGTTCACCGCAACAGCGAGACCGCCCTCTCCTTCCTGCTGCTCAACTCGATGCCACCAGTTTGCAGGAAGGTACAGGGAATCTCCCTCGTTCAATGTCACTATCGTATGCCGCGCATGCGCTGGGATGTCTGTACCCTCCACCCAAGGCACATCGGGAGCTGAGGGGTCGTCGAAGCGCGCTTCCAGACCGTTCTCCCCTCTGACCAGTGTCGAGGGTCGATGGAACCGTTCTGCTATCAGTCTCATGAAAGCCTGCGAACTTACGCTCGATCCTCAGCCCATCGATGGGAGACACAAGCGTGAACGTTTTGCTGCCACTTAAAACGTGGTAGATGTTCTCATAAGGATCATGGTGCAGGGAGGTGGTACTCCGGGATGCACCGATCCAGAGGTTGACGGCCTCGGCTGAATATCCTGTGGCCTCCTTCATCCACACAGTATCCCTCTCAATGAATGGCTGAAAGTCGGCTAGGTCAGGCGGTCCTCTTGCCCCCGGTGTAGAACGATAGATGTTTCCATCTTGAGACTGCAGGTAGTGAATTTCCTGTTCTCCGTCAGTCAACCGGCTTAGGAATGTTCCCATGGACATGTGTTCCTCTAATGGTTTAACAAACGTCGTCGACCCGTCCGTGAGGGTTCGCACAGAGTCTGCAAGTCTGCTGTCAGTTTGACCCTCAAAGAACTCACCCATCATCTGTCACTGCAATGGAAACTAGCTTTTGGCCCATAATCTCGATGTAGGTAGACTTGCTGTTCCAATTCTTAACCGTGCCCGCGGTGACCGGACTGAAGCCTTTCGTTAGCGAACGTCTCCGACGTACCCACCCTTTATGATGACTGGCTGCGAACGATTGATCATACGCAGAGCCTCGATGGCGCTGGGAGGCTGATCGAGCGTCGCTACGCCGTCTGTTTGCAGATCTGGACATCAGTTCAGCGGATACTTTCCAGCTCACCATGATAGTCATCAGTCAAGTTCTCCAAATGGGTTTCTAACAAGCTCTCCTCAATCATGGTGTGTAGCTTGCAATCCACTTCCCCGGTGCCCAGTCGTGCGTGCGTTTCGAACCTCTACTTTTGCGAGGGAGTTGTTCCGAGGTTAAGGCGCCCGCGATCTTGGCTTTGGTTCCAGGGTATCAGTTGACGTCCCTGTCTACCACGTGCGAATGACGGAGGCGGCGGCCAGTCCAAAGTCTGGTCCCCGACTTTCCGCAACGACAATCAACAGCTTGTCACTCTCATCACATTCTCCTATACTCTCCTGCCCAGAGCAACTCCTTCGTCATGGCCGCCCTGGCATTGCTTCTCGCATTGCCTGGGGCTCTGGCGGATGCTGAAGACGCTCGCCCGACACCGCCTACCATGGCCGGAAACCCGCTAGTGGCTTTGGCCGGCGCTGTCGTCGGCGTCATATTACACTTGCTCGGCCTCATCCAGCAAGTCATCACTTTCATCACTATCACTCTCCCAACGTAAGTACCAGAGTGGTCTAAGGTTTCTGACGGACAGTTTTATCATCGGCATGCTTCATTATTCATTCACGATCAGTTTTGGTTTCCCTCACCTCGTCGGTCTATTTGTACTGGTTCTGGGTCTGGTCTTCTTTCTTGTCCGCTACAAAGTACGTCGCCATGATTCTACAACGCACTGACACGGCCAGTATCTCACCAAGTACACTCAGCTGAAGGAAACAGCGTACGTGACCGTATGATTGCGAGCCTCACTTACGAGTAGCCTGCCAAGCCCGTCCCCTCCCACGCTCACTAACTCGCTGCCCTTGGTGGACACGGATATCACTGAGCGAAAGCGGTCGTCAAACCCCCTTCATTCCTACCTCGATGACTTTCTCTCGGCTATTCGTATCTTTGGATATCTTGAGAAGCCTATTTTCCACGAACTGAGCCGTCATTTGCAGACCCGCCGCCTGGCAGCTGGCGACACGATTGAGGTCGGGGGTGGGGACTTTTGGTGTGTCGTTGAAGGCAACGTGCAAGTGGTGAGTGGTCATCTGCCTTACGTTCATGCACCAACACTAGTTTGCCCCCTCCGCAGACTCAGAGGACACGATACCAGACCCACTGAGCTCAAACGGGAGCTTCAACGGGTATAATCTCGTCAACGAGGTTTCCACAGGCGGTACCCTCTCCTCTCTTTTCTCTATTCTTTCTCTTTTTACGGAAGACATCAAGCTGTCGTGGGACTCTGAAGCCCTATCTCCTGATCGTGCTGCCTCTGAGGAGGTGCCTCGCACTCGCGCTAATTCTGATGTATCCCAACTCGACGGCAGAGTTATGGGTCTGAGCCCTTTGGAATCCACGAACATTGCTCTCGAAGAGGATGGCGACCCGAAGACTCCCGTTCACACGGATGAGGACAAGTCCCAGGAACCAGAGTCATCTCCTTTATCCGACGAAGCTCAAAGTCCCAGCTCAATTTCGAACTCTCAGCCCGGAAGTTCGGTGACTTCCCCGCAGGCGACCTCTCCTCTTCCGGCGTCACCATCTATCGAGGCAACACCGATCATCACTATGAAGCCGTTTCCTCCGGACATCAGAATTGGTGCTTCAGGCAGAGGCACCCCAGAGGACCGCCGATCAACGAAGCCGAAGATCCGAAATCCTATGAAAGGCGTCATCGCTCGAGCCACAGTGGATACGACTCTGGCTGTCATACCGGCGGAGGCGTTCCGCAAGGTGACTAGAAAGTACCCAAAGGCTACGGGTACCATTGTGCAAGTGGTTCTGGAGCGCTTTTCCCGAGTGACATTCATGACTGCTCACAAGTTTTTCGGTCTCACGCGAGAGATCCTGCGCTCTGAGGCATCGCTTAACTCTATGGTTTCTTATCCTCTTCCACGCAGTTTTTACGCAGGAGGGGGAATGCAAATTCTCCGCGAAAAGTTCGAGCCGTCTCTCAGGCGCGGTCGTGACCGCAAGCAAGACGACTTGATGAAGGATTACTTCTCGTATGTGCCAACGAGTCCGAACACCCGAAACGTGTCTCTTCCGTCCTCACGACTGGACACCCCGCTCCGTCGCCCACCACTTAGTGGATCAGACAGTCATTCTAAGCGTACGTCTGATTCTGAGGAGACCGCCATTGGTGCCAACGAATACCACGACACTCGCTCGCACAGCCCTCTGAACGCTTTCACTCCCAGACGTCAGCAATCGGCGCATCGCAAGGAAGTGGCCGCAGGCGACCTGGCCGTGTTACAGGACGACGGCGAAGAAGATACCTTTTACCGTCCTATCAAGACGCCTGGTCTGCCACGAATCGACACCTGGCGGGGCCGCATCCCGTCCATTTCCTCGAACGACTTCTACTCTGACGCCGAGGCAGAGGAGGTGGAGGAGGAATTGGAGGCGGAGTTGCGAGGGATGCTCGTTGAGTGCATTGCCAAATCGATCGGCCTTCTTCAACCGGCCGATAGCCATCCCGACTCTGCCCGTCGGTCTGTGTCTGCTTCGTCCAGCCCGGGCTCGCCAATGTTCCTTCCGTCGGGTCGCCCTGCTAGCATGCGTGGGCCTTTTGGAAACGTTCTCGACATGATCAATGCCTCTCCTGGTGGCAATGACAATATCAGCGGTCTTCTTCGGGAAAGCTTGATGAACGCCCGCCTGCAGGCCGATGACGATCAGAGCAGTATCTCTGCAAGCATGCAGGAGAGTTCGCTCCAGGGTGGTCCCCCGGACGTCAACTCCGCCATCATGCGTGATCTCGGAAATCGACTAGAGGTTCTACGCTTCAAGAAAGGGTCTACATTGGTGAAGCAGGGTGAGCGTGCTCCCGGTCTGTATTATGTGATTGACGGCTTTCTGGACGTAAGTGGCAGCGCTTTACATGCGATACTGACCCTAGGTATCCATATCCACCACGCCAGCCTTTGAGGACCACGGCTCCTCCACCAATCTGAGTTCGCATCGTCAACCGGAATCGTCGTCTCGCAGTCGGCCCTTCAGCGCAGGCATGGGACAAGCAGATCCCGGATCACCTGTGGCGTCCTTCAGTGGCGCCGGAAGTGCCGATGAGGAGCATCTCTATACTGTTAACCCCGGAGGGCTCGCAGGTTATCTCTCATCTCTCTGCGGAACCGAATCTTACGTGAAGATCACTGCCAAGACAGATTGCTACGTTGGATTTGTTCCACGACAGGCTCTTGAGCGCATCATCGAACGTCGTCCGTTGGTGCTTCTTACCCTCTCGAAGCGTCTCCTCTCTCTGCTCTCGCCTTTAGTCCTCCTCATCGACGCTGGCCTGGACTGGATGCAACTGGGGGCTGGCCAGATTCTGTTTGAGAAGGGCTCGAAAGCCACAGATTTTTATATCGTCATCAATGGACGTTTGCGTTCTGTCGTTCAGAAAGCAGACAGCGAAAGCGTCGAAGTACTCCGCGAATACAGCCAGGACGATTCGATCGGAGAACTGGACGTGATCACTGGTGCCGACCACCCTGTTACGGTACAGGCCATTCGCGAGACTGAACTGGTACGAATTCCTTCCGCGCTCTTTGATGCCATCAGCACGCGCCACCCCGCCACGACGGTGCAGTTTATGCGGCTCATTGCCTCTCGCGTACGGAAAGGTCTGTCTGAGCAGGTCCTGAAGCACACGCATCATCATCACGGCGGGGAGCTTCGCGCCGACAGGAATCTCAGTGAGTCTGACTGTTTCAGTTCAAGCTGACAGCATCAGAGACGGTTTGTATCTTGGGCGTCAACAAGAACGTTCCGGTCGCCCAGTTCGCTGCCAAACTGAAGGCGTCACTCGACGAGATGGGCGAAGCCTCCTCGTATCTCGACCAAGCAACAGTGATGCGCCATCTAGGCAGACATGCTTTCTCACGCATGGGAGCTTTGAAGATCGCTGGATGGCTTTCTGATCAGGAAGAGCAGCACCGCATCGTCCTGTACGTTGCCGATACCCCGCCCTCAAGCCAGTGGACACAGACGTGCATACGCCAGGCCGATTTGATTCTCGTGCTGGGAATGGGTGACGACCCTTCTATCGGCGAGTACGAAAAAGTGCTCCTGGCCATGAAATCGTACGCTCGCAAGGAACTGGTTTTGCTCCATGACGATCGGTTTGTTCCGCGCGGTTCGACTCGTCTGTGGCTGAAGAACCGTCCCTACATTCAAGGTCACTTCCACGTCGAGTTACCAGGGCACATCACATCTACCAAGAGTACTAAGATCCACGACCCCGCCGGAACCGCAGCTTTCAAACATCTTCGAGAGCGCGTTGAAACTCGCATTAAGCAGTATCGCGGTCTGCGGCCTCTCGGCCGGCCAAGGAGACCGCCACACATGAACGACTTTGCCCGCATCGCGCGCCGTCTTTTGGGGAAGCAAGTGGGGCTTGTCCTAGGCGGCGGTGGGGCTCGTGGTATTTCGCACTTGGGAATGCTTCAAGCTCTCGAGGAAAGTGGGATCCCTGTCGATGCCATCGCTGGCTGCTCCATTGGTTCATTCGTCGGAGGACTTTATGCAGGTGCCACCGACCTCATCGAAACGACGGGCCGAGTCAAGCAATTCTCCGGGCGTATGGGTTCCATGCTGCGTATTCTGAGTGACGTGACCTACCCTCACGCTGCTTACACGACTGGCCACGAGTTCAGTGAGTGGACTGCACGGGTGTGAGCTAACTGGTGAGATCGCGGTATTTACAAAGCTTTCTACAACACACATATCGAGGACTGCTGGATTCCGTTCTTCTGCAATTCCACCAACATCACTCATTCAAGAATGGAGATCCATAGGTCCGGTTACGCGTGGCGCTACGTGCGAGCATCGATGACACTAGCCGGATTGCTTCCCCCTCTTTCAGACAATGGGGACCGTAAGTTTACTTCAGGGGGCTTGGTTGACTTTAGTGCTCGTCGATGGAGGATACATGGACAACACGCCCATCTCACCTCTTCGTGCAAGTGGTATTCAAGACGTCATAGTTGTCGATGTTGGGTCCATTGACGACACGTCGGCCCGCAACTATGGCGACTCCGTTTCGGGATGGTGGCTGTTCATCAACAAGTTCAACCCCTTCTACAAGACCGTTGTCCCCAGCATGACGGAAATTTCATCGCGGTTGACTTATGTTTCGAGCGTCCGGACTCTGGAGGACGTCAAGAGCGATCCGAAGATTCTGTACATGGCGATGCCTGTTCAGGACGTAGAGACGATCGGAGGATTCAAGAAGTTTAGCGAGGTTCGGGAGATTGGTCTGCATGCCGCACGCAAGCAGCTGAAGGCATGGGCGGAGGAGGGCCGTCTGCCTCATCCGATCGCAGACAAGTCGCACGGTGCGATAGGTCAACAGAAGAACACCCGCATGCGCCGCAGCTCTATATAGTGAGCTTCCTATTGATTCATAATGTGAAATGGATATTCTATGTACAACAGATATGATGGCAACATTGATGTCAAATGGGGGGGAGGGGTGAATCAAGCTGTATGTATCGGTGCGATACAGACGCGGTACTCGACTTCACAGTTAAGCTTCGCTGGTGACACCAGATGCGCCTGAGAAGCGAGGAGAGAGGTTCATCGTCTCAAAACTCGTGGAGATGCCTCCGTCCATGAGGTCGCGATGGCGGTGCCAAGAGCTGTTCTCCTTGGGCATCTGGCGCGCCTTGTTCTTTATTCTGAGCCTGCCCTCAGGAAGATCCTCTTCGTCCTCGTCGGTCTCCATGGCATCCTCGTCTTCGTCCTCGTCCGAGTCACTGTCTCCTCCAAGGTCAACGGCCACATCATCCCACGTCCGGTACAAGTGCTCGATGAACTCGCCGGAAACGGGGAGATCATAGGGATCAAAAGGGAAATAGTCATCGAGTCCTGCGTCAATGTTGATCTGGCGTGCGAGCTTAGGAATAGCAATGTTGGACGCAGCAGCCTGTGTCGGCATATTGGGAACGCTCTGCGTACGCGCAAAAGTGCGCTGGCGGCCGAGCTGCGAACCGTTCAGCGAACTTGACGTAGGTACGCGATGGGCATTCTGATTGGCCTCGATGATGCTGAAGCAGTACGCAAAGTTGGTAGCGTTCGCGACCTTGGCGAACGTGGAGACAATGTTGGGGTTGCAACCCAGCAACGGGTTCAGCTCAGACGTGATTGCACGTTGGAGCACGTCCAGGTCTGCGATCCACTGGCCCCCCTGAGCCTCGTCCATGTCCATCTCACCCGTGACCTCCATGTCGTCCTGGTTCGTGAATGCGCGCCAGCGGAAACAGAATATGAGCATCGCAGCTTGGCAGACAGCGTAGAACAGCGGAAGCTCGGGATCGTTCTTCTTTGCACGCGCCGAATGCAGTTTGCCGTCGACATAAGCGAGGAGGTAGCCCATGACTGTGCGAGCCTGTTCGTCGCTAACAAAGCGGGCCCGGCAAACAAGTGAGCCGATGTAAACCGTCGCGGCCACACGCTGGGAGAGGGAAACAGGCTGAGAGGCGAGGGTCGGCTGGTCGCTGGTACGGGCGTAGAGAGACTGCAAGACCAGGAGATGCAGGAAGAGTTCGGTATGCGCGGGTGAAAAGGAAGAGCACATGAAGATAACGAAAGGGAGGTGCTGGGTTGCCGACGTCGGAAGGATTTGGCGGGAGAACAGGTTGAGAAGTGTCTGGAAATGCGCAAGCGACTGCGCGGGGTTGGGCGGCGGCCGAGTCGCGAGAGCAGGAACCGCTGAGTTGGGAGCAGACGATCCGCTGCTACGCGGGGTAGAGCTCGTTGGGGTGCTGGGGCGCGGCGTGCCGGCGCGGGGTGTGGAGCTGCCGCTGCCGGAAACGAGAGATTGTGCGGCAACCTCGGCCGCAGACAGACCGCGCTCACGGGCGCCCATGGCCTCTTCGAGGTACCGCAAAAAATAGCACAGCATACCGTCCAGCTTGGAGCGCATGGTCCGGAGTACCTCGCGCTTCTTTGGGCGCGCAGCGGCGAGCTTCGCGAGGTCGTGCTCGTCGCCATCGTCCTCGTTCTCGTCGTCCGACGACAGGGCGTCAGGATCGGGGTCGCCCTCGTCATCATCATCGCTGTCATCGTCGTCATCGTCGATCCCGTCCTTGGGAGCATCTTGACTTATGAGAAGCTCGAACGGATCAATGCTCATCGCTCGGGGGCCGGTCTCATCCTCGTCATCCTCGTCATCGTCATCGTCGTCCTCCAGACGGTTCGTGATTTCCACATCGATGCGAAGCATGCGATCAACGAGGGATGCCCAAACTCTCGCGCCCAATTCGGGGCAGTAGTCGATGAGTTCACAACAGTTGCGGACCCACGTCGTCTGCACAACCTCGGCTTCGCGCTTATGCGGGGCGTACCGGTTGAGGAGAGGTTGAAGAACGTTCGGGAGCGTAGGGATGAGGCTCAATAGATGAGACAGCAGAAGATGATGCCGAGCGTGGTATTCGCGTCGAGTAATGGTGGAGGGAACAGAAGTGGGGTGTTCTGAGCGGCGTCAGCCCAAAGAGAACCGACACAGTGGAGGACTTACGCCAAGTGAGGCCCTTCACAGCCATCGATACGATCTCCTTTGTCCATCCAGGATGGGCAGACACGATAACACCGCACAGTCCCACATAGCTCTTAACAAACTTCTCGTCCCCCGTGGCCCAGGGCAGATTGACGATCGCAGAGATGAGACCGCCATGAAGGGATGGCATGAGAAGGGAGACGTGGGCCGTTAGAGCTCTGACGAGTGGCAGCAGTGGGACAAGCTGGACGAGAGGCTGTGTGGGAGTCGGCAAGAAGTGGGAAAGGAGGTCGTTGTAGTTTTTCATGTTTCCCTCGGCACTCTCCTTAAGAGCACGGGGAACGAAAACACCGATCAGCTGACGCTGGAAGGCTTCACGGTCGCGCGCCTCACGAAGCTCGCCGACAGATCGAGTCCTTCGCGCAGCATCTTTGTCGGTTTCATATTCACGTGGTCGTTTCTTTCCAGTCAGAGAGGAGGCACGCGGAGAGGCGACGGCGACGTTGTCGCGAGACATCGGTGGCAGTTGGAATCGAGGTGACTTTGCGGGCGGAGGGTGGCGGGAGGCGCGAGGAGTTCTGGACACATGAGAGGAGGACCAGGAGGGGGAGTTGATTGCCTGAGGCATTGACAGCAGAGAGGCACTGCTCCCCTTTTATCGTAGAGTCGGGGAGGAAGATATGATTAGTCTACAGCTAGTTGTCGTGCGAGGTGTGGTCGAGGACAGTCTGTGTTCGCACCGCGGTCGTGTGATGGACAACAAGAGGTGGAAATCTACGCCTTATCAAAAGGACACCTCATAAATTCAGGTACGTCAAGGCACGGCCTCCACCACACATGTCCAGGCCTGTCCACTATCTCTTGGACCTTCCTCGCCCTGCAACCGTCGCCACTGCGTGGTCATGCCTGCGCCCTCTGCAGCGTGCACATGTCATCTTGACTCTGTCCTTCCCGCAACCTCATCCTCAACACTTGAACACGCAAAGGAGCCGTGTCTGCGCTCCCTGTCGAGTTTCGGTCACCATGGCTCAGAAACGCGGTGTTCACAACACTCTCGCCTCCATGATTTTGGGCGAGATTCCCGCCTTCCCCCTACCTCCTCTGCCTCCCATCACCGATCCCGTTCTTTCGCGCACAGCTCTTACCCACCCGAGCCTGCACCAAAACCACCGCCGACCGTTTGACCTCGAAGGAGCCGACCGTCCAGAGGACTACGAAAAGCTTGAGCATGTCGGAGACGCTCTGCTTGGTAGCGTCGTCACCCTCCTTCTGCATGATCTGCACCCTGACCTCGACCCTGGCGCTGCCACAGTGAGTGAAGGCATGTGACCGACACTCTGTCTGCGCCGAATGCCAAGACCCAGCTGACGCCAGAAACTTAAGTCGCTGCTCGTGTCGAACGAAACGCTGGCCGAGCTCTGCCAACGCTATCACCTTCACGACAACTTTATTGGTGCGCCAGCCGCACTCCCAACGATCCGTGCGGCCGTCGGTACACGTGCGTGCCTGTTCGAAGCCTACATTGCGGCTGTGTACTACGATTTTCTGACCAGCGAGCGCCCGGGCCTGTACCCCTCCGGGTCTCAGTCCACTGCGCCATCGATCACGGGCGCGACAATTGGGAGCGACGTCGGCGACGATGGCGATGCGGCCTTCGGCGACGATGGCGCGGAAGAGCGTTCGCAAACCCCTACGCCTACGGAGCCACCTGAAACGCCCACAGGTCTGGAGGACCTTAGCATTTCTGGGAACAAGACCCCTCCTGCACGCCCTGGATCCGCCGCGCCAAGCGCGACATCGAGCGCGGCGGTGCCATCGGCCTACGTGCACGTCGCGAGTGATGCGGAGCTTCCACCCCTCGTGCCGCGCTACAAGCGCACGCGCGGCATGGCCGTCGACTATCTCGAGTCGTGGCTCCGTCCTCTCTTCACGCCGGTCGCCGAAGTCGGCCTGCAGAGTATGCGCGCCAAGTGGCGCGAGTACCAGGCTTCAGGTGCTGCGGAGGACGGGGACCTCGACGCGCGCGCCATCGGTGCCCTCTCCGCACTGAACCAGTTCACGAACGCAAAGTGGGCTTGCATGCCTCGCTACAAGGACGCCGGGGCCACGGAGAGTGGGGGATGGAAGTTTGAGGGCGAAGTCACGAGTCCCGAGGGCAAGACATACGCGGCAACGGCTGTCAGACCTAACAAGAAGTCAGCCCAAACCGTGCTTGCCTACAAGATCGGTAAGGCCATGCAGGCCGATGGGCACAATGTTGGTCTTGCGTGAGCATCATAGTGGACATATCCGCGAGAGACGCAAGCTGTAGTGTGCAGCTGAGGAAGAGTAGTATCAATGTACATAAAAACACAGGGAGTGTATCAAGCGAACGTCGCTGTCTATAGATGTCTAGTATGGCAATGTAAATATAAGGCATGAGAGAGTGCGCAGCCTTACGCTGGACTGGATCAGAGGTTGGAGAGTTCAGCGGCGAGCTCATCTGCCAGCTGGGCGGCGCGGGCGGCGCGGCTTTCCCTTCCCAGGCCCTCGTTGATCGTCGCCTCGTGGCGCGTCGTCTCGAGCTGAATCTTCAGGACTTCGGGGTACCACGCTGGTGAGACATGAACAGGCGGGGCGACCGGCGAGGAAGCAAGGTCGGCGTCGCTGCTGTTCTTCCTGATCGGCTTGTCCTCTTTACTCTCCTCCTTTCTCTCCTCTTTGTCCTCCTGCGCGCCCTCCGCAGACACTGCTTTCGGGGCTTGCTTGGGAGAGCTAGAGCTTGACGAAGGCTTAGCGTGGTCCTGCTCGCTCCGCCGTATCCGCGCCTTCTCCCACTTGACAATCCGCCGACACTCTGCCAGAACAATCAATGCCTCGCTCTCCGCCGCGTGGTAGTCCGGAGGCGTAAGGCTCAGGTATGCCTTGACGAGCTGCGCGCGCGTCTTGAGCAGCGGCGTCGGGTCGGGCCGACTGGGGCGTTTCGGCACTGGGCTCTTGAGGGTCGGAGATCCAGCGCGTGTGTTACCGCCGCTGCTCCTTACTGGCGAAGGAGCGCGCGAGTTTGCCCTCGAGTTGGCGCGGGAGGTCGCACGCGAGGTTGAGCGGGAGAGGTCGAGCTCAAAGCCGAATCCGTCTCCGTAAACTTGCGCCGGACGCTCGTGGCCATGCTCCAGTCCGTGAGGCGGGACGGTGGCGTGTCCGTACTCGTCGAGGTAGGCATTGCCGGGCCCCTTGGTCGATCGCGGCTGGTGCGCCGCCAATGCCGCGAGGCCACTGAGCTGGTGCAGGTGACCGTGGGCCTGCGCCGCGTGGGCATAGGGGTGGCTGCCGTGCTGGTGAGGGTGTCCTGCATGGTGACCATGGCCGTGAGATGCGGAGTGCGACGAGAGGGACGAGTGCGACGACGAAGGGTTGATCGCGGGCTCAAGCTGTAGTCGGTGAACTCGGGCTGAGAGGAGCTGAACGCGCTGCGCTGGGTCAGATGTCGTGCGGAGCAGGGTGTCGATCATCCCGAGGGAGAGGAAGGGGGATTCTAGGAGTGTCGGCATGATGTCAATGTGGTGTGAAGGTGGGGGGCTTCGATGGCAACAGTGAGTCGTTAACAACGATATGCCAGCCAAAGCTGACTACGTTCAAGCGCAATGTTGGAGAGAGTGCAAGGCAATCGGGGACGGCAGTGTCGTGGGAACGTCAGAAATAACGCCAGACGTTGAGGCGGCGTCGATATCGTGGCGTGCGGCTTGGGTGGAATAGCCGATGTCACGTTTCTGAGATACGCTCAGACACTTGCTCGGCTTGGGTCGAAGGTCCGTTCACCGTTGATCCGCGCTGCGCCTCTGTTATCGTCGTCGAGCTCGTCGTTGGACGCGTTGTCGATGCAAGGGTGTGAGATTGGAGAGATGCACTGGAACAATGCGCGCGTTCCTATCGCCCGTGCTTAGATATGCATTCGTCGTTGGGATGCACGTCGCCTGTTATTTTTTCTGAAGATGTTTTTGCCGAGGACAAGGGGAATCGCTTATCGACGCTGAGACGCTGGCTGGTCTGCAGGGCTTGCCGCTGGGCTTGACCTCGTGAGATGCAGGTACATGCAGCCTGGCGTCAGCGTAGGGCGGTGAGGGGCGAAATTGGCCGTCGGATCTCGACGCGACAAGACGCCGATAATTCCTACCTCTCACTCCCACTTTCCATATCGACCGAGTGGGGGGACTCTGCAGGCGCACGCTATCGGCCACGCCGGGCACGTGTGCTGGCGTACGAGGGTGGGGGAGGGCACACACTGCCATTGGGCGACAGCATCCGACACCGGGCACATTCCAATCTTGTCAGCGGTCGCCGAATACAAAGCTTTGCGGGGGTGAGTAACCCACCGGAGAGCCTCGCGCCTCGGCCTCGCTTGAAAACAAGCGACCCCGACACCGGACTGTCTGTCGGCCTCGTCGGCCTCGTCGGCGAGCACCTGCGCCGCACATCACTGGCAATCACAGTTGCGAGGTAGCCCAAGGACCAGGCTTCTGTACCAGACACGTACCGTCGCGTGGGAATCGGTGTACTCGAGCGAATGGCAAGGCAATGAGTTGACATAGGTACATAATGCGGTCCCAGGCCCAGAGTGCGATCTGTAACCCTGGGCACTAGTGGAACCTTAATGCTAGTGCTGGGTGTGGTATGGAATTAATTGTCCGCAGGAAACCAAATATAGTTCTGATGTTATGACGGCGACCGCCGCTGAGCTTGGCTGGCACGTCGATTACAGACGCTTCAGGCCGCGCTTCGCCTTTGCCGCGGGCGGCTTCTTTGCCGGCACGGTCTTCTTGATCTCCGGCACTGACGGAGGCGCAGGGCTCGTCTCCTGACGGGCGTACGTGCCGAGCGGGGCCGGACGGGGAGCGTCTAGCTGCGCCTGCTGCTGCTTGTGTGGGCTCGGCGGCTGAGGGCTGGGGCTGGCAGTGGCGGGTGTGTGCGCCGGCGGCGAGGGGAGTAGCGTTGACGTAGGGCGCGCCTTGGCGTCGCGGAATGGCGCCGGGGGCAGCTTCGACGTAGCGTGGATGCCGGTAAGGAGCTTTGCGTACTTGCAGTACCCCTCATAGTCGGCCAGGAGCTGCTTTCCAGCTTCCTCATCCAGAGCGCTCTCGGGATTGGGGTAGATCAAAAGGCACTTGATGGTCTGAGATTAGCGAGTGGCCGACTAGCGTTGGCGCCATGACGCCTGCCACTGCAGTATTCCACTTACCACAAGTACATGCCCAACGCCGTACTCTCGCTTCCACGCCTTCTTCAACGTGTCAACGCAAATCTCACCCGATTTGGACACATTGGGGTGGAAGATCTTGGTCATCATAGTGCCTATGGTCAGTCTCATCAAGACTTTGCTACATTGGCAGCGCCGTCAGTAGCTTTTCACACACATTTCGGAGGCAGGTTGGGGTACTCTGGACCAAAGTCGAAGCGGATCCTGAAGTATCCTCCCTCATACGGCGTTCCAGCTGAGAGCTCGTCAGTCATCAACGCTCAGATAATGTGAGAGCTCATGTGGTGCGGTCGCGTGGGCCGAAACACTCACCAGGGCCCTGAACCCAGCCTTCGAGCTCGCTCAAGTCGTCCTCGTCGACAACAATGCGAACGCCCTCAGGCGGCTCCTTGCGGAGTGTAACGATCTCTCGGGACAGGAGACGGAGCGCGGTCGGAGTGAGCGACTGTAGGGGAGAACGATTTGTTTATGAAGCACGCGCGGAGAATATGCCAGCGGACCAGAGAGGGTTGGTGGGTGGGACAATTCAAGATAAGGCTCCGATGTCAGGTGGTCGACACAGAGCGGAGTCGTAAGGAGTTTAACGGTCGGAGGGGAGACATCGATAGTTTGCAAGCGGAGTCGTCGCGGTTGCAGGCAATGGGCACGATCACACATCAGCACATTAAACTATGGCTCAACAGAAGCGACACTTGGAGGCGTCTATGCGAGCAAGTTCGCACACGACCACCTGATAGTCGAGGGACGACATTGGTGAGGTTGTCAGATCAGAGCTTAACGATGTAAACAAACAACGTGAGCTTAAACCTGCATCTCCTCAACCACAGAAATGTGCGTTGAGTCCCCTCACGTCCTGGCGTTGAAAGTGCTCGTGCAGCCTCAGACTCACCATCTTGGTCAAATTGTGGTGGGCAAGTGGAAGTTGCGATATACAGAGGCTGGCGAGGTGAGCAGGATCCAATGTTTTGATCTGCGGGTGCACGGGCTCAGACCTCACCGATGACCTCACCTGAGCACCTGAGTTCACCACGCGACACTCCGCTGGGCGGGGGCAAATTATCTACCATCACAATAGGGCAAGGCACCAACACCCTGACAACGATTTAGTTCATGAAGGGAGCTGCATGTATGCATGCATGCGCGTCAGTCGCTTGCAGACGGAAGTGACAGTGATGTGCATGGGTCCCAAGTGGGCGATGAGCTGCGAGAGTGGAGGGGGGGAGATGCCAAATGTTCGGACACCGCCGACGATGGAGGTCGCGTTGATGAGTTGTTGTACGTGCATCTACGCACTGTAGTCGTCTGACCACCATCGATCTTACCGCTGGCCGCTGGAAGTCGCCGAGCTGGGTTTCGAAGGCGACGCAGGCCGTTGCTGCCGGCGCTCAGAAGCACCGGGCACTGGGTGCGAAGCTGCGCGCAGTCACTGCTGAGATCTCGCAGCTCGCACCCCTTACCACCGGCAGGCATTACGAGATGGCCGCAAAAATAATCTGCCGACCCCTCTCGGTACAACCATGGAAAATCTGCCAAATGCCAAGGCGCCGATCGGCACTCTCAAAAGCGACCATACATCGCATTAATGTCTCTCGCACCAACCTCTTCAGTGATGAGGTGGCGCTGCAGTACCCCAGGCATGCGTGCTACTCCGGAGCTTACGATGCGATACATGTCATGGTATAACAGTGGCGGGGTATCTGGTCATGAGTCTATACGTCTATTCCTCCCCTTCGTACAGCAGGACGGCGAAACCTGCGCAGATCATGCCCGCGCCGAGCACAGTCTGCAGGTCCGGCGCCCGGCCCATCCAAAGCGCATCGGCAATGGCGACTAGGCCGATCGTGAGCAGGTTCGCTACACTGCTGGTCGTCGGGCCCCAGAGGCCGATGAGCATCATAAGGCCGGCGTTGTAAATCGCGCCGCACACCGCAACGACCGCGACGATGCCCCACAGGTACGCCGTGGAGGGCAGCTCAAACTTCTCCATGCCGGTCATATTCAATATGGGAAGCGGGAACCAGAGCAGGAGGAAGGTCGCGAGCCCTATCGCGCTGACCAGGAAGTTTGAGTGCAGGCCCACCGGCAGAGTGGGCACATGATGGTGCGCCTCGCGTGCACGAAGAGGGGTATGAGTCGCGTAAGATGGAGGGCGAGGGCCGTTGAGAGAAGTCCGGGGCGAGTTGGCGCGCGAGCTGATCGGTACAATGTCGCTCAAGCTGCCGTTAGGGCTGGGCGGTTTTGATCCGGCGAGCAGCGGAGTCGTTGCAACAGGCCGCGAGGAGCCAAGCACGATCTCGTCCTCCTCGTCATCGCTACCGGAAGATTCCGGGTCGTGTGTGTCTGCGTGGCTGACACCGCCCTGGCTCTCGGGGAGAACCATCTTGTACACGACTTCGTAGAGACCCAGCGCGGCGCCGCCGACAACCATGATGATATCGCCGAGCATGCGGTTGCTGCCCATGTTGCCGCCGTCGCCGCCGTCAAGCGTGATCGCGAGCACACCAGCAAACGCGACGGCAATGGCGCCAAGCGTTGTTCGCGTCAGCCGAGTGCCGAGTAGGAGCATGCTGAAGAAGTACGTGTGGAACGCGCTCGTGGCATACAGCGCCGTGATGTCGACAGCGGGAGAGAGCGCCATGGCGGCGAACCAGCACACAGCGGGGATCGTGACCAGCACGGTGAGGGGGACGATCTTGTACATGAACGGCTTGGCGAGGACGCGCCACCGAGGGACCGTCCCGAGTTGATCGGCGAGGACGGCGCGGAGGCCGCGAACCAGCTGGCGAGCGCGAGTTGGCGCGCCCTTCAGGCCGCCCTTAAGCGAGACCAGGGCGAGGTGGACCGGGAACGCGATGACGAATGTGCTGTGGGTGACGAAGAAAGAGAAATATGGCTTGTCGAACCCAAGCGTTGACGCTTCGTACGAGGCGACCTCTGTTTGGATGGCAGACGACAGGACAACACCGATGAGTACGATGAAGGGGCCAACGAACGCCCGCGTTCGTATCGGCGCGGACACCGATGCCATCGAGGTGGTCGAGGAAGAGCGCATGCTAGGTACTAGGCCATGCCGTGCGCGGAGGCGGGTTGTTGAGGTGGTGAAAGGGGCAATGCACCGAACCAACAGCGACCCCCGGGTATATAAACTGGAACATGAGACGAAGCGCGGCGGGGGCAGATTCAGGCTGTTCAACGGGGCCCGTTAGGGTTTGCGGTGCGCGCGGTGGCGGTGGCGGCAGCCGGCGGTTAACGTGTCACCGTGACCCGCTGATCTTAGAGCTGACGGGCCGCGGAGCGGCGAACGCAGCGGCGACCGTGTTCGTGCTGCAGTGGTGTGTGCAGTGGAGCCGTTTCAGGTCAAAAACGCACACAGAGCACACAGACTAGACCAACTGCTTCCTAATTGCAATGCGTGGAGCCAAATTCGAGTTTGATAGCCATGGTATCACATCTCTGCCAATCGCAGGGTCCAAACGCTTATCTGAGCCGAGCTAGTGTCCTGGACCTTCGTCTGAAGCGAGACAGTGCGAAGTGTAGGCCAGGTGAAGCGTACGTTGTCGCGCATCGTCTGCACCAGCTCGTTCATTTACTGAGGATCAGAAACTTACTAGCGGACGCCACGACTCGATGCAGTCACGCACAACGTGACAGCTTAGAATACAGTGCTGCATATAATAACGAAAACCCTCTGTACGTATCTATCACGCAATCTGGAAGCATGTGCTTAGATCTTGGCCTCCTTGAGCTTCTTGCGGAGCTCCTGCAGCTGAGCCTTGAGCGCCCTGGCGGCAGCTCCCTCCTTAGCGGCGTCACCCTCGGCCTTGCCTGTGCGAATGTTCTTCACGAGCAGGTTCTGAGCCTCAAGTTTGCTCTCCAGCTCACGCTCTTCCGGCGACTTGGCAGCCGCAGCAGCAGCAGCGGCCTCAGCCTTCTTCTTCTTCGCCTCGTTCGCCTTGGCCCAGTTGCCCTTGTGGTCCTCGGCCTTGGGCGCCTTCGCCTGCTTGTCGGCGGCAGCATCGGCACCGTCAGCAGCGGCAGCGTCGACGCCGCCGAACTGACGCTTCCACTTGAGCTCGGCCTTGCCGTCCGTGTTGTCGATCCTCTGGAACAGGTGCGCGGCCTTGCCGAGCTTGTGGCCGGGGAGGATGTCAATCGAGAACTTAAGCGGGAGGGTGCGGGCGGGAGCGTTGAGCTGCTTGAGAATGTCCTCGGACGTCTCGGGCATGAAGGGGTGGAAGACGGCAGTCAGGGCGTAGATGAGGTTGATCGCGTTGAGGCAGACCTCGCCGCAGCGCTCGGGGTTCTCGGCGAGGAGCGCATTGTCGAGGCCGCTGTCCTGGAGGTACTGGTTTCCACGGGCAGACAGCGACATGGCCAGGAAGAGACCGTTTCGCAGCTTGGTCGCGTCCATGGCCTCCTTGTACTCCTGAAGCTTGGCATTGATGTCCTTGTAGAACTCGGCGTCGATCTTCGCTCCCTCCGAGCTGTCGCGGGGAGTCTCCGAAACCTCGCCACCCTTGGTGTCGGACGGTCCCGGAACAACCGAGTCGAACTTGGCGTTGACAAACTTGATGACACGGTTGACAAAGTTACCGAGGTTGGCAAGCAGCTCGCTGTTCACGGCACTGATAAACTTGGACCACTGGAACGCGCTGTCGCTAGTCTCAGGACGGTTCGAGATCAAGTAGTAGCGCCAAACCGAGGGAGGCTGTCCAATCTCCGCAGCCTGGGTACCGAAGACGCCGATGTTCCTGCTCTTGCTGAACTTGGTGTCCTCGTAGTTCAGGTACTCTGCTGGTCAGTTCACGTAGTGGGGCACAAAAAAACTCACGGGTAGAAGAAATGTTGTGAAGCTTTGTCCAGTTACGTCCATCGGCGATCAGCATGGAGGGGAAGAGGACAGTGTGGAAGTAGACGTCTAAAGTTAGCTAACGCACTCGCGAGAGCGACTCACTGTCCTTGCCCATGAACTGGAAGAGCTCGACGTTGTCAGGGTTCATCCACCACTTCTGCCACTCGTCGGTGTAGGACTTGGTCATCGAGATGTAACCAATGGGAGCGTCAAACCAGACGTAGATAACCTTGTTGGCGAGCTTCTCGTCGGCCTCGGGGTCGCCAACCTTGGGCACGGCGACACCCCAATTGAGGTCACGGGTGACGGCGGACGGGCGAAGACCCTCTCCCAGCATACGGGGCTCGACAATCTCTCCCTTGTCCGTGATGACGACGTTGCTGGCCCACTTGCCTTTGACGCGCTGCTCCTGAAGCCACTTCTCGAGCTTGGGCTGGATAGCGTTCAGGCGGATACAGGCATGAGTCGAGGGACGGACGGAGACCTTGTGGTTCTTATTCCTCTTGCAGCGGGGATTCTTGAGCTCAGTGGGCGAGGAGAAAGTAAGCGCGCACTTGTCACACTGGTCTCCACGGGCGTCGTCGTAACCACAGTTCGGGCACTCTCCCTCAACGAAACGGTCCGCAAGGAAGAGCTTGTCATCCTCACAGTAGGTCTGCTCCGAGGTCTCCAGCTCAAAGTAGCCGTTGTCTTGGATGTGCTTGTAGATGTCCTGAGTGACCTCCGTCTGAGCAGGGTCCGAAGTACGTCCCCACTGGTCAAAGCCGATCTGGAACCACTTGTAGACCTCGGTGTGGAGCTTGTTGAACTTGGTGCAAAGCTCCATGGGGGTGACGCCCTCCTCGAGCGCCTGGCAAAGTCAGCAAACACACCACACAAAGCGCAACCTACCTTGGTCTCGGTGGCAGTTCCGTACTCATCGGTTCCACAAACCTGTTCACGTTAGCCAGTCAGATCCAAGCACATCTCCGGCAGGTGCCAAAGCGCGACGCACAAAGAGGGTAGGAATGTTCTGGATGCGGTTGTAACGAGCGAAAACGTCGGCAGACAGCGTCGAACCAATAATGTTGCCCAGGTGAGGCACGTTGTTCACGTCTGATGATCAGTTATCGTTTCTTTGAGCTCACTCACAAGGCAGGGCGGACGTGACGAGGACGTTGCGCTGACCCTCCTTGGGCAGGACCGGTCCGTCGGCGGGGTCGTGGATGTGCATGAGGATGGAGTCATCCTGGCGGATTTTTCGGTCGGCCATGGCGAGAGTTTCGATTCCTAGTGCAGGAGGAAGCTCTATGAAGCGAGGGAGGGTCGTTGAAGACGATGGAGGTGGAGAAAGGAGCGGGATTCGGGCTGCGATGACAAAGGCAGACGACCAGTTGCCCTCCCGTCCTGATCTCCTGACTCGATTCGCTTGGACGCCTGCCATTTCGTTTTTCGCCGTCAGTCCGGGGTCCCCGCACCCATCAACAATTATTTCGTCAACCTCAGTGATCCTCTATCCCATCACATCTCCCCACTACACATCAACCGACCGCATGAGCGCCCTCGCTGCCAGGAGAGCTGCACTTGCAGCCAAGGCTGCAATCGCCGCCGAGGCACCTCCTGCGCCCTCAAAACCGACGACAAGGTCGGCCAAGCCCGCCAAGCAAGCTCCGAAACCCCCACCCTCCCCAACGTTGTCTGACTTCTCTGGCGTCTCTGACGAGTCCGATGACTCTGCTGGGCCATCCAACAAACGTCGAAAGGTGGCTAACAAGGGAAAGAAGGCTCCCGAGAAGAAGGAGAAGGAGGCCCGTTACTTTGTTGGGGTCGAGATCCCGACACGAGCCAAGCCGCCCACCTCGAAGCCTCGGAAGCAGCGAGCGTTTTCCCCGAGTGCAGCTATGGAGGAAATGGAGGACGGAACGTCTGCGGAGTCTAGTGGAGATGAAGGCGATGAGCCTCTGCAGGAGGAGGCGGCTGCTCCGTGGTCTGGAGCCCCAAGTCCATGGGAGCCGAGAGCTCCGAGGTGAGTTGTCTGAACTAAATGAAAGCTGACAACGTAGCGCTCCGGCCTCGCTGCCCTGCTCATCCTTCTTCGTGGTGGAAGACGACGTCAACTTTGCTACATTGACGGCCAAGCAACTGTCTGAAGCTGGCATCGCATCCTCCGGGCCAGGAGTGGTCATCAGTATCCGCGTCCAGGAGACACTAGCCATTGTTGGAACGTACTCGGTTACACCGCTGCAGGGTTCTCTGGCCCTACTCTCGACGACTATCGTTCCCTCAGCCGAAAACACGTCCTACCCTGTCTTTGCGCCTTCGTCGCACCCTGTTCCGATTCTTGCGCGTGCGAACGACGAGGAGTCCGAGTCTGACCTGCTGGAGGTCCTGGACCTTCCCGAGAGCTTCGACCTTAGCCCGTCGCAGACCGTTTTCATTCTCCAGGAGAACCGAACAGGCATTGAGGGATTGAGCGGCGACGTTGTTCCGGGCTTCAACAGCATCTGGCTGTCCGAGGAGGGTGCCTGGGGTCTGAGGGGCGTGCACCCCATCCTCGACAACTTCCCCGTCCCGGTGTACCCGCACGTCACGCCCGAGTCGTGGAGGCACGCGCTCGCCTCTGTTGTTCCAAACGAGGCGGATCCCGAAGACTCGGACGACGAGACGCCGGGTGCGGTCTCCAGGCCGCCCGTCGCGATCGTAAAGGGTCCCAAGCGAAGCGGCAAGTCTGCTCTTGCGCGGGCGACGCTGAACAAGCTGCTGGAGACGTATGCGCAGGTCGCCTGGCTCGAGTGCGACTTGGGACAGGGCGAGTTCAGCTGCAGTGGTGCGGTTGGACTCTGGGTTCTCGACAGGCCTGTTCTCGGCCCCGCGTTCACGCATCAGTGTCCACCGCTACGTGCGCACTACCTAGGCGAGCTGAGCCCCCAGTCGTGCCCGGACGAGTACATGGCAGCGATCCACCAGCTCATTTCCTACTACCAGTACGAGGTGCAGCACCCGTCTACGTTCCTGGGCGAGGCGGCCGAGGGCGGTCGCAGGGGAGACGCCGTGCCGCTCGTGATCAACACGCAGGGTTGGGTCAAGGGTCTCGGCGAGGAGCTGCTGCGCTCCATCGAGGCGGTCGCCGAGCCTAGTCACGTCTTCGCCTTTGAGGCCGCAAGCGAGGATGTGCCTCCTGGGTGGACAGCGTCTCCGGTTCACCAGTCGATGGATCTGCCGTTCTGCGCGCCGTGGGAGAGCGTTATTGCCCGCGGCCCAGCGCCGACAGTTATTACCGTTGAGCCGGCTCCGAGCTCGCCGCTCCAGGCTCGCTACAGCGCCGCGGACATGCGTGCTCTCGCGACGGTTGCGTACCTTCACTCTCGCGGAGACAAGTGGGACTTCAGCGTGCCCGTGCTCGGCATGCGACCGTGGGTCACCCAGCTCGGCGGAGGGGGTGCACTGCGCGCCGCATATTTGGCTGGTGAGGGTGCGGACGCCGTGCTGCCGGCGGACCTCCCGCTGGCGCTGAACGGAAGCCTGGTTGGCCTGATCGAGGTCGAGACTCCGTCCGAGGAGACGTACGTTTCCGCCCGCCCCCAGCCCAGCGCGGAGGAGGCTACGCTCCTGGGGGTTGCACTCGTGCGCGCCGTGCGGGTGTCCGAGGACTCGCTGGCGCTTCAGCTTGTGACCCCTCTGCCCGCTGAGATGCTGCAGCGTGCTACAGCGCTTGTGCGCAATGGTGCGTTGGAGCTTCCCACGTGCGCGATGCTCGACTGGCGAGAGCGGGTTCCGGGAGGCGGCGTCAGTGAAGACGGCCTTGCAGGTGTGCGCTGGGACGACGTGCCGTTCTTCGATGCCGCTGGCGTCGATGCCGTTGGTGCCGGACGCAGGCGCGTCCGACGCAACATTCAGCGTAAGGGACAGTAGATTTCTTGCTAGGGCTTTCATGCATGTCTCATATCTTGGTGCTGGCACATCGCAGGTAGGCCGGTTGGACTCGACATTGGTGGGTGGCGACTGGCTGATAGGCAATTCAGGCACGGCATCTAAAATTCTGAGAGCCAGTGGTCCGCCGTCATGAACGGCTGGCTCGCGTCATACCATCCTCCATCTTCACCACACACCACGACCATGCCGCCCGACCGGAAACAGCGGAATAAGCACCACAAGAAGACGCAGCGCGGCCCCATAGTGCGGCCAGACGGGACCGTACAGCACAAGATTCCGGCGCTCGAGGCGCGCGATGCCGCCCAGCTTCCCGGTGTCAACAAGCTCAAGGCGCAGCTGCGCCAGGCGCGTCGGCTGCTTGCGAAGGACAAGCTCGACTCAGGCATCAAGGTTGCGACGGAGCGAAGGATCAAGAGTCTCGAGAACGACCTGAGGCTTGCTGAGCGCCGAGGGGTCGAGAAGAAGAACGGACAGAAGTACCATGCTGTGAGTACTGGCATCCTATGGCTGATTCTCCTAGTTGCCCTTGCACTGCCATCACATCCTACGCACCGCGTCGAGATGGCCGTCAAAGCGGCTTAGGTAGAATGAAGCCGGGAGAAGCTGACGATATACGTTAGAGCTAACAGATCAGGTGAAATTCTTCGAGCGCCAGAAGCTGCTCCGCTTCATCAAGCGTACGAGCAAGGAGCAGGCCGAGTACGAGGCGAAGGGCAAGGAAAAGAAGGCGAAGAAGAGCGGCGAGAAGCTCGTCGAGGCGCGCATCATGCTCAACTACGTGCTGAACTTCCCGTGAGTGCCCTGTCACTAGTCCGCGTCGAGACTTCATGTGCGCAGAACCCGGGCACTGGCCCACGGGCGCAGGGATACCGGCTCTGCGACGAAGAAAGCAAGGCAGCCGATATATGCTGCATCACTTCCGACCACGAGCTAACGTCAGTAACACGCAAAAGTACATCTCGCTCTTCCCCGTGACGGAGAAGAAGGATGACGCGGACGCCGACGACGACGAGGGCAAGTTTAAGCTGCCGCGCCTGCTCTCCAAGACGGAGGACCTGGACAAGTCTGCCCAGCGCCGGCTCGAGATCCTGCTCGAGACGAAGCGGCTGATGGAGGCGGGCGAACTCAGCGACAAGCCCGAGGTCGAGCGGCGGTCGGGTGTCATCGAGGTCGGCTCGACGAAGGACGGCGAGGAGATCGTCGAGGAGGAGAGCGAGGAGAAGGAGGAGGCCGACGACTTCTTCGACTCGGACTAGGCGCACACAATTCGATAGAGAGCAACACTTCTGTACTGTACACTTTTGGCATGGATGCTACATGAAAGTAAAAAAGTCTACTGTTCGGCCGGCGTACTGAGCGGACGTGGTAAAGAGAGCGGAAAGCGAGAGTCTATGTCTATGTTGTGTGGTGTGGTGGAGTGTGTGGGCAGTGTCCGTTCGGAACTATCGTTCAGATTGTTCGGCAGATTGCACAAATGCGCAGGTTTTACTTCGGGGGGATGGTGACGATACCCGAGTGGAAGTTGTAGTTGTAGATACCGTCCCAGCACTGGTCCGAGACGGTGAGGTTGGACGCGCCAGCAGCCTTGCCAGCGTCCGTCTCGATGAGGAACTGCTGCACGCCGGGGGCCATCTTGTGCTTAAACGTGTGCACGCCCTTGGGCACCTCGTACTGGAAGGGCGTATCCTTGCCAGACTGGACAACGATCTTGGCGCCGTTCTTCGAGATCGAGGTCACGAAGACCACGTCCTCGACGAACTCGGCGCCGGTCGGCTTGGCGCCACAATTGTCGGTCGCGTCGCACGACGCAGTCTTCAGGTGCGGGCGGAACCAGTACACGAGCTTGTCCTCCTCGACGACGGGGTCCGGGAGCGAACGCTTGTACGCCTTGATGAACGGCTCAGCGGCGTCCAGCATCGGAGTGTGCACGAGCCCGCTGGCCCAGATCGAGGATCCGTCATCCTTGTGAGGCTGGTTGTAGGGGCCGACGTAGTGCGACTCGCCGTAGTCGTTCCAGGTCAGGATCTCAATGTAACGAGGGCCGAGCTGCAGCATCTGGTACCAGCGGTAGGTCCACAGGTCCTCAGACTTGAAGATCCAGTTCTTCGACCACGCAACGTCCTTGCCAAAGTGCGTTGAGACTACATGTCAGCCGCAACACCAAAAGTAAAGACAGGGCAACATCATTCGTCGACCCTTGAAAGCACGGCCAAGCACGACCCGCAATAGAAGTCTCGGCCGTGCTCCCGCCACGTCCCAGCCACATTGTGGTGGCACGGGAAAATCAGGTTACTCACACCAAGGGGAGACAGGCGCCATGTAGGGCTTCGCCTGGAGGTCCTGCATGTACTGAATGTCGAGGTCGCCACTGAGGGGCTCGTCGACGGGGGTGTTATTGTTCGCCTGTCCCGGCCAGGCAGCCCAGCTCATGAGTCCCTCGACGTTGGGGTTTGCGGCGTTCTCCTTCGTCTCGCGCCAGCACGGGACGGCGTAAATCTGGTGTCCGACGAGCTCCTCGACGTGGGTCCAGTTGAACCCGTCTCCGACGAAAGTCGACACAAACGGCTTGTCGTCGACGCGGAGCTGGTTCGGGTGGTCCGCGTACTTCTTGACGAGCTCGGCAATCTCCTTGGTGCTGCTCTCGTTGTACCAGTTGAAGTCGAACGAGAGGAAGTTGGAGAAGTTTCCGACGCGCTGCGCGGCAGCGTAAGCCTTGTCGAGCTGGTCGTGGTTCCACGAGTCGGCACCGACGTTCAGCGCGAATCCATCAATGCCATAGTGCTGAGCAAGCTCCATGTCAATGACCCAGTCGTCCTGGGTGTACGCCGGCACGATACCGACAATGAAGTGCGCGAACACCTCGCGGGTCTTCGAGTCGATCGTCGCGCGCTCGTGCAGCTTGTGCCGCGGGTCGATGTGGGGCGCGGCGCTGACCACGGTCGCGGCCGCGAGCACCGCGGCGACAGAGGAAAGGAGGGCGACCATTCTGTAGGCCCGGTGAAATGAAAGTTGGAAAGGTGCGTGAAGCGACGTCGAGGGCGGTTGTCCTACTTGTCTAGTCGCAGGTTTGATGCGAGTTCACAAGCGTTGGAGAAAGAGAGTGAAAAGGCGTGGGTGGTCGACACGGGCACGGGCACGAAGGCAAAGGTAAGGAGACACTGGTCGGCAGAAGAAAGGTAACGTCCAAAGCGTCGGTCTCGACGGACTGCACTGCTGTTGGGAGTTAATGGCAGTGCTCTGGGTGACGCGACGGTGCAAGGGGAGCAAGAGATCGGAGCGAAGAAGCGAAAGAGTCAAGAGAGGGAAAGAGTGCGAAGGAGGGGCAACGGCCAGGCAGAAAGAGAGTGAAGCGGCCAGGCTTGGGTACGGGATAATAGAGCAGAGAAGTGCAGCCAGCGTTCGGGTGAATGGCGACTACGGACGGGCTACGGGCTACGGGCTACGGGCTACGGGCAGGAGAGTGTACGCAGCAGGTACGGGGTGCGCTGGATCCTTGCAAAAGTCCTGGAGGTGTGGGATTGCTGGACACTCTGTTGCGGGCACGGCGGGGACGACGGCGGTGGATGAAGAGTGTGTCCAGAACGGGCTGGGACAGCGAGTAGGCTGCTGTCCAAGCAAGACAGAAAGAAAGGGCTGCCAGGGCAATAGCCAGGGCGCAGGAAGGGCGGTCAGGGACGGGAACAGGCAGCAGGGACAGGGAAGGAGATCCAGGAAACCCAGGGTTAACGCGAGAAACAGGGTCCCACAGCCGCCGGCCCAGTCAAGCAAGTTGCTCTTGAACCGACTTCTGGTGCGAGTGGGACAAAAGCTGGCAGAGCAGGCAGAGAGCTTAGCTGCTCCCGACAAGGAACGTGACACGTTCCATCTCACCAAAGTAGTACCGCTGACGCAGATCATCCGCACAGCCCATCGCACAGACCTCTCATTAAGCACGCCGTTGTTTCGTCTTTTTTATGCATCCACACTCGCACCACCGCCTCGGGCTCGATTCCCAAAGTACAAAGTTTCAGCGGGAGTACCTTATTCGACACACTGACGGCCTGCCTTTTCCACCACCCGCTGCCCCTTTGCTTTGCTCTTCTCTCCCCTTGGCACCGCAATCACCTCACATCGGTGCCAAGCTTCTAGGTGTGCTTCCAAGTGCGCAGAGTGCACTCTGACGGCACATTCCTATTCATCCATAACAAAGTTGTAAAGCTTATGCCCCATGTCTTGACACATTCGGTCGAAGCGTAGAAGCTTACTGCCTGCTACCTGACCCACGCACGAACGGCGAGGCAAGCAAGCCGCGCCAGGAGCAGCCTACTCGGAGCCGTAGTGCAGGATCGATCTAAAGGAAGCCGAGCACACGACCGTGCATGGAGTTGCAGCCAAGGAAGCGCGTCTCGAAAGCCTCAAGCCTCTGATTCATCGGCAATGCCACGGAGGCCACGCCTAGCGCACGCTTAGCTCCTGCCTGACACTTTGCATGCCTGCCACACATTCGAGGGCACCAACATGATGCGCAGGGGATGGTGGAGACTTCGCAGCACCGCAACCAGTAGCAGCTAGTCACTTGAATCTTGGGGACCGATAAGCAGCGCCGAGGCAGCGAGCAGTCAATGGGAGAGAGGCGCAAATGGCATTCGGGGGCTTGCTGGCTCGACTGGCGCTTGGCAGCGAAACAGCCGGCGGACACTACGGGAGGACGCGAGGGACTGGCGACGCGTCTTGAGGGATCTCGCTGAGACATTGAAATGGCAGGCGGCAGCTGCGGGCCAGCTCCGGCGATAACAGTGTGTTCCATCCTGATTTTTGCCGTGTCCACCAATGCAGCATCTCGCTTGAACATGGTGTGGCGTTGTTGACTGTTCAGGTTGCAGCCCCGGGCCCCGTTGCAGCCTGGCTGTAGCCTGGTTGCAGCCCGAATGCAGGATCGCAGACGCAAATAACTGATCGGCCTGCGCCTGGCCGATGCCAAGACTGGCAAAGCCTGACGGGGCCGAACCTGCAATACGAGGCGTTCGCCGAGCCCTGTGCTTCCCAGCAACTTTTCCTCTTTCCTGGATGCATCCTGTCTCTGTCATTCTGCGTTCCTGCACTCCTTGCCTGCATGCGGTAGCTTGCGGCGGCGCGGACCCGACAGGCCATGCACTGCGGGCTGCGCAACGTCTGCGCAGGCTTCAGGCATCGCCGATACAGATCTGTATCTGCCAGGTTTGTCACTGCGCGGCCATCGGCCAGCACTAGCTGATTGGGGAAGATGCATGCGTCATGAAAAGCTGGCTAGATGTTGAGGATGGCTGGAGACGGACCACGCGCTGCGCACGGCGCGGTGAATCTACTCGCTCTTCTCGCTGTCCTTCTCCTCCGCCTCCTCCGTCTCGTCCTTGGCGCGGCGCTCTACGATCCGATCAACGATACCAAACTCCTGCGCCTCCTGCGCCGTCATGAAGTAGTCGCGCTCGAGTGCCGTCGCTGCGAGATCCCGTCAGTGGCTGTCAAAAGTGCGAAGATTAAGGATCACTCACTGAAACGCTTCCGTGCGTCCTCGAGGCTCTCGCCCTCCTTCCTGCAGTGCTCGGCGTAGATGTTGGTGAGCACGTCGCGGATGCGAAGGATCTCCTTGGCATGCAGGGCGATATCGCTCGCCTGGCCAGACGCGCCGCCGGACGGTTCTGCTATCAGCTGATGCTCAAACGCCTAATGAAACCCTAAACGCTGCCACACAAATGACGACGCGCATTGGCCCACTGGATCTCATCCCTGCTGGAGACGTCCATTGCAGGCAAGGCTGAGATCTGATACCGCAAGGCTGAGCGGGCGTGCACCCGTTCTGGTACACATACACTGCGCAGTCGTAATTCATGGAAGAACAGAAGTGCAGCGCGCTGATGGTCACGCATTCAGTAAACTGGGCAGAGACACAGCATGCCTCAGGATCAACTCGCCCGCGCCGTTTCGGGGTGAGCAGGTCCGCAGCTGCGCACTAAACCGATAATACAGCTGCGATCGGTGCACATCTCGGCATGTAAGGGGAGGCATGCCCGCGACAGGCATGTCGGATGACGATACGGCGGGGCGGAATGCATCGCCTCCGCACTTCTTCTGAGCAGCGCGAGTAGCGCTGGTCGGTGATCAATCGTCCTCCGCTCTCTCACGTGTACACCACGCCTCCTCAAAGCCACAACAAAAACAACAGCAGTTCACTCACGGTGGATCATAACGCTCGAGTGCTTCAGACTGAAGCGCTTGCCCTTCTCACCTCCAGCGAGCAGGAGCGATCCCATGCTCGCGGCCTGGCCCAGCACGAACGTGTGCACTGGAGACGAGATGTACTGCATCGTGTCGTAGATGGCAAGTCCAGCCGTCACACTTCCTCCAGGTGAGTTGATGTACAGCCTGATGGGCCGCGACGCATCCTCCGCCTCAAGGAACAGCAGCTGCGCCGTAATCAGTCCAGACATGCTGTCGTTCACCTGCCGTTAGCTGGAAAACTATGTTCGAAGCTGCTGCAAGCTTGCAGAGCGCACCCGAAACGCAATCGGGAGACACAGTGCAGCAACCACCAAAATGATGTAGGCCATTGGGCACTCACCGGTCCTCCCAGGAAGATCACTCGCTCACGCAGCAGTCGCGAGAAGATATCGTAACTCCGCTCACCACGTGCCTGTCGTTAGCTTTATGGTCTGTAGGTCTAGTTCTGGATGCGATTCCTCCATTTGCATTGCTCAGAAGCTTCCCGATGTCAGAAAAAGTACAAGACGTCCGTGTTCTTCGGCGCTGAGGCCCGTGGACGAAGCTGTCCTTGCTAAAGCTTCCGGGCGACTGACTGATATTTGGGAGGTCCGCGGCCTCCGCCGAGCAACTGGCGCGCTTCAGACTTACAGTCTGCTCTACAACAATCGGAACCAGGCTTCCCCTCGTCACTGGGTTTGCTTGCGGGTCGGGAAATCCCTCAGCAGCGCCGTATATGCTGGCTGGGTTGAAGAAGCCGCGCTTCGCTGTCGGGGCAGCCAGCTGCCGTGCGGTTCGGAGGATGTTCAGGCCGCGCATGATATGTTGGGCCTGTCGGATGTGTGGGGAGTGTGTCGATCCGGGTGTGTGTACCGCACGCTAAGTGGCTCAATGCAAGAGTGTGAGGTTGACGAAGCGGTCGAGACTGACTTTGATGACGTCCGTTAGCGCTTCGGCAATGTTCGTCTGGCGGCTGTCGGTGGAGGTCCGTCAACCCGCGTAGTCAGTGGCAAATTAGGTCCCGAGATGCGCCTTACCTGCTTATTCTTCTGACAAGGCCATTTCCAACAATGATGGCAAGCAAACTATGTGCATGTGGTAGATGGTATTGTACAAGCTACACTATAGGTGTGTGATTATCAGATTACGGCTGGTATATACAATAGATGGGCTATGCTACGATCGTCGACGCTGCTGGTGTCACGAGCACAGCGGGAGGCTGCTGTCCTACCGCTCCTGTCGGCGCGGGAGTGACATTCGCACTCTCAGGGGCGGTGGAGACACCACTCGGTGCTCCAGTTGTGAGCATAAGACCTGTCGTTCCCGGGGTGGCGACGGTGGACGCATCCAGTGACCCGTTAGCCGTACCATTCGGCACGCCGTTGACCGTGACGCCGAGCGCGCTGGCTGCCTGCTCGGCGTACTTGGCCTGCTCTGCCGCCTTGGCGGCCTCCTCCTTCTCCTTCCTCCACGCCGCCTTGGCATCATTCACCAGCTTGAGCTTGGCGGCGCGCTGCTGACTCATGGGCGCCCGCTTTGATGAACGCGCCTGGTCCAGTCGAATCGCGTCGGAAGAGAAGCCAGGCAACGCTCGGCCGAACAGACTCTCGTACGCGAACTGCACGTCCTTGCGGTCGATGGTGGCGGACTTCCTGTGCTTGGCCAACTGAGATGACGTCTGCGAGACGAGATCAACGTACTCGTCCGTCAAGTTTAGGAGCACGTCCTCGACGGGCCAATCGACGTTGAGTGACGCATCGATCGTCTCGGCGAACTCCTGCATCTTCATCTTCTTCTGGCCCGGCAGACCAGTCGCGCCCTCCAGCTCGTGCTTCTTGCCCTTGTCAAGCTCAGCCTTTGACTCGATCTCGCCATCCGCAAGTGCGCGCATGTCCGACGGCAGCTGCTCGCCGAGTACGTTTGTGAGGACTGGGTTCGTCGCTAAACCCTCCAACAACGTGGCCCGTCCAGCGCTCCGGGCAGGTACCTGGTGCGCAAGTAGAAGCTGGTCTCGCAATGCCTTGTCGCTCTCGGGCGTTGGCTGCCACGTCGTCTTGCTCATAACAGACTGCGAGCGGTCGAGCAGCGCCCCAGGGACGTCGTTTGTTGGTCGCATCGGTGCCGCTTGTGCGGTCGGCACAACATTCTTCTTGTCCAGGTCCGACAGAATCATGCCCGGTGTCAGGTGCTGCCCGGGCGGGACCTGAACCATGCCCGGTGGCCTGATCGGAGAGCCTGCAGCCGCGTTCTGGTTGATTGGAATGCCCTGCGGGAACGCCCGCTGCTGATTCTGCTGTTGCTGTTGCTGCTGTTGCGCCGCTGCCATCGCCGCGTTAAGGTTCGGTCGCACCGCAGGCGATTGCGGGCCAGGGCTCTGCGACTGCGCTTGCATGTTACGCTGCTTGTTAGGCGGGATGTAGAGGTTCGATTGGTTTAGGACGGGGAACCCAATCGGGCGCGCTTGCATCATCGCTGGGCTCTGGACACCCTGTCCATTGTTGGGCAGCTGCATAGGCGGCTGCTGCGGGGGCTGCGCGGGCACCTGTTGTGGTGTTGGAGCTTGCGAAGGCGCCTGCGGCGTTGACGCCTGAGGTGTCGACACCTGGCCTTGCTGTGCCTGCTGCTGGGCAGCAGCCTGAGCCTGCGCTTGTTGAACAAGCTGCTGGCTCTGCAGGTTGATGTTGCCGTAGAACAACGCCCTCAATTTCGGATTTTTCTCGAACGCCTTGTTGCGCTCCGCTTCGGGCAACTGCGCGAGACGTGCTCGGATCTCGAGAATGTGAGCGTGAGGGTTTGGTGGCTGTTGGGGCTGCTGTGGGGGTTGCTGTTGCTGTTGCTGTTGCTGTGGAGGCTGCGGCTGTTGCTGTTGCTGTTGAGGTGGGGGCGGTTGCGGTTGAACAGCCTGCTGAGGCTGCGGAACTTGCTGCTGCTGTTGCTGTGGTTGTTGTTGCTGCTGCTGTTGGAGTTGCGGCTGCTGTTGCTGTTGCGGTTGCATCTGCTGAGGCAGCTGTTGTTGCTGCATCTGAGGCGTACCTGCATTTGGCGGCCGCGGCGAGCCAAAGTTGTTCTGGTTATTCTGCTGGGCGGCGTTGGCCAGGGCAGCTGCTCGGGCGAGTTGCTGCACCTGTTGAGGTGTGAGCTGCATGCCCGCGTTTTGTGCCTGTTGCTGGGCTTGGAGTAGTTGAGCAGCCTGGGCCGCCTGCACGACCTGTGCGGCCTGAGGCTGTTGCATACCCTGCAGCTGAGCGTTTTGCAGCTGGGCCTGATTCAGTTGTGGCCGCACACCTTGGCGAGCGGCAAGGATCTGCTGCTGCTGCAGGAGCAGCTGAGGGTTCTGCAACAGCTGTGCTTGAAGCTGCTGCTGCTGCAATTGCGCCTGCTGGGCCTGCTGCTGCTGAAGCTGAGCGTTCAACATCTGCTGTCCAGCCTGCTGCTGGGCGAACTGCGCCAGCTGCTGAGGCGTGAGTTGCGCAATCTGTTCCGGTGTTAATCCGGCAGCAGCAGCGGCGGCGACAGCCTGTCGATGCACGAGAGCTTGGCGCTGTTGTTGCTGCTGTTGCAGATGGGCGATCTGCTGGGCGGCGAGGACGTGTGTCGGTTGGTTGGCACCACCGCCCGTTGCGGCGGCGACATTGTTCGCCAGATTCTGTCGCATCGACGCCGCTTGCCGGTGTTGCATATTCGTGAGCCAGTTCTTGACTTCGGGAGTCGAAAGGAGAGCATCGAACTGCAGTTAGCCCTATCCCGTTGGCCGTGACTGTGCCCATGGTACTCACGTTCTTCTGCATCTCCGGATTCATCTGGCCAGCCTGCCGCGCCTTGAGCAGCTCCGGCATGTTGGCGATGAGCTTGTTAGGATCGCCACCAAACAGGCTGCCCAGCGTTTGGGGCTGCTGCGCTGGTGTCCTGGGCGGCTGGGGTGTGCCTGCCTGTGCGATGCCTGGCCCTGCGCCTCCGCTGGGCACAGACTGCATGCGGGTTGCCACGGGAGATTGACCGAGCATCGCTTGGTTGGTAACAGGCGACTGATGCTGCTGCTGAGCCGATGGTGACGGGGTGGCAATCGCGGGCATGTTCGACAGCGTGTTCGACATAGGCGTTCCGACAGCACCAGCAGCAGGTGTCGGAGCAGCAGAGATCTGGCCGACCTGACCCGCCTGGCCAGGTTGCTGCTGCTGAGGCTGCTGCTGTTGTTGTTGCTGCTGCTGTTGCTGCTGCTGCTGCTGTTGTTGTTGTTGCTGCTGCTGTTGGAGACGCTGCTGCTGAGCGAGCAGGTTTTGGAACTGCTGCTGCTGTTGTTGCTGCTGCTGAAGACGAAGCTGCTCAGCGAGCGCCTGCGTTCGTTAGCATCATCACTTTCACAAGGCGAACATACATTTTGGTTCATCTGCGGGTTGAGCCCTTGCTGCATTCCTATTCTTGGACTTTGTCCCGCCTGAACCCCTTGGGCTCCTTGCACGCCTTGGACACCTTGAACTCCTTGGACGCCTTGAACGGGGATGCCGTTGACTCCCTGCATGGGTATCCCTTGCACTGGACGGACAGCCTGTCCCACACCTGCTCCAGACTGGTTTTGCTGCTGCTGTTGCTGAGCCGCATTCCGTCGCTTCGATTGCGTTTCGGCGATCATTATCTGGACCTTGCGACGAACGAGCTCATTGCGTTGTTCCAGCGGCAGAGCCTTCTCCTGCGCATTCAGCAGGGTGGGGAACTTGGCGAGAATGGTGTCGTACTGGTCGGACATGGTTGCAACGAGGCAGAGCCTGGGGAGCCTTGATCGTATTCAGAGGTGCCGACCCGCGCGACTGTGAGCGCTGGGAAGTGGATGCAAGCTCAGGAGACGTTCAAAGACCCCCGATGTGCGCTTGATCGCCGAGCTGATGCTGTGTGCAAGTCGATGGGGAGTGGATGGGAAGAATGGATGAGTGGATGAAAGTCAGGAAGTGAACTGGGACGCGATCGTTGGCCGTTCCTGCCTGAGCCAGTGGCGCAAGAGTATACCCGAGCGGCGTGAACATCGGACATCGAGCGCGGGGGTTCGTCCACGACCATACCGTCATTCACCGTCACACAAGCAAGTTTTACAGTGCATACCAGTGGGCCAAATATTCTATGCGATATATTGAGAGTTCTAGATGACATGTGAGAACATGCACGATGACCTTTTTGGGCCAGGTCAATGGCCACCTCAAAACCACTTGAGGCTCTATCTAATCACCTCCACCGCGGTCCCTACTGCCCTCGCGACCCTTCCGCGAACTGGCTTCTGTTGGTGACTGATTCTGACTGGAAGAAGGCTCAGCACGAGCAAAGAAGAATTCTGAAACGGTACCGCTGTGCATGTCAGTTTTCTGAAAAGCACGCTGGGAAAGCTCACCTAAAGTTACGCGTTGGCTTCCCTTTGCCGTTCTCACTGCCGCCGTCATAACTATACTCTTCACGGGTCAACTCGAGCGAGCTGCCGCCAAGCGGCGTACCACTTCCAGACTCCCCACCGTTGTATGCGCCACTGCTCGCGCGTCCCTTGCGAGCCTTCTTTGCGTGGTGCCTGCGAGCGGTGACGGAGTTTGAGAACAGGGGCAGAAGGTAGCGCTCGTCGAGTGAAGTGAACCACTGTCCGTCGCGGAAAATCATCCCCTGTCTCTCACCAGCGTGACCAGCCTCGACATCGCCACGGTCGCCGTAGCCCTGAGGCAGAGGCTCCTCGTCTGAATCCTCAGAATTGGTGGAGAATCCAGCCCGCGACATTGCGCCGCGAGAAAGGGAGCGACGCTGGTTCCCAATGTTGATCCCGCTCGAGATGTAGGGCGAATCTATCGGGGTCGTATTGTACCCTCCGTCATCGTCGTCGCCGTACATTCCGTTCTGAAGAGCGTAACGGCGTGTGTTTTGTAACGAGATGTTACCGCCGTGCGTCCATCCCTCCTCTTCCTCGTCAGAACTGGCATCATCGTCCTCCACTCCGACGCGGATGCCAAGAACTTCGAGCATTCGGGCCGTCGTCCCTCCAAAGATGCACACCGTCAAGACTACGACGACGAGGACAGTCGTACGCAGTGCTTCCGCGTTCTCGCCCTCGATTCCAGCCGCAAGCGCCACGCCGACTGCACCGCGAAGACCGGCCCAGAACAGCATCATCTGGTATGAGTGAGGCAGCTCCTCATAGCGCTGGCCCCTGGTATAAAAGAACCAGTTGATAAGTTCGGAGAGCGGGAACACTGCGGCGTAACGCGAAGCCATTACCGCAATAGCCGAGACAACAATGAATAGAGGCTTGAAGACCTGGACGTCCTGAATGAAGAGGTTGAGGCCGAGGTAGATGAAGATAAAGTTCTCGGACAGCTGGGCCAGCACAGCGAACATATACTTGGTAGTGCGCTGTGTGCGCTTCGACATGGTGTGGTATGCGTAGTGCTTCAGGGTGATACCGCAGAAGAGCAGAGACACGATGCCGCTGAGACTGAGACCGTTGGAGAAGAAATAGGCGGTGTAGGCGCACAGAGCGACGAGACAACTTTCGATCTGCGGATAGGTCGCCAAGTGCGAGTGCTTGAGACCGAGGGAGCACACCAGACCGAACGCAACGCCGAGCAGCATAGATGAGAAGAAGCTGAACAGGAAGATGCCGACACCGTGGAACAGAGACGATAGATAAATGTCGTCACCGCCGTGGAAGTGGGACAGCGTCTCGTACATGACGATGGAGACGGCATCGTTTAAAATACTCTCGCCGAAGATGATCGAATACAGTTTCGGGTCCACCTTGGCCGTGTTGAAGATGGCGAGAATTGTGACCGGATCCGTTGCCGAAAGCGTCGAGCCGAAGATGAGGCATTCGAGGAGAGAGAACTTGAGACCCTCGAGTCCGAGCAGACCCCAGATGTACACGAGAACGCTGACCGTCAGCCTGATGCCGATCACCGGTACTCACCCGATGCCGACTGCAGAAATGAAAGTTCCAACGAACGCGAACGTCAGAATTACTCCAAAGTTGCGGAAGAAATTCTCCTGAGGCTGTCAGTATAAATCAAGGTCCTGTTTGCTCACTTGCTTCAGCTCGTACCCCGAGTTAAGAATGATCGGCGGCAGGAGCAGATTGAAGAACACTGTGTGCTTGAATGACTGTGAAAGGTCAGAGCCGATACGTAAGAGTTGTGCACTTACCATCATGTCACGGATAACGTGGCCTGGAGACAGGCGAACGACAATGCCGACGATCATACCGGCAAAGATGGAAATGACGGTCTCATGGACGGCGCGAATACGCTTGATCTGGAGGTAATAGGAGATGCAGAGCGCCATGATAAGGAGCATACAGAGGATGCACAACCCCCATCTGTCTGTGTCAGATTCCAGCACCATAGGCGCAACTCACGATGCGTAGAACTCCTCGTCGGTCGGGTTGACTGGGTCCGCCGCTGGCGGATGAGTGATGGGAGGAGCCATGGCGAGCGTTGCAAGCTACGCTCGCGGGCGGCGGGGAAGCGCGGGCGGAGCTGCTGTCGTTGACCTGATTAGAATTTAAGGGGAGCGGGGACTTTTGTTGTCGACAGGCGGGTGGTCGGGTTACAATGGCCGACGGGCGTCTCCGTGGTTTACCGGTCCGGAGAGAAGACTGTTAGAGAAGAGGGAAGTGGTCGACGTGTAGAAACGAGATATCAGCAGAGATACGCGCGATTATGACGCTGCCCGAAGGGTCTATACCGGGCAACGGGAGCAAACCGATTGGCTGCAGGCGACTGACGGCACTCGTCAGTAGCATGAACTCTAGACGTGTTATGCGCCGCTCCGAGATGACAGAGGCCATCAGGCGTATAGCGTACGCCCGTGTGTGTGCTACCGAAGTGGCGCGACAGGAGCAAGGTGCAGATGACTGCATAATAGTACATGGTTGAGTTAATCGATGGTGCGGCTGGAGACGCCATATGACAATGCCAGACGACAAATCCCGAGACCTTCTATGCTTCGCTTCCGATGAGTTTACGCCTCTCCCTCCTGCGGTTCTTTGGACACTTAGAAGTCCTCGAGAGCGGAGATGTACAGCACTGTAAGAGGTCAGTCGCGGCAACGTAAAGATTGGGCTGCAGTTCAGCCCGTGACATACCGTTGTTGCCGCGAAGGAAGGTGTCGCCGTACTTGGCGATCAACCGTCCCTGGGCCCACTCCTCGGTCTCCTCAAGCGCAACGTTCATGTAGCCATCGAGGCAGGTGAGCAGTCCTGAATGTTAGACAAATCCATGCGCTAGGCTAGCTGTGGGCGACCATTCTCGTGGTCTCCTGCCAGCTGTGCGGCAAGGCGAGATCGTTGAGTGTAGAGGTCCATAGAGCTGCTCGTGATACCAGTCTCCCGAGTCCTCCGAGCTGCAATGCAAAGACAAGACCCCATGGAGGACTCTATGCTCCCCTGGGGTCACCTCCACTCACCGTGGTAATCGATGCCGCTTCCAATGCGGACCTTGACCTTCTTTCCGACGATGTTCTTGAGGAAGTCGGACGGGGAGCCGGCAGCGGGTCCCTGGGGTGCGTCGTCAGAGTGGGGCGACGCGGAGTCCATGGTGTCGAGGGGTATCTGGGAGGTGTTGTTGTTGCGACGAGCTTCAAGCTGCGAGATGACAACAGAGGGGACGACTGGTGGCCGAGGCACCCGGCGATCGGCGCGGGACAAAATACAAGAAAAGCGGCTGGAAATATTGGGATGGTGGGAAGGGTACTTGAACGCGATTCCCGCATGGTCGCCATCCATCCCCCTTCCCGTGCAAGTCACCTGACTCGACCTAAACACCGTCACTGTTGACCTCACCGCATCCACCAGTGAGCATCGCGCTCTGGCAATAACAAACCAGTCTCGAGTCACGACACTATCGCCGGCCCTTTGTGCATCCACCCCCCAGCACCATGTCGGAACGCGCGGCGACGCCGCACGACGAGGCTTCGGCCGCTGCCGCCGTCGCCCCACGTTCTCCCGAGCGGCACGCCAGTGCTACTGCCGAGGACGTCTTCTCGAACCTCGACCCAGCACTGCACCCAGCCACCCTGAACTCTGTCTCCAGCGAAGCCGAGAACCCCCTCGAGAGCTTCGCCCAGCACGTCCTCGGCGACAGCGGAGAGCCCGAGGCCGAGAGCCTCATGCCCTTTGGCGAGGACAACACCCTGTTCACGCCCACGGGCGAGGCGCGTTTCGGACGCCTCGGTGAGGCGGACGCGCCTGAAGCCGACAAGGAGCGCAACGGTGACGGCACTGAGGCCCAGGAGCAAGCCCAGGGCGAGTTCCCTCCCTTCGGCGACGAGCACTTTGAGACCGCCGCTGCCGTCGCTGCTGTCACGACCGAGGCCGACGGAGACGTCAAGATGGGCCGCATTGTCGGCCGCAACAAGCGCCGCAGGGAAGGCGAGGAGATTGTTGTCGGCCCCGTTGAGAACGGCGAGCCGATTGACCCGATCAAGATGAAGAAGGACTCGCATGTGAGTGCAGCGAGCTTGGCTTCCGGCCACGCGTAGCTACTGCTTGCGACCGCAACTGACTCGCTCAGAAAGAGGTGGAGCGTCGACGAAGAGAGAACATCAACGACGGTATCAACGAGATCGCGCGCCTGATTCCCGGAGGTCAGGACAAGGTGGGCAAGGGCCAGCTTCTTCGCCGTGCGGCCGAGCACCTCGCTCAGGTCAAGGAGCGGTTAGCGCGCGTCGATGCCGAGCTTGCGCAGAAGGACCACGAGAAGGCTCTGCTCAAGGGCGAACTCGAGCAGGCCCAGCATCGCCTGGACGAGGAGCACGCGCGCAGCATGCGTTTCGAGACCTCGTGGCGCGAGGCCGAGGACCGCGCCGCCGCGTCCCAGTTCGAGCTTGACCGCCTCAAGACGGAGCTCGACGAGCTGAAGAAGGCCCAGGCGACCGCCGAGGGCGGTGAGGCTGCCGAAGCCACCGCCGCCGCCGAGTAGACCTTGTGCCTGCCCGGTTGCAATCAAGACTGAGCGTCACGGACATTTGACCGGACGTTCGAAATCAAGTTTATCACCTGATTATACGGAGAAGTGAAGACGCGCCACATGTTGTATTTTCGAAACCCCCAGTGGGATAATTGAGCGAAGGAAGGAGGGATGGAGACGGAGTATACCTGACTCTATGGAAAGAACAGTATCTTGTCCCGCTGTGACCGAGCGGAGCGCGAGCGTGGAACGATGGCATCACTCACCTCATCAATGCGAGCACTGACACGAACTGACTAGGACGGCTGGAGGTGGAAGGCGCAACGAATGCCGATCGATCGCGGCCGATCCCCGCCCCTGCTATGATTAAAGTCTGGACTCCGTCTGCTCATATGCTCATGACGGGGCGGAGGTAGATGGCTGACTAGATGCAGATACAACAAGACGGCTCGCATCAGGCTATGGCGCTATGGCTTTGAGATGTGATGAAAACAGGTAAGAACGTGATTAAAATGCTGGCGTGCGGATCGTGCGGAGATGGCGGTGAGTAGGTACAGTATGCGAAGTGCTATGACAACTTTTGGTGGGCGCTCGTAGGCTTAGCTGGTGGGAGGAGATGCGGTAGGTGACGGGGTGAGTCGAGATTGTTGGGGTCGTGTCAGATTGGACGTAGGCTGAGATGAAGTTGAGGCGAGGTCGGAGAAAGGGGGGGAGAGGGGTCTGCGTGGTATTGAGGTGACCTCGCAAAGGAGGCAGAAGGGCTGGAGCGCTGATCGCGGAGGCTGGCAAGCTGGCGAGACCGGGTCGCTAGGATCGGTGGGAGCGTCGATCCCGGCCACCGCACTCACTGCCAGCCTGCGCACGCCCCATCTTTCTCCAACAGGCGGTTGATAGCGTCTGCGGCCTCGCGCCGCTGCACCGCGAACCGGCTCTGGGCAGGGAGCATGACACGCCGCCCTGGAACGGCAGTGACCCACTGCAGACGCGCGAAGAAGGGTAACAGCTTGGTTGGCTGGATGTTAGCTTGGCAAGCCATTGGTGGGTAGCATTTGGAGCTTGGTGACTCACCAGAGCGTAGATGACTCCATCCTCGTACCCTCCTCCAGATTGCAGAGTCAGGAACCTGAGTTCGGGCGGGTGCATAGGGCTAGTCCACATGTGCTTGATTCTCGGAGTTGGCCTGCTCTCCTCCTCGGGCCAGAGGATGTAGGCGTCACACGGATCCCACTCGTCCCGGCTGGGTGTTGGAGAGGGGGTCAAGTAATTCCGGTGTTCTGGAGGAGACGCGTGAAGGAGCTGGGCAAGGCGCACTTCAGCTTCTAAAGATGCGCTGGTGGGTGGGTATGGAGGATATGAGGTGAGGGCAGCATGCGCGAGCGACGGCAGTTCCGAGAGACCCAACGCCGAGGTCGGTGTCGGCAAAGCAAGCTCGTGGGGGGACTGATCCCAGTAGAGTTGTTCGTGGTATAATGGAGCGGAGTCGGAAAGTGGATGTAAGGTCTGGGGTGGAGGGAGTTCGGGTTCAGGTGACGGCGACAATGACGACAGAGACGAGTCCGAGTTCGAGCTGGGGGAACGCCTTCCCACCTCGTCCTTGATCTCGGCCTTGCGATTCGACGCGGATGTCGGGGTAGCCGGGGGGCTCCGTCCGTACGGGTGATAGCTGTGTTTCGCTGAGGCATCTTTCGGAGAAGGGCTGAACGGCGGACGCCAGTGTACAGCGTCGTGCGCGAGGAGCTTCCAGCGTTTCGGAATGGGTCTCGCAGGGGTCATCTTGCCGTTTAGATGTCGTGTGATGTGTCGAGGGAGGTGGGGAGGGTCTAAGGCTAAGCTTTGTTACGCTTGCTACGCTTGACTCGTAGCCGCGGACATAGTGAGCGGTGTGAGCGGCGAGCGTGGTTCTGTCGGTGTATCGAGAGCGGTCGGAGCAACTGTGGGGAGGGAGGTGTGCGATGGAGGGCGGCAATTGATGAGGGGACAATACGGCTGGCAGGCAGTTTAGATGACTCTGTGGGATGCGAAGATTTGAAGAATGACAAAGGTACAAAGCGACTGTCGCGAGACCGGCGGTGTTCGCAGTTGAGCGTAATGAGCACGCGGTGGTCTGTGCTACCAGCGTCCTGCTGGTGGCAAGCAGCCGGCGGAACCAGGCTGACGGCCCGTGCGTCACGATGCGCTCGTCTGTGTGCTCGCGCTTTTCGAGGGCGCACTTTGCTCAACTTTTTCGTGGCACCTCCTTTACCTCTTCGTACACGTCAGGTTGATTGCGATAAGCTGAAGCTAGCAAGTGCCGAAGGAATGATCTGTCAGAGAACGGCGTGAAACACGGCCGCCCAGACAGTTAATATCAGCGGCTAGCGCCGGAGCTAGCGAGTATCGCCACATTCCGGCCACCTTGCGACAGCGGCAAAGGAGACGGCATGACGGAGTGGGCCGGTGGCACAGACGGGTCCCCTTATCTCATCTCGTTCCCTGGAGCTCGGCTGGGCACGCCAAACCTCACGGGTCTGTCCGAGTGTAGAGTCATATAAAGTACATCACAACTGTAGTGTCTGTCTAGTGATATTCTAATGAGTAGATGAGATCTGGCACCGGCCGGCGCCTGCTCGCCGACGCTGGCCTACCTCTGGCGTCCACGCTCACGCTCACGCTCAGCTTCCCCCTTCATCGGCGTCTGTGTGCCTGACGGCGGCGGCGAAGGACCGTCGTCCAGCAGGATCGCGCCCATACGAGACTCAAGCTGCTGCAGCGACAGTCCGCAAGCGCAGTCAGCCCACTTGCCCGTAATGTCGTCCGTGATGAACTTCTTCTCGCACCGGGGGCACACCCCCTCTGGGAAGCGTGTCGGGTCGAGATCGTGCCGCGGGTGCGGGACTGAAGAGAGCATGCAGGTTCGGCACGCCTGGTCCTCTGGCCGCAGCTTGCACACCGGGCATGGGTCGGTATCGAACGCGTGTGACTCGTATGACGGCAGCTCGACGACGTCGGGGATGAACGCGCATGAGGGGACGATGACCGGTTTCTCGACGCGGAGCATACGGAGCTGACCCTGTCCGGGGGTGTCGAGGGGGTTGCCGGCGACATCCTCGCCATACACCGAGTACCACACTTCGGCGATGAGCTGGTGACGCACTTTGATTGGCGTGATGATGCCCTCCAAAGTCGACGGACGGCCCGTTTCGTCGTTCGGCAACCGGCCGACGCCACTTGTTGTAAGCCCTCCGATGTCGAAACCTTGCGCCTCGGTACCACGCCAGAGCGCCGGCGTATCCCTCGTTGGCCGTTGTGGCGGGGGTCGGATGCCCTTCTCCCAAATTAGGAAGTTGGTCTTGTTGATTATCGGCTCGGCAAAGTCTGGGTCATCTCGCGGCGAGATCATGTCCGTCCGCTGCTCGAGCAGTACACGCGCAAAGTAGATCGTCGTCGCTGGTGCAGGGCAAGGGATGGAGAGGTTGATACGCAGGACGGCGCAAACGGTCCATGTATCGGACGTGAAGTGGAAGTTGAAAGCCCCGAGCCCCGGAACGTCGCCGCTCCGCCCTTCGTCGAGCTTACTGACACCGTTGCTTGGCTCGGGGTTGTACAAGAGCGTGACGGTGCGGCTCGTGCTCAGCGTGCCCTTCACCCACTGTACCTCGTCGTCCGTGTGCGTCACCGGCTCGGACCAGGTGACGGTCATGGAAGGTTGGATCGCGTTCGGAACTGGTGCCTCGATGCCGTCGTCGTCCGGCATGTGCACGCTGTTTGCAGCTGAACCGTTGGCACTACTCGAATTCGTCGATACGCCGCCGACTGGTGATCGTCCGCGCCGCGGCGTTGCGACGGGTGATGCCGTTCGCGAGCCCATTGGCGAGAACGCAGTAATCACGGACTGCGTTGCTGGCGGGGCGTGAAGACCCTCGATCTCCGCGTGCAGCAGCATGTTGACACTGCCGTGCGCGTGCGTATCGTACGGTGCGAGCTCATAGGGCACAACAATCGTGAAGCCAAATCTGGCGTTAACGTTGACCTAAGCCGCGGAACTCACCTCTGCAGCCCTTCCTCAAGAACGATGGCTCCTTTAATCTCGGTGGAGCGCTCGAAGAGACAGTCTTCCTCCCATCCTCTTCCGGGCCCCATGTTGAGCCGTGCGACGTTGCGGAGCTTCATCCGGATAGCACGACAACGCCGCTTGCCATATCCCTTCGGCAGCCAGATTTCGAGTTCGCCCGACAGCTCGCGGTCAACAAATGTCGGCCCTTGCCCGTCGTCTCCATCGACACGAAGTTGTGTCATGAAGACTCCTCCGTAACTCGGGATGTCGATCGTCATCTTGATGCCCTTCTTCCCTAGCGGGGATGAGGTGCGCGAGCGCGAGCCAGATCGGCCGCTGAGGAATTTGAACATGGTGGGAGATGATTATGTGTGTGCAAGTGCGATGCTAGCAAATGTTGTGCGTCGTTCAGATTAGTTGGAATGGAAGAATCAATGCAAGATGTGGTCGTTGAGTCGAGCAAAAGTGAATCGCAGAATAACCGGGAGGGACGGGGGCCGGAAAGGGACTTCAGGCTGGAGCGGAGAAGTGTGCAGGAATGGCGTAAACAAAAGCCAAAGGGTGGTTGCCGTTGTGAGTGACCTCCGACCGTGTCCCCGCTGCCGATGAGGACGAGGTGGACGGTGTAGGGGTCACTGAGAGGTCGGGTGGAGGAGTGGGAGTGGGCGGAGTGGTGATTTGTAACGGACGTCAGAGAAGGCCGACCATGGTGGATGCCGTCTGAATATTTAGGAACGCGGGTGGAGGTGCGGTACGCAGCATGACAGGTCTCCTAGGTCTCCTAGGTCTTCAGGTGGACCCAGGTGGCCGAGCCTGACGCCAGGTGGTCCAGGTCGTCAGGGAGGGGCAGCTTCGAGCCAGGGGCATGGCGGGTATGGCAGGGCTTCCAGCATCCACCACTCAGCATGCCCGCAGTCCCCAGCGTCGGCAAGAGACGGTGCAAGTGATTCTGGCCACCTATCGCATTCCGGAACAGCATCCGTCGGACGCCTTGCCGACGCAGAGTTTACGGGGTCTCCGCATCAGCAAAAGTTGGCCACACATTTGCAGGCGCCGCAGCACACACAGACATGTGGTCCGACTACCTTCTGACTCAATTCAGCCGGTAGCCCAGGCCTCGCCATCTCCACCGTTCTGCGATCGTGATATATATGATAAACGAGGCGTCCTTTGCTGACCTTATCACCTTGTCCATTCCCCCCGGCCTTCGGTCTCCGATCCATCTTTCAATGTCATCCTTTACTTTGTCATCGCCCACACAAGACTATCACCCTCGCACTTACCATTGGCTCTCGCCCACGTTCGACTGCGCCGCCTCGAGGTTTCGGTAACACGGCGATCACTTTGCTCTGTACGCGGCCGAGACTACTGGCAGGTGATAAAGGGTAACAAAGCGCCGACGCCAGCCTTCGCCCTCCACCTTCATCTTCTCGGCCTGTCTTCCGGACCTCTGAATGCAATCGCCATCACCACGTTCACCGCCATCACCACGTTCACCATCACTCCATCGCTCGTCATGACAGGTGCGCTCGAGGTTCTGTCTCGACTGCGAGCCTCGCTTCCCGAACCCCGCGATACAACACCGGGCGACATCATCCTTGGTCACATCCTGATCATCTTGTCAATCCTCGCCCTCGTCCCAGCGCCTACCCCGACAGTTCGTCTGTTCCGAGCAGCGCTCGCGCCCCTTCTCTGCGCCGGCTGGGTCTTTCTGAGCTATGTCCCCTTACTTAGGACACCGCAGGAGCGTTGGGGCAGTTCCAGTAAGTTAGGATCGTCCAATGATGCTGACAGACCAGTCCTCTTCAGTGAGTCGCCGCCGAAGGAAGGATCGAGGGATCGCGTGCACGGACCAGCCATACTGACGTACCAGTTATGTTCTCCTTTCGCACGTTGGAAATGCTTATTCTCTCGCCCCCGGAGGAGGCAATCTGGCGCGTCCGCGACGGAAGGTCCGAACCTGTGCCGCCGGGCTGGACCTGGACAAAGCTGGAATGGGCGACAAGCGCCGTAGTGTCCTTGCGCGGCATCGGCTGGAACTACAGCGCGCCACTGTCTACTTCGCAGCGGAGCCGTCCCTACGATCGTCACTCCAGCCGGAAAGAGTACATCATCAGCCGCAGCATATATGGTCTCATCAACCTGCTTCTCGATGACGCTTGTGGTGCGCTTATGCGGCGAACCGCGGCTGATTTCTTCATCACCGACAATCTCAAGTATGCCGATTTGACGCAATGGCAGCGCGGCTTCTACAGTACCCTCGTTGTGATGCGCACCGTCTGCAGCCTCGAATTCACGCATGTTGGCTTATCTATCGTGTTCGTGCTGCTCGGAGGGCTACTTGGTAAGGACGACCACGAGCTGTTGACCCCGTGGGGTTGGCCGCCGATGTTCGCCAGCCTGAAAGAGATCTTCTCGCATCCCGGGCTCTCATACCTGTGGGCGAGGGTAAGTTACGTGCGCATGCGACAGACTAACGGCAGGCTTGGCAGCAGTACAATCGCCGTATGCTGCACATGTGGGGCTGGGTCTTCATTGGTGAGACGTTGCTTGGACTCCCTGTGTCCGGCGTTTCCAGTCTCGCCACCAGGGTCCAGAGGCCGGAAGCCAAAATTCTGCAGGCCGTCTCGGCGCTAAACGACAAGGGCAAGGAGATCAAGGACAGCAGCGTCGATGGCCACAAGACTCCAGCAAACGGCAAGACGAACGGAAAGCCGAACGGAGTCGCCCGGCATGTGCTGTCGGCGACGGACACGCCAATGTCCGGACGTCTTTCGCCATCAAACCCGATTCCTGCAGGGCCGAACGTGAAGGCGAACTTGATCAAATCCATTGTCACGTTCACCCTCTCCGGCGTGCACCACGACTACGGTACGCTTGTCCTCCTCCTGGATCAGATCGGGCGCAGCGAGCGCTCTGCCATCGCTTGGAGTGACGTCTATGGCGTCACGCCGTTCTTCGTGGTGCAACCCTTTGGACTTGTGCTCGAAGCTGTCGTGAAGCGCCAGTGGCGTGTTATCAAGAAGAAGCAGATGGTCAGCGAGCGAGCCGCGTCCTTCATCGAGTTCGTTCTGGGCAACACCTGGACCTGGGTGTGGCTCGGCTGGACGGCCGGATGGTACGTTCGTACACTTACCGAGATCGGCACGTATCGGGCGTTCCCCAACAAGCCCATATTCTCGATCACAGAGACGGTGTGGGACTGGGCGCACCGAAAGCATGTAGAATAGTAGATTAGAGCAGCACCAACACACATTCCCGTCATCATCCGCACCATGCATGTTACAATCATCGACCATCCTTCCTGACAACTGTCTCACAGATCGCTGTATGCTGGCTTCATGCATCAAGCGAGCTCGGCTAGGTTTTCAGTTCTTAAGTCGGCCGCCCCTTTAGTGTGCAGTACGGAACGAACCGGGGCTGCAACCCCAGGGTGCCACAGAGGTCGGAATTAGCGGGCTCTGGCTGGGGTCGACAGAGGCAGCTACGGAGCCCGCCTGCATTGGGCGGAGCTCTATTCGTCCGTGTAGCCTGGGCGAAGGCCAGCCAACCAAGCCAACTCCTGCCGCTTCCTCCTCCTACTCAACCTACTCCTCACCTCTCCTCTTCCCGGCCTCCTCGACCTCGTCGTCGTCCACACCAAAATGAGCCTCACGCGCATCAACATCGCGCCCACCTGCCGCACCTTTGCATCGGGCGTTCCCGCCGCTCGTGTCGCCTTCAACCTCCCTCCCAAGGCCGACCACCACGCCGGTCCCCGCGCCGACATGCCCGCCAAGTTCTCGGGCACTTTCATGAAGCGTGTCAACGGTTAGTGTGCCCCTACCCGACGCCGATCTACGAGGCTGCTATGCGCCGCCAGCTCGCCAGCCTGTGGGCACGAGTGTTCCAGCCGAACGCCTAAAGTCGGAACGCTGCGATACCCGAAAAAGTCCAAACCGAGATGACATCGGGTGTGGAGTTGGAAGGACATTGCTGGGCCGAAGGATCGACGTTCCAGACAATCACACAACATGAACGAAGCAGTAATGCTGACCTGCAGCTCCCCCGTCAGGTGCCTTCGTTGCCCAGCGCAGCATGCACACCTCGACCCGCGCGCTCGCCGGCCGTTCGCAGGCTACCGGTGTCCCCGACTTCACTCCTTACAAGACCTCGAACGCCGACTCGAACCGCACCCTCTCCTACTTCATGGTCGGCACTCTTGGTGCCCTTGCCGCCTCTGGCGCCAAGTCGACTGTGACCGACATCCTCTCCAACATGGCCGCTTCCGCTGACGTTCTTGCGCTCGCCAAGATCGAGGTTGAGATGGGCTCGATCCCTCTCGGTGTGTCCACCTCTCTTGCCCACTGACTTTGTTACTAACGTATACAGGCAAGAACCTCATCGTCAAGTGGCGTGGAAAGCCCGTCTTCATCCGTCACCGCACGCCCGACGAGATTGCTGAGGCCAACGACGTTGACGTCAAGACGCTCCGTGACCCCGAGACCGACGAGCAGCGCACCCAGCGCCCCGAGTGGCTCGTCATGCTTGGTGTCTGCACCCACCTTGGATGCGTCCCCATCGGTGAGGCTGGTGACTACGGTGGTTGGTTCTGCCCCTGCCACGGATCCCACTACGACATCTCGGGACGTATCCGCAAGGGCCCCGCCCCCCTTAACCTCGAGATCCCCGAGTACTCGTTCAACGACGACGAGGAGAAGATTGTCGTCGGTTAGAGAGAGATATAGCATGCACAAATAGGCCACGTTACGCACGAGGTCGCCCCGGGCGCGCTTGGCCGAGGAGCTTTGAGTGTGGATGATCGGAACCGTCGGAAGTGTTTGGAAGAACATGCGGAATGTCTGGCAAATTGGGCAGCGGGAACGCTACGGAGCCGAGATCGTCAGCAGCACGGGTCAGCAGCAGCGAGAGCGTGAGAGTCGTGTGCATGTGCATCTCGGGGCGAGATTTGTTTGTGTCGCAGTCATGCACGATCAGCGCGATGCAGCCCTCAACCATGAGAGGCGATGTGTAGAATCAGGGCCGATCGAATTGGCCCGACGAACCCTCCGTCATAGGCCAGTTCGTCCGCCGGTTGGCTGAGGGGTGCCATCGCCAAAACTTGAGCTTCCGAACCACCATAGAGGGCCTCCACCGGCCCAGCTCTTTGTGAGCAGCGAAAGTCAGAAATCAACGTTAGGTCGAATTCAACACGCAACGTCGGTGCGGGATGTGCACCACGAAGCGGCCAGCGGCACTGGGACTCGCTGCGCTAGCCCAAGAGTATGTCCTGTGCAAAATGGGTCTACATGCAATGAGCTGAGCTATGCTATTGTTTCCTTGTGAGAAAAGAGAATGGGGAGTGTCTGTCCTGTCGTTCCCCTGTCTACGCCTTCCACCGCCTCTTGCCGTCTCCTTCCTCGCGGCCGCTCCTCTCTACCACCTCGTCGCCGGTATGCGATGCACCAAGAAGAAACTTAGGCGGCCTGCTTGGCAACAACTCCGACCTTGCCGGCGCTCGCGGCCAGCTTCTGCGCCGCCTCGATCAGCGCCGGGTCCTTGAGCTGCGGCGCAAGGTGGGGCAGGACGTGGATGTGGAACGCACGCTGCGCCGCCGGAGATCCGAGGTGCTGGAACACACCGCCCATGATCGCCGCGACAGCCTGGCCCTTGACGGCCGCGTCCTTGCTCGCGAGAGCATTCTGTTTGTCAGCTACCTATTCCATGCTCAGCTCGCCTCTCCGGGAGGGACGGGCCGCGCTCTTCCATCGCCCTCTGGGCATGATGGGCAGTGTCTGCTGAGCAATAGCAGCGGACTCCGTCTCCAGACATGGCCGTCCTCCCGCGCACAGCACCCACCTGATTAGCCGTCCACCGCATGACGTTCTGGACGCCCCACTTGTCTCCAACCCAGCGTCCAACGTTGTTCTCGTGCAGCATGTCCGCGAGGCGGGTCTCGATATCCTTTCCGTTGAGGAAGTCGGTCTTGCGTGCTCCCTCAGCCGTGCGAACCTGGGAGTGGAGGAACATGGCGAGGTATGACGCGAGCGCGCGGCGGCCGAGGAAGGAGAAACGAGCGTTGTGCGACACCTGGCTCTGCACGAGCTCCTCCTCGCTCATGTTCGTCAGACGGTTGACGAACCGGTAGCTCTTGTGCGTGAGCAGCTGCAGCGCAAGCTGCGGCGGGAACGCGGCAGAGGACGGCAGCTCGAGCAGCTCGGAGAGGTAGGACGAGGCAGCGTCCGGCGTCGTCGACGCGGAGGGGGTGGCGTAGTTGCGCACTGGAGTTAGCTGGCTCCAGCGAGTGAGCTTACCTTCCCGTCGCAGTTGCCTCGCGGCTGGTCGGAGGACGGACATGGTGAAAGAGTGGTCGGGTGAGGGAGGTGGAAGGAGGGAAGGGGGGAAAAGGGGGATCGGAAGCTGGGGAGTCGAAGCGCTTGGCCTTTTAGGAGAGTGTCGTGGTCGGTCCGGCCCAGTCGAGGTGCAAGAATGCGGTCAGGAGGTCGCTCGAGGTAGCGGTGAGGTGGTGGTGTTGGTACACTGGTCGCAGCAAAAGTCCGGAGTCTGCCTCGAGGCCTGCCAAAGTTCCTGGAGGACGAGGACATACTTTCTGAAATCCGGTCAGGGACCGACCACATGGCGGAACTCCGGCGTTTCCTCGGTGGCACATGAAGAGTGGCATCGCTTCCATCATGAGGCGACGTAACAGATGCATACATAACTTCAGTGATAGGCTATGCATTGAAGAAGGAGCTGCGGGAGTAACATTTGAATCGAACCGCGTGTGAGCTGCCAGGAGAGCAGGCTAAAAGAATGATACACCATGGGTGGAACGGAAAAGCCAGAGACTCCAAGTTTGCAGGCTCTGCAAATGTGGGTACACTTTGTCCTCTTTGCAATCACAACGATCAGTGTGATTAACAGAGCAGATGCAGCCCATTTTCGGATTTTTTGGCCTGCACGAGGCCCTTAAAATCCTCCCGGGCTTCCCAGGCCTGTAGATGCGAGACGGAGTGGTCGAATCCTGCACATAGAGTGGCAGCCATCGCTCTTGCTCACTGCGCGCCATCGCGAAGAGGAGAATTGCGAAGGTGTCGCACCTGCTAACAAATTGCACCTGACGTAAACGCTGAGATGCTGTGATGGGCGTGCACCGAGCACTTGACCCATCTAGCCAGCCAGTTCTTCATACCCATTCCTGAGAGTCCAGGATCGGCGGCCGTCACGGGCAAAATATTGTATGACGCTGTGCACCTCTCCTTCTCAAGGGGACTACATGCTGACGGTTTGTCTGACGACAATGCCCAGGGGCGATGTAAACATCCTGGCTGGACGCAGTAGCGGCAACATCAAGGTCTCCCTGCCATCGCAGAGCAATGTCCTCCTACTCTGCTATGAGATGCAGCCTTTGAGAAACAGGAGCAGATACGCAGAGACCCCAGCGTCGCAGGATTTCTGCGTCTTTTAGTCCTTCCCAAAGCGCTCTTATCCTTGGCCGGCGATCGCGAGTCACGATGGGTGTGCATTCCGCTTTCTATCGCACCAGCAGCCGACAGCCGCATTCTTCTCTATCATCACTCGCAGGCGGCAGGTCGCACGCATTGAATGTCACATCACTGCAGTTAGTGAAAAACTAGGTGGGCACCGTCTAAGTTCGTCAACCCGGATTTCAGCGCAAAGAGGTCAATGTTTGAGCGGGCTGCTCAATGTATACCACCCGGAAGACCCCCCAAGGCCATTCAAACTTGAGCAGCTCGTTCGATGGTTTACACAGTCAACAGAAGAACTCTTCATCCAGAAATCTCGAAGCGTCAAGCCACCACATCAGACAGCTTGTCATCCACGGGTGCATGTGTGGACCGTCCGCACAACTGGTCGCAAGACCATGCCCACTGGAATGAGTCCAGGGGTATCAGTCGGCCCACGAGGGGCGTGCCTGAAATCATTTAGTCACCGATCCCGGATCGGGCGGGTCATTGCCGATTGATCAATCGACCCACGGCGGCGCCGGTGCTTGGCCGCCGCATGACCGCGCGCCGCCTAGCGCAACCCGCGACATGACACGTCCATGCATCTTGTTTAGTCCTCATCCACCCCGGCACCACACTCCTTATGCTGCTCAACACCGTCGTCCCTTCGACGGGGCCGCTCATCACCGCCGTTGGCCTTTCCGGCCTCCTCCTCTCCGAATACGCTCGCTCAAAGCCCGGCGTCTGGCTCACCAAGCCCCTCGCATCCCTCGGCTTCCTGTACACCGCCTACCACTCACCCGCCGCTGCGACCTCGTTCGGTAAGACCGTCCTGGCTGCACTCGGCCTGTCCTTCCTCGGCGACGTCTTCCTCATCCCCGACAACCCCACCACGTTCCAGGCTGGTCTCTTCTCCTTCCTCCTCGGTCATGTCGGCTTCGCGCTCGCGTTCTTCAACTCCGGCCCCCTCGACCCTCAGCTGACCATCGCTGCGGCCGCCGGTGAGGCTGTTCTCGGCGGCCTTGTCTGGAAGTGGCTCTCGCCCTACCTTCCCCAGGCTGACCGCATCCCTGTCGCGCTGTACACCACCGTCATCAGCGCCATGACCGTGCTCGCGATCGGTAGCTCGAAGAACTCCCCTGTCCCTTGGGAGCAGATTGCAGGCGCCATCGTCTTCCAGCTCTCTGACCTCTGCGTTGCGCGTAACCAGTTCGTCACCCGTGACCTCTGGAATGGACTCATCGGCCTCCCGCTGTACTTCTTCGCTCAGCAGACGATCGCGTCCCTTCTTTGGGCCTAAACCACAACAAAGCATTATAGGTGTGCATACAGAAGTCCATGCAATAGTCAATGTCTCTCTTCACTCGAGCGCCTCTCGCGCCGCGGCGTAGCGGCCGAGGGAACGCTTCTGGCGGGCGCCACCAGCGTCGAGCGTGTGCAGGACGTCGGCCGTGCTGAGCCATCCATCCTGGGGCGCGATGCCACCTTCGAACTCATCCCAGTCGTTGATGATGCCTTGCACGATGGGGTTACCGACAACAAACAGGTTCTGCAAAGCCGGAGGGAAGCCACCCTGGTCGGCCGTGAAGCCGTCGTAAGCCGACATGCCCGGGGGAGCACGGTCAAAGTCACTGCCAGTGCGAAGGAGAATCACGCGGGCAAAGTCGACCAGCCCAGCGAGGTGGTAACGGATAAACACCTCGAAGGTGGCATTGTCCTCCTGCGCCGTGAAGACGTACTCGCCGGTGCCGTTGGTCCAGAGCTTGGTGATGTTGGCAAATGCCTGGCAGAGCAGCTCGCCGGCGAAATACACATCACTGGTCGCCACGTCGCCGTAGATGACGGAGGGAGGCGCCTTGGCCACATCCTGAGGGTATTTGACACGGAATGCCTGCGCCTTCTCGGTGTCGTTCAGAGTGAGTCCCTCAGTGTAGGCGTGCACGCGCTCGCGCAGATTTGTGTTCAGCTCGAACACCTCGGTGCCGTAGTGCTCGGCGCCGTTGATCACATTCGGCTCCTTCGTGCCCTGTAGGAAGTAGCCCGTCGGCCAGTCCTGGGGCATCTCGCGAGCATCGAGCTCATGAGCCAGTGCGACCTGCACGGCGTACCGCGCCAAACCAGCCGATCCGAGGGTTCCGAAGTTGGGGTTGACGCCAGCAATACCAGCAATCAGGCTGCGCGTTAGCTTTCCATTACCTCGTGCAGTCATCCGCGCTGTCAACTCACAAGTAGGTGTGGCGTAGGTCGAGCGCATCAGTGCTCAGAAGAGCCGTCACCGACGCCGCAGCATTGATCTCGCCCTCGCCAGTGATGAAGTGGCAGATTTCGCCCGCGGCGTTGCATCGCACATTCGGGAAGAGCGGCGACAGTCCAGGCAGCGTGATGTTATTGTTGAGGTCGAGGGCCTGTGTCCACACGTCCTCGGGGCTGAACATGGAGATGACGAACACCTTCGGCGCCGCGACGGGGTGGTCCCAGCGCTTGGTCACTGGAGCGGCCGGAGCGACATTGCGAGCGACGGGTGCGACGGGGCTGGCGAGCGCTGGCACGATCGTCGAAAGCAGGACAGTCAATGTGCTCCACAGCATTGTCAAAGTTTCTTGGGGAGTCAGCAGACACCGCCCAATTGTGTGAGCTTATGTACGCTCAATCAGTGAGGTCAGTCGCGCTAGTGCCCAGAGATCCTGTGAAAGGTTAAAATTAGCCTAAGGACAGGTTTTTACGAGAGATAAGCTCAGGGATGCAGGCAACGAGAGAGATCATGCGATGGGCAGCACGCATGAGCAGGGCGATATGAGCCGCCTGGTGCACATTGAGTCGTACGAAAAGTGCGTGAGTGGAAGTGTGGAGCGGGCCAAATGCCGGATTGCAGGCAGACAGTCACTGGAAATCACCGGGGGAGGAATGTGGTGGACAGATGTTCTCACGGACGCCGATCACATGAAAACATGAGGGCCGCGAATTCTAAACCCTAGAGCATATTGTGGGGGTTATTCGATGGGAACGACGGTGGGGTAAGCGACGTCGAGCTTGTGAGGGAGTGTGCAGTGTCGCATGACTGATGGCTTTTCCGGCCAGATCGCGAAAGACTGCCATGAGGCTCAAACCGTAGGCGTACCTAGGTACCTTACGATCGCAACGAGGTACGGGTCTTCTCACCATCACCGGTGTATTGTCACAGAATCGTTATCGGATCCTACACTTATCGTTTTGAGCCGAGCCACGCGACGGCTCAATCCAAGGAGCTTCAAAGCTTCGAAGCTGAAAGCAAGAACACCACACCGAGTTACAGCTTCCAAGTGTCTCAGCGTCGGCATATTGGGGGATGAGGTTTGCTGCGGATCGATGACCAGCATCGTCCTTTGGAACAAGCTGTCCATCAAAGTTGCGATCCCAAGAGGCACATCCTTGCATTTCCGAGCGCAATGGCCTCCCCGTTCACGGGGGCTCGCTCGGTTCAGCGACTTCACACCGAAAGTCCGTCGAAGTACCATTGACCCACCTTACGGAAGCTCTTCTTTCAGATCTCCGGAATGCTTCTTCCCGCTCCTCTCGCTCTTCGTGCCCTTCGCCTCCTTTACCTATGAACGAAGCTCAGCGAGGTGCTTGAGTAGGACTGCCAAGAGTTTGATAGACAAGGGGCAGAGGCGCAATGGGGCGAGCGGGGAGCGGCGGCCTCTCATTTCCTCAGACGAGAGCAGTACAAATAGGACGGATGTCGACCCAGTGCCCAGCTTCCCAGACATCGTCAAGCCACCATGTTCGGCCGCTTGATCTACATTCTCACCCTCGCCCTGTCTGTCGTCGCCTGGCCTGCCGAGACCGGCACTCAGCTGTATCTCCTCGGCGGCACCTGCCTCAACCTCGAAGGACTCGTCGATTACGGCGCCAAGCCCATCCTGTGCGTTGCGTCGGTGTCGCGCGCTAACATCCAGCGGCGGTTACGGCGCTTGTGGGCCCAACTTTCCCGGCTGGATGCTCCCTGCCCCCGGCACCATCGGCCAGATCCGCATCGGCAACACAAACTTCTGCCTCTCCGAGACTTGGGGTGGATGGACGACCCTTCTGCCTTGCCGCCAGGCAACCCGCTGGTGGGGACTCAATGGCACCGTGCAGACCGACTACACGATTGAGACTGTTGGCCGCCGCGGCGGGCACACCGGGCGCTGCTTGACCGTTCGCACCCTGGGTATTGCTGGGCCTTGGTCACCCCGCGTCGAGAAGTGTACCACCGTCCATCCTGACAAGGAGTCGCAGCTCTGGTCGCCCAACCCTCACGGCTAGTTGCGACCAAAACGCAGCAACCGAATGAACAGTAACCAAGGACAATTGAGAACAGTCGCAATGTCTGCTGTATCGTAACAAGTCAAGTACAATGCCGTTAATGCAGTTCATTGCCTTCCCGCAGCCATTCTATACCGATGTGTCGGGTCCGTATCAACTCTCCGTTACGTATGCCAAGTTTTGTCTTGTGGCCACATAAATTCGACGGTCCGCGAGCTCCCTTGGTGAGCTTAGGTCGTGTGATGGGAGATCGCTGCTCGTGTCGCGAGGGCATTGGGTTGAGCAGATAGCGATCTGCGAAGTGAGGGAGAACGGGGGGTTCGTTATCTCAGCCCAGTCAGCCCAGAGCCACGCGACGATAAACACGTGACCGGCCGGCCCATCTGCAAACAACGAGTGCCGCTTTGTACTCGATCCACGAGACATGCAGCTGTGCATAAGATGTCGGAAAGGGAACAGAGGGCTTGGGTCTGTACAGGGGAAGCGTGGTTAGTAAGTCGAGTTGATGCCGCTTGATGGCTCGCTTCAAGGAGCCACGCCCACTGAACCACACCTTCCATGCATCCCACTATCCCTCTTGTTCAGTGTCAAACGATTGCGATTGATCCTCTAATGCATACCGTCTTCTATGTGCATGCAGAGGAGTTCTTCCGCAGGCTGCATAGAAGGTAGTGTCTACTGACCTTCGGCGCAGCGGTGGTTGGCTGAGGGAGCCTAACGTGCCACGCTCATTTCTCCGCTTCCGCCGAGCGCTGGGCGTGCCTGCTCGCCTGCTCCTGCGCCTGCCTGCAACCCACCTCGAAGTCAGAGTAGGCCGTTGAGCTCCCCAGACAACACCACCGACCATGTCCGCCACGCCTGCCACAGCATTTTCCCACGCCCACAAGTGAGTCCGATGGCCGCTGGAGCGAGAAGTGATGCTGACGCCGACTTTCCGCTCCTCGAAACAACCCCGCGCCGCTATTCTCTACCGACTTCCGCGTATTCGACACCGATGTGCCCGTCTGCTCCGATCGCTCTTACCCGCGCCGACATGCGTGTACTCGTCTCAACATTGCGACTCTGATATGCTGGGACGCTATTGCTACTCGTGCTCGCCTTTATCACCATGCGTCGTTGACAAATTGGGTCAATATCGCGATTCTCGATTCGACGCAACAGGGCTTACGTCAAGTCGCTGTACAGGCGCTACCTGGCCAACGAGCTGGACTGGTACATCCGTCGTGATGCCTGGCGCCAGCGTGCTATGGAGATTAGGGCAGAGTTCGAGCGCAACCGGTGAGTAGCGTGCACTGCGTGATACGGAGTCGGCTTGAGCTGTGAGACCTCACGGACCGGCAGTCGTCGACGCGAGACGATAACGTGCCTGCGATCGCGCCTGTCGCCGTATCGAGTGCTCGCAATTTGCAAGAGGACTCCGAGCGGACGGCGCGTCTTGTTTGTGCGGGCGAGATCGTGCAATGGGCTCCGTTGGCGCCGAAGCACTTCATGGCAAGCGATCTGGTTGCTCGTCGGGCGGCCGCGCCGATGGCGTACAAGCTTGCCGAAATCCCAGTGTACACAGCTAACAAGTAGCAACGTGAGCGACCCCCGTGCTCTCGCCATCATCCTTGAGAAGGCCGAGGAGAACCTCCGCAAGAACCAGCACCCTGACCCCTACCACCGTGAGTCCACTGCGCGTCTTCGAGGGTCGCCTGTAGTACTGGTTGGCACTCGTGCCACTGGGCTGCAACTATCGTCTCGTAGATCATTCTTGTGGCCTGTAGCTGACGGCCAGCCCCCATGTTCCCCGACGGCACCAAGTGGGAGCGCAACATCCCTCCCAGGATGTTCACCGAGGAGGAGGCGCACCACTAGGAACACCATTAGACAATGTAAAATCAACAGATGCATGCGTAGGCAGACACCCACGCACAAAGCGATTCCTTTCCGCTAAGAGATCGGCTGACTTTGTCTTGACTCTTAGATGGGCGGCTGACCGTCGAGGATCTGCCACAAGCGCCCTGCTAGCCCTGCTCGTACCATCAGTCATCTGTCGGCCAGAGCCAAATCAGGTGAACGTCGACCTTAAGGCTCCGCAGCGCATATGTGTGGGGATCTGCGGCTCGGGGCGTAGCTGGGTATTTAAGCTTTGAATCACGATGGGCACGTAGACGCGTAGACGCCATCTGGTGATTCTTCGTTGCCAAGCGCAGCCGCTGACCACGGCTGAGACTACTGTTGCCTTAATCATTACTTTGGGGCTGTTACTGCGGTAGCGCGGTAGTCGGCCAAAGGTATGCTGAGGCTGCACGTTCCAGGCGCATGCGATGTTATGCGTCAGCGGTTTCAGAATTCAGCTGAATCATGAGATGGTCCTGGGTGGCAGGCAAGCCACTGACGGGATGCCAAGCTGCGGCGTGCGGCGTGGGAGTGCTCCACCAGCTGATGACGAAAGCAAAGATATACCTTTGCCGTCGATCTCCTCGGCTTTCGCCTTAACCTGCTGACCGCGTCTCGCGTCTCACACGGCTTGCCACCCTTCTCAAAGCTGCAATAGAGTTACGATAAGACGCTGATAACAAAGTCAACAACACACTCTTCATCACACCACCACATCGAGCCATGTCCCTGTCCGTGCCCAGTGCGCCAATCTCGGCCCGTGACGTCGTATTCCAGCGATATGTCAACTCAAAGCCTCTCCCACCGCTACCGGACGAAACGCCCAAACCGTACGCAACAACCGCGCCGTCGTCCACCGTCTCGTACCCACCGCCATCGACTGCCCCGGGTTCCAGCCGTACCCGCGTGCGCGTCAGACCCCGTCCGCTCTCCGAGGTAGCAGCAAGCTCGCCACCTTCATATAACGAAGTCACGACCAGCCGCACCTCACCTGAGAGCACGCGACCACGCCCACAGCCTCAAGCAAGACCCATACGCCGCCCACCGCTCCTCCCTACCTACTCACAGTCGATGCGTCAGTCGTCTGAGAGCCAGCGGGACTCGTACGACAGCCTTCGGACCCGCCGCTCGTGCCAATGTGGCATTGCTTCCTGTCCCGGTGGGGAGATTGCACGCCGATCGAACCGTCGGTGACCTTCCCGGCCGGCTCCTTCCGAGCCACTGTCTGTGAATTAGGTCTTTCACGTCACTGTAGTAGTAATCCCAAGCACTGTATGCGCCATGTAACTTTGATCCTGTATATGCTGCATGAGAAAGTCAAAAGGCTATGTGAATGATGGAGAAGATGGGTATACAGTCTATTCTGTAGGGGCGAAGAGCTTGTCGAGACCGGCCTCCACGGCGGAGATCTTGGAGAGCATGATCTTGATCGCCTCGGGCACGAGCTCCTCGGGAGGGTACTGTCCGGCAGACTCGACGTTGACTAGTTCGTTAGCTCACTAGGACGGACAGCAGGAGTGACTCACAGATGAAGTGATCCCTGATACGGGCAAGCTCGACCTTGTCCTGGAACTCCTTGTGGCGGAGGACTTCTCGGGACACGGTGTCTTTCCTCGGGTTCTTGACGACGACCTGCTGGTTGCCATCCGCGTCCTTCTCGAGCTCGATAACACCGGGAGCGAAGCACGACTTGAACTTTTCCTGGTCCTCGAGGGGAATCGGCTCGCGAAGAATAATATGCGGCAGGAGACGGTACGAGGCGGTCGCGACCGGGGAGTACTTGGCGTGGTCGGCTCCAACGCCCTTGCGGGCGAAGCAGTGCAGGTCAACCATCTGTCCCGGACGCAGCTTAACGAGCAGGATGTCGTCAAGCACCGGTCGGGGCTCCTTGCCCTTGTACTTGCTCTTCTGCTGCCCCGACGGCACCCACTTCATCATACCCGTGTACACGTTCGAGTCGTAGTACAGCTTCTTCGGGTCCGTCTCTCCCGGAGCAGCGTCGCGTCGACGGTCACACTTCACACGCAGATCAAAGACGTGCGTGTCGTTCTCCATCGGCGCAGAGTAGTTCGAAGCTGGAAGTCAGCAACCAATACAGGCGATTGGGCTTACGCTTGAAGTCAAGCGTCCGGGGGTCAATCTTCAGAGGAACAAGACCAACGCGGTGCGCGAGAACCTCATCCTGCATAATCGAAGTGTTGTTCCAAACATAGACATCCTCGATGGCGACCGTAGGGACCTGCAGAGTCAGTACCATTGCCTCATGTCCTAACCACCTCGGCAATCATAACACGACGAAGGGAGTTGGCAATCGATGCGTCCACACCGACGAGGTCGAACTCGACAGTCGAGGGAGTCAACCGCTGAACCGAAACAATCAGGTTCTCTTTGTCAGCTTGTAACCTTATCGAGCACTAACCTCCTTGAACTTGTCAAGGTTCCACGAGTGGTCCTCTCCGGGGTAGTGGCCGGGGAACTCGGATCCAGATACCTGTAAGGGCGAATTAGCGTCCGCAGTGCATATAAGACTTACAGCTCCAACCCTCTCGGGAAGGATCTGAACGTGCCGTCGCGGATCGTCGTTGGAGCGGGGCATGCTGATGGTTGTGTTCACGCTGAGAGAGTCGTCGGTGACGGCCTTCATGACTTCAGAATCCATCTGAACTTTTGTTTACTGGGGGTACCGCATAAGGTCGTAGGGGGTCATCGCTGTGGGTGGCAAATTGGTTCCGCCGGTTGACGCGACTTGTTGCTTTTGTAATCCGAGCGGCAAATCCACGCGTCGTCAAAACAATATTAGGCTGCGCCGATCTTCCCTACTTCATCCCATATCGCCTGAGCAACCACCTCTCCAAGTCGCAACATGTTGCGAAGGGTACCCAGCAAGAAGAATGGGGACCCTCCCGTGACGTCGGCTACGTCCGGAGGGTTCGGAATCGTCTCCAAGCCCTTCAAGGCCCCGAGCGCGCTGGGTTCGACGCGCACGCTGGCCATGCCAGCACGGAAGCGCAAGCAAGTGTCATACAAGGAAGCCGGTGCTGGCGGAGATGACGGTGACTCTGACGTTCCCACGAAGAAGATGCGGTTCGAGATGGGCAATAAGGTCTACGAAAACGGTGTCCTCGGGGATATGGCCAAGTGGTGTACGCGCAAGTTTCCAGTGTTCGCCCCGAAGGAGAGCACCACTGTGTTCTCGAAGAGGTGAGTTATTGCGTTGATAAGCATTTTCACAGACAGCTGATCTGCTCAGCTTTGCTATCCCGGTTATGACAAACGCAAAGACGTCAGAGAAGATTGCCCACCCCCTCTCGCACGCGTCTCTCGGTGCTCGTCCGCATCCAACATTGGCCCCGCGTCCCCTTCACGACCCAATGGCCGATCATGCCATTGTGCTGTACGATCCCACGATTGACGACAAGCCCGATCCCGAGGAAGTTGCCCAGAAGGAGGAAGCTGCTAAGAAGGAAGAAGACCGTGGCCCACACAAGAGCTTGAAGGCGATTCTCGGTATCGAGGACAAGACTAAGAAGAAGGTCGTCAAGGTTCCTGTTGTTATCGACCCGAGGCTGAGCAAGGTTCTGCGACCGCACCAAATTGAGGGCGTTAAGGTGAGCTTGGGAGGGAAAAGCGCTGACGGTCAGTTCCTGTATCGATGCACAACGGGCCTGGTTGCGGACAATGCTTGGGGTTGCATCATGGCCGACGAGATGGGTCTTGGTGAGTGGCCAATGGCAGGTTACAGCTGACGTTACAGGAAAGACTCTTCAATGTATTGCACTTTTGTGGACGCTTCTTAAGCAGTCTCCCGTACCCGGTAAAGGCACGTGTGAGAAGGTCGTCATTGCTTGTCCGACGTCACTGGTTGGAAACTGGGCGAACGAGCTCATCAAGTGGCTCGGCCCCGGAGCAGTGAACCCTCTGGTGGTTGACGGAAAAGGAGGCAAAGCAGAGCTCATTCCTGCTGTTCGACGCTGGGCCGCGGCCTCCGGACGAAGTGTGACACTTCCTGTCATGATTGTGTCCTACGAGACGCTGCGCACGCTGAAGACAGAGCTGGATGGGTGTCCCATCGGTCTTCTCCTTGCCGACGAGGGCCACCGATTGAAGAACGCCGACACCCTCACTTTCCAGGCTCTTACAGCCTTGAACGTGCAACGCCGTGTGATTCTGACCGGTACGCCAATCCAGAATGACCTTTCGGAGTACTTTGCTCTGCTCAACTTCGCCAACCCAGAGTATCTTGGCTCTCGCGCTGAGTTCAAAAAGAACTTTGAACTGAAGATTCTTCGCGGCCGTGACGCGGACGCGACGGACAAGGAGAAGGAGGAGAGTGACGCGAAGCTGAAGGAGCTCGGAGGGCTGGTCAGTCGCTTCATCATCCGAAGGACGAATGACCTCCTGTCCAAGTATCTCCCCGTCAAGTACGAGCACGTCGTCTTTTGCAACCCCAGCCCTCTTCAATCCTCTCTTTACAACCACTTTGTCAACTCCAAGGACGTCCAGCGCCTCCTTCGCGGAAAGGACTCTCAGCCCCTCAAGGCTATTGGTCTTCTTCGCAAGCTTTGCAACCACCCCGAGCTCCTCAACCTCCCCGATGACCTGCCAGGCTCAGCTCAATTCCTACCAGACGACTACGCTGTTGGTCGTACCGGTCGCGATCGCTCCTTCAACTGCCAGCTGTCTGGAAAGTTTGTTGTGCTCGAGCGAATGCTGGACCACATCAAGAACCACACGACCGACAAGATTGTTCTCATCTCCAACGCTACGCAGACTCTCGACCTCATGGAGCGTCTCTGCAGGGTGAAGAAGTACGGCTGTGTCCGCCTGGATGGTACCATGAGTGTCAACAAGCGTTCCAAGATTGTCGACCGCTTCAACGATCCCGAAGGCAAAGAGTTTGTGTTCTTGCTCAGCTCCAAGGCAGGAGGGTGCGGTATCAATCTCATCGGTGCGAATCGCCTGATCCTCTTCGATCCCGATTGGAACCCAGCTTCCGACCAACAAGCTCTCGCGCGTGTTTGGCGAGACGGCCAGAAGAAGGAGTGCTTCGTCTATCGATTCATGACAACGGGATCTATCGAGGAGAAAATCTTCCAGCGCCAGTGCCAGAAGCAGAATCTGTCTGCCTGTGTCGTCGACGAAGCCGAGGACACCGCCCGTCATTTCACCCAAGACGATCTCCGACAACTCTTCAAGTTCCACACGAACACCTTATGCGACTCGCACGACACGTATAAGTGCAAGCGCTGCCGAGACGGGAAGCAGTTTGTCAAGGCTCCCGCGATGCTGTACGGTGACGCCAGTACATGGAACCATTTCCCGAACTCACAGCTGGGGCAGATGCACGATGATCTGCTCCGAGCGGAGCTCGGCTTCCCCGAGGTCTCCTATGTCTTCCAATACATTAGCCACTAAACCACTAGACGTAGAGCCGTAGACCATCCTGCTTGCTGATATTTTGGGTCTTTGTATGTGTACATCATGTATCTTGTATTATATGCTAGGCACCGATTCCTATCTCAGTGAGCATTTCCTCCCTCCCTCGATCCCGCATCCAAGTCAATGCGTCCGAGATCTTTTCAAGTTCGACCCAGTTGCCGCGTCCAAGCCCACCCCGAGCTCCGTCCTCCTTGCCCCTACTCTCATCCTGGACAGTGCTCCGCTCCTCATACTCAAGCGGTATCGGTTCAAGGCCAACCCTCACCCTGAGGTTGAGCCAGTTCCAGGATTTTACCTCTTTCAGCCACTCTTTGAGGTTGCTCTCAGTGCCCATCGCATAGTAGATGCCAGGGTGCCCGACCTTGCTGAAGCCCGTGAGAGAAAGTTGAGAGGAGAGAGCGCTGAAGTCTTTGCGTTTCGTCTTAGACAGAAGGTGGTGAGACGTGAGGAGCGCGTGATGCGGCTCGTCCGCGTGACCGCCCTCGTTGTTCCTGGCAGCGTTCTCCGCAACAGCTGTTGTCTCGGAGTTGGAGCTGGGGGCGATGAGAGGCAGCAGATGTGTCATGACCTGGTAGAGCGGATAGCGTCCGTCAGTTCCGCACGACACGTAGCACATACTCGTCATCTTCGGTCCAATGCTCCCGCAGCAGGTTCTGGATTCGCTCCTCAGATCGGTGGGCCGCATCACGGCCCAGGTCTCCGCCCTTCAGCTGCACGTCGACTGCAGATAAGGCAGGGTAGCCTTTGCGCACGCACGCGACGAGCCGTCGACCAGAGTCTGCGTTGGCGATCGCGAACTCGCGCGGCCACGCGGATGACGTTTGGGGCGACTCGCTCTCCCAACCTGGAGTCTCCGCACCCTCGAGAGCCTCTGAGGGAAGCAAACTGGAAGCTAGCAGCTCGAGCTCGATGTCGAGTGACTCGCTCATGGCCGCGACTTTGTGACTCGGTGGCGTCTGCGGAGCTTGCACGGGCCAGAAGATCTGCAGTCTTTGGGTGACGGTGTCAGCGGCGTTGAGGGACGGTGCGAGCGCCGAGAGATTGGATCTGAGGGACGGCGATGTCAGGAAGTCAGGACGACGGAGCAATGACGAAATCGGTATCAGAACTGCGACCAGTATCGGACATTCGGTGACTTTTTCAGGTCGAGCCGGTGTCTGGTGTCAACTCCTCAAGAAGAGGGTACTGCGGAATCACTGCTCCAGCGTTTCGTTCTGCGCATGCGCACATCAGAACGTCATGGATGAGTGCTGCGCAATGCACCAGAATTTTGGGTTATGGTACTGTGACGCGATACTGGTTCTCGCGTCGCACTACCTTCAATCTGCAGCCACCATGTACAGGGACGTGCCGAGGAACGGTACCGGCACGTTGCTGCGGGCATGTCCGACTTCTGACTCCTATACTTAAGACGCCCACCTGGTGGTGCTAGCGGCAAGACTTTGCCGCGACAACTCCTAACCGCAACCTCTCTCGCACGACCACACCGAACAATCATGGCTAAAGCCCAAGCTTACATCGTAACGGGCGCCAGCAGCGGCATCGGAGCCGCCATCGCCCTCGCTCTCCTCGCCAAGGGCAACACCGTGATCAACATTGACCGGAAGGCGCCAACCTCTCCGCTCCCGAATCTGCTCAGCTACGTCGCGGACTTGACAAACGAGGGGCAAGTCAAGGCAGTCGCCGAGCAGATCGTGCAGTCGTATTCCATCATCGGGCTAGTCAACAATGCTGGTGCCACCAAGCCTGGCACGGTCGACACACAAACGACAGATGACCTCGACTTCCTGTGCAACCTGCACTTGAAGGCATCGCTCGTGCTTATCCAGGCTGTGCTCCCGAGTATGCGCGAAGCCGGCTTTGGACGGATAGTCATGATGGCATCGCGCGCTGCGCTTGGCAAGACGAACCGCATAGCATACTCTGCCACCAAGGCCGGCATGATCGGCATGGCGCGTACGCTGGCAATGGAGCTCGGCAAGGACGGCATTACGGTGAACTCTCTGGCGCCCGGTCCAATCGCGACAGAGCTTTTCATGCAGTCCAACCCCGAGGGACACCCGAATACCCAGAAGATTATCGACTCCATCGTCGTCGGCCGTCTCGGAACACCAGAAGATGTGGCGCGCGCAGCCATGTTCTTCCTCGACCGCCATAACGGGTTCGTCACTGGCCAGGTTCTCTACGTCTGTGGAGGCACAACACTCGGCGTCACCCCCGCTTAGCTTCGAGCATATGTACTTGTAGTGTAGACTGTCTGCATATGATAGCGTATACAACATGGGTGCTTACAACATGTCAGCGAGACTCGGCTTCCCGTCGCTGCATCTCAGCAACTCTCTCCCAGGGGTAGTCGCCGTTCCACACCTCCCGCCCCAGCACCTTGTGCATTTTGGGTAATCCGTCTTGCTCGATGATGAAGGACGCAGCGACATTGGCCCAAACGATAGCTGCGCGGTTAGTTTAGCTTCGTTTCCCACTCACCTTCATGAATGTCTTTTCCTTCGTAAAGCGCTGCCATCAACCCTCCCATGAACGCATTGCCTGCACCAGTGGGATCCTGGACCTTGTCCTGAGATTGGTGGAAGGGAGCTCCCCAGTAGACGGGCACAGCGTCAAGCGTGTCATTCGTCAATGTTCCTGGTGGCAAATCCGCTGACAGCGCATAGCAACAGCCATTCTGCCCGCACCTCAGGACGGCGCCGATTCTAGGTTTGAGGGCGAGCAAACGGCGAACGAGCCACTCCAGCGTCGCATTGGCGTCGGCGCCGTGGTTGTTTGGTGTGGGGATGTTGAACAAGGACATAGCCTCGGTGTGGTTTGGGCTGGAGAGGTGGTGAGCATCACGCGCCACAGGCAGTCCACCGTCGTGGAGCTCGACGAGGTGTTACATACCTTATCACGTCGACGTGTGGAGTCAAGCGCTTGATCAATTCCAAATTGTCAGGTACACAGCATGGCTGGCGCGGTCAGTTGATACTCTACGCGTCGAGCATGCCAGCGTGGCAATAGACGTTAGGGCGATCCACTTTCATGTCTCGCGGCCATGATATTTTTTCGTCAACGGCGGACTCACTGGTTCCGGCTCCCACAGCAGACCTGGCGACCAGCCTGACTCGGCATGAATATCCTGTATCTGCGAAATGGTCTCCTGTGCGCGGTCGGGGAAGGAGACGAGGTGCAGCCACTCCGGGTGGCCGAAGCTACCCACAATGTCCTTGGGTAGCAGCAGGCTCGGCGGGGTCAGGTACTCGAATCTGGATCCCTGTTAGCCACAGAGGCAATGAACGCTGCGGACTTACTCTCGGACTTGACCCTTGTACTTGTTGACCGCCCGTGTTGTCTGCTCCCCGTCCTGCCGCAAGCGAAAGTCCCACATGTCTCCGTACGCTTGAAGGCGCGCCTTCATTTCCTCGGGTAGGCTTTCTGGGGTGTAATCCACAATCATACCCAGGCGATTCGGAGGTAGAAACAGACGAGCGCCTAGGATAGCTAGATGTCAGCCGTGAGCCGGGGAAGAGCAGCGTACCGTAAGATCCCGCCCCACCAATCTTCAGGTCAGCAATGCGGTTGTAGTTCGAAGGCTCACTTGATCCGGCTTGTCGACTGGATGCTCCTTGCCATCGTTATCAACCCGGGTGAACGTGTCAATGATGAAGGCCTCTGGCAGTCAGCTCGTCTCAAGAAGCCGGGGAGCTCACCCAGAGTAGCAGCCCTCTCTCTCTTCATGACGAGGGGCAGCTGGGTCGAGCGAGGACAAGAGAAAAGATGAAAGACAACAATGAGGCTGGAACGGCCGAATTCTTCTGCTGGCCCTCTGTCCTCGAATTCTGGAACGTCACCTCCACCGCCATCTACGACTTGCCTAACCTCTTGGATTATGACGTGTTTCCGTTCCTGAGTTTGAGCCTGTTTGCCACGCGACTTAGGGGCGCAGGCGCGAACCGCGACATGGACGACAACAGGCCAATCGCTTCCATTGTTTTGCTTTGCATCCATTCTTCCCTTCGCCATGACAACAAGTATTACAGTGAGCTTCAATGGCCCCTCGCCGCTGACATCAGGACGCGCGGTTTACCCATCTTCATGCAACACGCTCCCACATCCTTGCGCTGCTGACGGACGAGCCACCGGAGACGGGATGGTCTGTCATGCCTGGATTCGAGGAAGATGTTGCGTACCCAGCATACCTCGACCCACCGCGGCCAGACGCAGACGAGACGCTGCCGTCGCAGGTCCATCCGAGCTATCCGTTTGGGCGCCCCAAGGTCGGATCAAAGCTGGGGCTCACGGGGCCAAATGCGCACGGCGGCGCCAGTGTTTCAAAGCAAGCTGGCAACCTCCTCTTGCCAAACGAGAGGGAGGACGTGTGGACTGAGATGGATATGGGAGCCGTGCTCGAGAAGCCGGATGGGAAGGAGGTGCCCCCAGTCATGGCTGTATGTCGGAGGTGTAGGATAGATGCGGGAGCTGACGACAGGGCTCGAAGCGACCTCCGTCTCCAGGCTCGCCGGTGCTGCGGCCAAGACATCTGCCGCCCCCACGCTCTGCTCATCTCAGACACCACTTAGAACGCCAGCGCCAGGCGACGCCCCCGGCACCCGCTGACCCCTTCGATGCTCCCGTTCCTAACGAGACATACGCGGAGGAAGAGATGGAAGATCACCACCAAGACGACAATAACAATGGTAACGGCCAGAGCCCGCAATAGCATCGCGGCATCTACGGCAATCCAGAGTGGTACGGTGACGTCTCGTTTGAGCAACCACAGCACAGCATGACCCACTAGGCTGTCCTCATTTAGGTGGTACAGCCTCAGTGTGGCGCCTCGCGCACCTTCAGCACTTGTAACTAGTAGCCTTTCCTCCACCTCCTCCTAACGCTCACGCATCCACAGCAGAAATGATGAACAAAACCGCAAACGTTTCATCCATATTCAGAGCTCCAATACGTTGGGGCCAAGATGGAGAACTCGGGGGGAAAATTCTGATCTGCTTTCTGTTGTACGATATGTATCATGTGCAATTATTGGCCCGCTTGAGCAACTGGTACCCGTTCATGTTTGTACTCTGCTAGCGATGCGTGCTCCCTAAGCATGATGCGGAGCATTCACGCTACCAGGTTGTCAATCGTCCCTGCCGTAATGGGTGGGCTAACCATCACCACAACCTCTCGCTGTTGATCGCTGGGGATCGGCAACAGCCTGTCCGACGGTCCGCTTCGGGTAGCACGCCGCCCGAGATCAGGCGGGGCCTCTTGATCTAATCTCAGGCTTATCAGTCTCGACGACTATCGCCAAGACAATGCTCTTCAACTGATAGCTGGCTCCTAAATCAATGCATCGTACACTCCAACCACAATGGAATCAATGTAACGATCCCAGCGCGGACGGTCTCTCAAACTTCACGCGTTACCCATCGTCGTCGTCGTCTACATAAGAACGGTCGTCTCGACCATGATACTTGTGACCTGGTAGCTGGAAATGTCAGCGAGAGATCGGAATGGTGATGGCATATGCTGGAGAATACTCACGGGTCAATGTTCGAGGCGGGACGACGGTCCTCAAGATATCCGTAGCCCTGGGCACCGACGTCTGGGGCAAGTCAGCACGACATTCCAATTGAAGGCACGGGCGCGGAGGCAAATTAGGCTCCAGTGGGTGGGGTAGGCCCAGTGACTTAGCCGAAGCCACATGCGGTCATGCACAGGTCATGTGCACAGCTGGAACCTGAGGTTGCCACGGCACGATGGGAAGGATGTTTTAGAAATCAGGTACTCACGACGGGGGATACGAATAGACGCGGCACGGTTGGCGACACCGGCAGAGAAAGAGTGCATGGAAGCGGTCTCGTGGCGACCAGTGAGACGCATGTCGTTGTCCTCGCCGTAGACGGCGATGTGCTCAAGATGACGCTTCTCAAGCTTCTTGATGGCGTCCTCAATGGCGGCGAGACCCTTGCCGGGGGTACGCATGAGCTTGGTGGAGTAGTTGGAGTGGCAACCAGCACCGTTCCAGTCACCCTTGAGGGGCTTGGGGTGGAACGAGGGCTTGATGCCCCACTCCTCACCGATGCGGAGAAGGAGGAAACGAGCCATCCAGAGGTGGTCGCCGAGCTCGATGCCCTCGCAAGGACCGACCTGGAACTCCCACTGGGAGGGCATGACCTCGGCGTTGATACCAGAGATCTTGACACCAGCGTAGAGACAAGCACGCTGTTACGTAAGCAAACGATGAAAGAAAGAGATTCTAGAACGGATCGACGGAGGTGTGGCTTACTCACGTAGTGGGCCTCGATGAAATCACGAGCAAAAACACGGCCGGCACCGACACCACAGTAGTAAGGGCCCTGGGGACCGGGGAAACCGTTCTTGGGCCAGCCGAAGACCTGTCCATCGGCGTCGAAGAGAGTGTACTCCTGCTCAAGACCGAACCAGGGCTCCTCAGCCTTGGCAGCGTCCATCACCTTCTTGGCGTGAGCACGGTGGTTGGACTTGTTAGGGGTGCCATCGTTGTCGTAACACTCGCAGAGGACGAGGATGTTGTCGCCACCACGGAAGGGGTCCTTGAAGATGGAGACAGGACGCTAGGAATGTTAGCCACAATTTGCGGAGTCAAGGCGGCGCCGCGGCAAAATGACTTACGAGGTAGACATCGGAGTTGTCGCCAGGGGCCTGGTTGGTGGACGAGCCGTCGAAGTTCCACTCGCGGAGGTCGGCGACCGACTTGGGGGGGCCGTTCTCGAGGGTCATGGTCTTACAACGGAGACCACCGTCACCGTCAATCCAGACGTCTGAACGTGGCGTCAGCAAGTGATACTATTGGTCGCTCGATCCGAGTCGCGTGACTCAGACGGACGAGAACACTCACACTCAGCCTGGACAGCCTTGCCCTGGTCAAGGGCCATGTAAGGCGCGAGGAGGTCAACGCGCTTGGTGGCGATGAGGTTCGACATTGTTGATGTCTGGTTTAGGGAGGAGGACTGCGTATTCGAATGATGAAATTGAATAAGACGAGTGGGTGTAAGGTGGCGACAGGGACAGCGGTGTTAATGTAGGGGAGTGTGGCGGTACAAAATGAGTCCGAGCAGTGTGTGACCGTTGATCAAGTTCGATGCGCGTCGATGCAGTGCAGTGTCGTGGTGTGAGGGGAAGCGGTGGAACGAGAAGCGTGCAAGAGGAACGTGGTGGGTGGGGTGTGAAGGGCGGGGAGGGAGAGAAGAACGGGTGAAGGTTCAGGACAAGGAGGAAGGCACAAAACGGAGAGATATGATATAGCGTTTGGGTGAGGAGAGACGACGAAACAAGATACACCAAACAGATCGAGTCGTGCGATGAAGGGGGGAAGAGGAAAGGGCGCAGGCGTGTGCACAGAGAAAGCAGAGATCGAGTCGTAAAGCAGAGAAAGATGTGGTAAGCGCATGCTCGTCGGACAAAACACGAGTGGAGCGGGTTTCTTGGCTCACGTACTCACGAGAATAAAACAGAAAAGAGAGAAAGGTTGCTGAACAGCAGAGAAGAATAGGCCACTGAAGGTCTAAAGGGTTAACTGTTTATAAGTCGAGGAGGAGGGGAGGAGGTTGGTGTACTTAACGTACGGAGGGAGGAGAGGAGGAGGAGGAGGTTGAAGAAGAAGAAGAGAAAGGAGGAATGGATAATGAGATAGTCGAGTCGTGACAGAGAGTGCATCCAGGCGGTGCCTGTACGCCAGTGGGCGGCGGCCAAGGGGGGGGGGGCGGCCTGCAAGGCTGCTGTGTAGCCCCGACAGCGGTAGGGTACGGACCCAAGTGCGCCAGGAGGAGGACGGGGGTGTGACTATTGCGCACTGCCTGCATGCAGGCGCAGGCGCATTGGGGTCCTGGCGCCTGGCTCCAGAATTGGGCCAGCCGGGCTGGGGCGGGGCGCCCGGCGCTCAGCTCTTGCCGTCTGACCGCAGTGTCCCAGCGCCCAGGCGTGCCGCCGCAAACCGTCTGAGCCAGCTTATCGGGTCATCGAGACTCGGCGGTACTATTTTACTCATTGCTCAGCGTACGGTCTGTGTACGAGCCGGGAGAATTGCCCATTTGGGAAGGTCTGATGTCGATATCGATCTGGGCAACGTCCTCGGGTCTGGTGCCTCGAACCAATGGGAGAGTCCAGCTTATCTCTTGCTGATTGGCCAAATTTCGCTCGCCCTCACGGTTGACCCGTGCAGTTTCTATCCGTCCCTCCTCGGGTTTCATGCCTGTCTGCTCATCACCGCTGGACCCCTGGACCAGCCTCTCCCAGGGATCGCCCATGAACAGCGCGCCCCTGCAGTGCTCTAACGCCGCACACTGTGGCAAACTTGGTCTTTTCTAATTGAGGGGTTATTTCGATCGAATCTTCATTAGGAACTCAAATTTTGCATTTCTGCAGGCTACGGGGAGACGACTGCTCTTACTCTGTTCCGGGCCAACGGTATCCGGTGGCCGGTAGCGAGTGGCCCCGTCTGATCGCGACTGACCTCGGTGTCTGACAGAGGTCGGCACGTCTGAATGCGCTACTTTGCCCCGCGGTCGTGCCGCCATGCCGCCGGCTAGCGAGCTGCTGAGGTACAGAGATCGCTTAAGCTGACGTTGAATGCATGCTCGCGCACATACCGTGCTCAATGCCCCCATGCACGCCGGTTCACTCAGACCGCCGGCAATGCGTTTAGGCTAGTCACGCGCGGCGTTCCGTTGGGGGCAATCTCGGCAACACAAGAGCAGAACCCAACGCAAACCCAAGCACGACATTGACCTACCCATGGGGCGGTGTGTACGCTATCTGGCCTGCGGGGGAGTCTGTTCTGAGGCCCGCATGAGCTGGAGGAACAGGAACTGTGTGCACTTGTGTGCGTTCGTGCGTGTGTGTCGTGTGTGCGCTGCGCAGTAGGGGTAGTCAAAAATTCAAAACGAATTGGATTCAAACCGGTTTAGTGTGCCTGACGGGCGCAAATTGCTTCACTAGGAAATCTTGTAATGTCACGTGAGACAGCGCACGTGGCCTCCACAATCGTGGTACGGTTCAAACTGAATCGTCGTTTCATGCAACATCAGTTTACTCTACTCACTTCAATTCTCTCTACACTTTCTTCCATGGATCCTACGCGTCAGATGTTGCCGCCGTCGACTCCGCAAGGCCGAGAGCTTTCTGCTCGTACCTCAAGCACCCCATTTAATGCAACACCGCGCGAGATGACACCGAACCCTACGCCCTCTCGAACACAGAACGTTGTGAGTCGTCGAAACGGTGTACACTTTTTCCTGTTGACTCTCTAACCTCGGCAGCCTCACACAAGGTCCATTGGACCTCCTTTAGTTGAGGGGAGAGACTGGTGGAAGCCCTCGGGCCCTCACTGGCTCACTGACGCTACTAAGTACTCTAAGTGCTCTGCCGAGCTGCTGTTAGAGTTGCTAGAGGAGGACCCCGACTTGTGGCAAGGCTGGAAGGCTGGTAGACACAGCGGCGGTGCTCAGCGACGTAAGGATGCCAATAATAAGATCATTCAGCGGCTTTACGAGCGGAAAGCCCCTGTCATGAAGACTGCAGGAGCGCTCAATAACTATGTAAGTTCGAACAAGTTACCCCTTCAGGTCGTTGTCTTTCTAACGCTCTAGCTCGCCAAGATCTTCGGCAAATGGCACGACGCTTGGAGAATGGAACGGCCATCCACCGGGGATGGCTGGCCTGCAGAGATCCTGTGTCCTGACAAGGTTAAGCGGCGTTTCCTCGACCCCGACGAGCTATCGAGTAAGTGCACCATTGTACGCCACCCTGGCCATCATGGCCTCTGTCTGAGTCAGGCTGTTTCTCGCGAAGTAATGCATGAATTTCAACTCTGACAAGACAGGGTACCAGGAGAAGATCTGCCGCGACTACCAGAGGTTGAGTGCAATCATGGAGGAGTCTGGAGGGGCTCCTCCGGACACGATCACCGATAGTTACGGCGCCGGCCCGAGTAACCCGACCTCCGACGCCCTCATGACTCAAATGGCAGCCCCTTCTCAACCTTCATATATGTACTCAGACGACGAGCAGGACGATGAAACTCAAGAACCAGAGACTCAGGACATAGTTCAAGTCATGACCGAAGAACCGACGCTCAGAACGAAGAACCTGGACGCCAGTGAGTATCGCCGTCGCCGTCAATTTCGATACCACGCCCCTTCTGCGCCCCTCCGAACCATCAGGTACCTGGTGCACCTCGCTCTCCGACGATGGCGTCCACACCGTCTTCGGAGCAGTTTATGGCCTCGGACTACCTCGGGATCAGTAGAGAAGACTCTAATGCTGACTTGACAGGAAGAAGACGCCGAAGGGGTGACTCCAGGACCCCCCAGACCCCCGAGAGTATCATGTCCTCAGTCTTGTCCACCAAGGCAGACCGGGACAGGGCTCTCGAGAGTACTAAGATCGAGCGTGAGATGGCTCTACAGTGTCACACGCGCCCTCAATCCACGATGCGAGAATGGACCGAGATTGCTGTGCCGAAGCTAGACGACTCTCCAAAAC